ATCGGTACTCACTTGCATACCTAAATGATAAGGGGCTTATATTAACATATACGACAACGTGTATAGAGTTTACACTTGATATGATATAGGTGAAACAATTTAACATGATTATAGGACATGACAGGTAATTAGTATGGAATACTGTACTGGACATTCTCGAGATCTAGAACATTGGATAGAAGTTAAATATGCCAAAAGTGCGAGAATTTCCCTGACCGTATTCCTTAAAATAGTGATGGAGAGCATCAATCCGCTATGTTTCTCCATCACGGGACGGGATGGTGGGGTGGCCGAGTGGTTAAAGCGTTCGCCCATCACTCCGAATGCCTGTGTTCGACTCCCCACATGAGTACGGTGTGTGACCAATTTCTTGTGTCCCCTGCCGTGATATTGCTGGAACAATATTGCCCAAAGCTTCATAATACCATACTCACTCAGTCATTCATCGGGTAACTAGCTATTATGGCGTCTTTACTCACTGAAGCGTACGTAAGTTGTTTTGCAAGAGGTGTATGTTGGAAAAAAAACCAAAAGGCGGCTTTAAAAATATATGCTTGATAATTTTCATGCATACATACTTGCATACAACACAGTTCACGTTAAACCAAAACAGTAGAACACACTTTGAACATATTGACAATGCATGCATTTCCCATTCAATTACCCACAAGTCCCATAGTAAATAACGGTTCATTCGCAGGACGGTCACCAACTGACCTCTAAAGCCCACAGGAGCGTATAAACCGATGTTCATCGCAGTTTATTTTCTTTAATTTGTATCACATTATCCATACACAAATGCACACTCAAACTAACAACGTTTATATATTTTCTGAGCGATATATATATATATTAATAAATATTTCGATGTGGAGTGTAGGAATATAATAAACTGAGGGGATATTAACAAAAGACGAATCAATTCAACAGTAAATGACACATAACTATCTGACATAAAGCGTATTTCAATCATTAAAAAGCTGCCGTTTAAAACCCAGAAGGTATTCCAAGCTGATTTGTCTTCCAGTCAGTTTGTGACTTGGCTTTGTATGTGTTGACAAAGGAGAGCATATTAATCTCATTATAATCATATCTTTGTTCTCGCTACCTCTAAACAAAGATCTGAGGACATCCCATTACGGGTCACGTCAGAACGACCTTTCATTCGACCAATCAGGGCGTTGCCCACAAGATCAGCTAAGTGACAGTCGAAGAGTGTGTTCTAATCAAGAAAAAACTAACACGAGATATTCCGAACAACGGTTACGGGCTATGCGACTGAATCCATACAATCTAGACCATCTATTGGCCATTCTAGAATGTTCTTGTGTTTATTTTCAAGTTATTAATCGAGAATTTGTCAAAATATGTTTCGAGGCGTAGTCGCCAGTTTGAAACTAGTGCAGAAAAGGCTTCCTTCTCACTGGCTAATGTCGACTTCTTGTCAGTCATTCCATTGGTGAGTCAAAGTTCGCGAAAGGTCGGTCTGACATGACCCGTAATGCAATATCCTTAGATCTTTGTTTAGGGAAGCGAAAACTAAGATCTAATTTTAAAGAGATTTGCGAGCATATTGAGGTTCTTGTAAATTGCAACTCTGAAATGTAGCACGTTTACAACTTTACACATGCTAATGCCATTGGAAATATTCATAACACCGGATATAATTAATATTGATAGCGGATGTTGATTATTTGTTTCGAACACTCATTGGTGTGATGTGAGAACACACAGTCAGGAAGAAGTTTTCCGAAGTCACCCCGAAAAACCCATTCACGGCAGCTTTGAGGTCATCGTTGTAGTTATAGCACTTTCTTCAGGTGTTCTTTCAGTTTAGGAAACAGGTGGAAATCATTTGGTGCCAGGTCTGGCGAGTATGGAGGGTGAGGAAACTCCTCGAACCCCCATTGTCGCACAGCAGCCTTTGCAAGTCGAGTGGTGTGAGAAGAGGAATTGTCGTAAACTCCAGCAGTCAGCATTCCTCGCGTCCTTTCTTTGATACAATCTCTCAGGCGATGAAACAAATCAGTATAGAAGTCACCGGTAATCGTCTTTTGACTTTCTAGAAATCAACAAGGATCACACCCTTTGCATCCCAGAATACCGTGGCCATAACTTTCTTCATTGATCTTGAAGACTTGAATTTCTTTGGTTCCGGAGAAGTTGAATGGTGCCATTCCATGGATTGACGTTTTGACTCGGGATCATAGTGATAGACCCATGTTTCATCACCCGTTACTAACTGAATTTGACGAAATCCTCCTCAGTTAGCTCTAAATTGTCTTAGGCAATGTCAGTTCTTTTTTCCCTTAAGATCAGAATTTAGAAATTTTGGCACCCAACGAGCAGATATCTTATTCATCTGTAAATGTTCCTGAATAATAGTTCCAATGGATTCATGGCTTAGACCTGTGTCTTCCTCAAGTGCGCTGATGGTAATACGTCTGTCTGACAGTATAAACTTTTCTATCTCCTTGAAGTTGAGGGACGTACAGACCTAGGGTCATCACCAAGGCTTGTTATCCCCGCTTTAAACATAGCTGCCCAACGTTTAACAGTGGACTAGCTAGGGCACTTATACCCATACACGCGTGACAAGCGGTCATGAATTTCTTGGGGAGTACTTTTCTCTGAAGTAAAAAACTTTGACTGGTCGGTACTCGTTCTTTTCCATTTCTGTGTCCATTTGAACATAGATCACGTTCAACGGCTGTCACTAATATACAAACGGCCTCAACAGACCAAATACACTTGCAATGAACTTCTCAAACCATGTAATACATTGACTATTATATGTTATGACCCATAGTTGAAAGTTAGTCAGGCCTAGAACTTTTTGACCAGCCCTCGCAGTACATTTTTATATATTTTTATTTTTATTTTGTTGTTGTTTTTTGTAGTAGTAGTAGAAGTTGTTGTTGTTGTTGTTGTTGTCGTTATGGTTGTTGATTATTGGTTTGTTAGTAGATGTTGTCGTTGTCGTAGTCGCTGTAGCAAAAGTAGTAGTGGAAGTTGTAATTATTGGAGAAGCCCCAGTTGTGATTTAGGCGCATAAAGTATCCAGACGGTCTTTATGTCAGTTTGACAGGGGCGGTCGGGTAGCCTAGTGGTTAAAGCGTTCGCTCGTCACGCTGAAGACCCGGGTTCGATTCCCGACATGGGTACAATGTGTGAAGCCCATTTCTGGTGTCCCCCCGCCGTGATATTGCTGGAATATTGCTAAAAGCGGCGTAAAACCATACTCACTCACTCACTCAGTTTGACAATAATTAATACGAGTAACATAGCCAATAAAATCGCTCACTGTATGGTTCTCAGCAACAGCAACAACGGCGGATTAAGCATCAAAGGATACCACACTGGGACTTCGTGCGACTAATGTTGGTCAACAGGTCGACGTCCTGCGAATACCACTCTTAACCATCATTTCCAAAGACTGGAGAATAACTGTTTTCAAAGTGATTGCTATAAATACCTGAACCTTTGCGAATCTCACAGGCCGAGAATTTTTGTCATATTATATTGAGACAACGTTCGATGTACTTACCTGGGAAACTGCTTAAACTCTGTATTGGGTGTAAATCATTAAATGCAATCTTGCCGGTTGGGCAGGACATGCTTACCCTTTTCGCAAACACCTGGAGTCATTACTGACTTTCAGTGGTCGATTCATATAATTTTCACAGCTATTTTGTCCTTTACGCCAAATGGAATCTGTTTCGGCGAATAATCTAGACAGGTTATTCTCTTGCACTGGCAGTTATCTTTAGTACCTAAGAAACCTCATACCTCGAGTACAGAATAAAACAGAAACGTCTATTTTTGTAATGCCGTGCGTGTTCCGTGTTAATACAATGTATTCCGACTTTTTAGTACAATCTCGAATTACTGATCTCTCAAGAGCCACCTTTCTCGACAATCGTTTAGTGCCGAAGCTACCGTAGCGAATGGACCCAGTGTATATATCGTAATATAATGGAAATATAATACACATGGTAATCAAGTATCTGTGTGACATGGCTGATTGTACGTTATCGTGCGTGGGTCGTTTGGCCTGCCTGGTACAGACTCTATTATTTACAGGTAGCCATGATTTATAGCAAGAGTATTGATCAAGATATACTCCCAAAACTTCCACACGCATAATCTTCTCAGACCAAATCAACTTTGGGCATGGTCCAGTACACACATGGCTAATGCCATCTTCCCGAGGCAAGTGAGTTAACTGACTATAAAAGTCCAGTTTCCACCCTTGCCGAACTAGGCTGGTATTATGGAGTTACATTTTGGCTGGACTAACGAGTCTATGCATAGTCCAATCAAAATCGCGCACCGAAATCGAAATCCGGTTCGTAGAGTGTCATGCAGATTTCGGTCGATTGCAGGATTTGCAAAGCATGTGCACCGCTATCTCGTTGTCAACAGATATTTTCTACATCTTTTCATGTTTTTAATCAAGATGCTCACGTGATTTGATGCACTTCGCGATGTAAGACTCGTTTTATCACAATATAGATCTTGATTATCGATCAGATCGTCTTGATTGGGCGCCACCGTTTTGTTTGAAACAAATGCAAGTGATACGAGAGGTTGAATTTGATTGGTCAATAGGAGAGGCATAGAAAGGACATAACTCGTAATAGCCACTGGTGGCGCTACGATCGAGCCAAGGAATTCCAGCCTAGTTCGGCAAAGTGAAGTCAGTTAACTCTCTTGCCTCGGGAAGATGGGCTAATGCCTGCTACCTTCTATTCTAAATTGTAAAACCCAATATTCACCTGACACAGTTGCTGAACGTATACAGTTTAGTGTTTCTGAAGATAATGTAGGTATGCATATAAAATTATTTAACAGAAAAAATAGCAATAACTTGGGCAGATTCTCTTGAATCTTGGATATAGCTTTCTTGGCGACACAGCATCCGACAGCATCTCAGAGAACAATGGGGGTCTTCAGTCCCTATTGGATTTGCTGGCTGAGCTTAAGAATCCTGTTCTCAGACTCCCTGTACACTCAATTGCTGTTAGAGGAGGCCCACCAAAGGATGTTTGGACCATCTGCGCTCATCTGTCTCGATCTTTTTGATGACCTCCACAAAGGGAAGATGTTGTAAGTAGGTTATATACCAAGCGTTTTAATGGAACTTTAGCTTATCTGTCTAAATGTTTATCCTATTGAAACCTTCTCCAAAATTCCCTCTTTTAGTTTTTGTTTGTCAGTAAGTAAAATTTATGTTACAGTTATAGCTATAAAAAGATAATCATAATCATTGTTGCAAGGTGTTTATCTTATAAATACATTTCAGGATCTTAGTTTTTTCATAAAAAATAGCTGGTTTTGTAGCTGCAGCTAAAGAAATATCAAAGTCCCAGGTCCCCCTCCAAGAATACCAAATTGTCGGTCCCCATGAAGTTGTTATAAAATAAACTATTATGACACAGCTTATCAGAGTGATTTATGACCAGGCATATTTGCCAACTTTCTTTTCAATCCCTTCCTGGACTTTTCCTTTACAAGAACTTTACTGTGTTAATTGTTTTAACTCAGTGCATGGTTTCTGGTCTGTAGGAGTTTGTGAGTGAAGAAATTTTGGGAAATAACCTTTGATGAATATGTCGTAAAACAACACTCACTAAAGTATGTTGTACGTTTCATCCTTGAACTCCGCCATTCTATGATCATTCCTACCTTTGACCTCTAGCCTTTCACCCGTTAAGAGATCCGGGGTAGAATAGGTCTTCAGCAACCCATGCTTGTCGTAAGAGGCGACTGTGCCTGTGTCTGTCGATCGGGTGGTCAGGCTCGCTGACCTGGTTCATGCATGCCATCGTAACCAAATTGTGTAGATCGATGCTCATGATGTCAATCACTGGATTGTCTTGTTCAGACTCGATCATTTACAGACCGCCGTCAATATAGCTGAAATATTGCTGAATGCGGCTTTAAACAACAAACAAACAAACAAACCTCTAGCCCTTCACCCACCGGGAATCCCGGGGAGACTAAATCTTGCTATCCAGGAACCTTTTCTTTTCGATAGTGACTAACGATGATGGGAGGGCCAGGCGATGTGAAATGTCTGATTGTGTGTCGTCATACCCCGATAAATGCTCATGCTTTCAGCCATTTGTTTGTCTGGTCCAGACTCGATTGATTTCAGGCCACCGTGATATAGCTTGAATTCACTTACCAAAAGTCAATCACCTTTTCATTCAGACAGCCGTGCCAGTTTCCCATGCTACATGTTCAAAACTTATTGTCCTCTTTGAAATGTGTAGGGGTTTCTACTCACTTGCTTACTTAAATTGGGTTTGGGTAGGGCTATCGTTGAAGCTATTCTGTCTCCAGCTGAGACCTGATAATATAATACTGATCCTGGCAACATTGATTATTACGTCTGCATTGCCGTACATACATCAAGGTGAGTTTTAGGGCCGTTTTATATAGTTTTTATTTTTATTTTTCTATTTTGTATCAACAAATCCTGAAATTATTCCTCAAAACTGATAGATGTTTACAGTAGCATTTGCGTCAGCGGCCGATTGTAGAAACGACACGTCTTGTCAATGTTGGAGCTCTCGTGTTGTGGTACCAGCGGGAGAACTTCAGCGCAAAAGCCATCAATGTAATTGCTGAAATTACAAAGTAGAAATTACGCGTAAATAGCAATATTGAACGGAACGAAATATATATTTTTGTAAATTAGGATGAAAACATTTTGTCTCAAAGCAAGATCAAGTACAAACTATTTGTCAAAAGTTGACTTTTCATTTATTTGTTTGGTAAAGCAAAACGTAGTTGCCATGTCTATATAAGACTTCCTAATTAAATAACACTAACAAATTCAACAGCTTCATAGACGGCCTTACGTCGAGCTTCAGTACGGGCAGTGTTGTAGCCAAGTGCTGAAAGCATGTGACCGCCACGCCGAACACCCTGGTTCGCTTTCCCACTTACATATAAGTACCGTCGAATTTCGTTGCGTCGAACTTGGATGTATAGAATTCCCGGTTATCTCAAACTCACCGGTCCAAGCGATATCCTTCTATATTTATCCTCATTTATACTAAGATCTGTCGAACTGGATGTTTTGAATTCCCGGTTGTCAAAACAACTTTTGGAGTTCCAAGTAACGAAATTAATGACATGATTTCCCTGATGACTCGGACACGTCATACAGTAGAATGGGTTGACTCTATTCTTTCTGATGAGGATCATGTTATTAATCAACTTCATCATTTAGAAAACTATAGCTCACTGAACGAAACGCTATCTATATAACAGTAGACACACCTACCCATTCTAGTGGAAAAGCTACAACGCAGTATCATTAGAGGAACTTTTTGTCACAGAAAGATCGTTTAGTAAATGGGGATCCGCGAAAATGTTAAAAAATCAAAATGAATGGAGTATCGATTTATATTTTTTTCAAATATCTCTCGGCAATTCAATCTTCAAATAACAGTGTCTATTTCTCGTCAATTAGCACCGGAACCTATCACAATAACGTCCTATGAACAAACAGTGGCAAATATATTCAAATACTTTCTCAATAATCCTGTCATTAGGGTGTAATATGTAATAATTATCGCAGACAGTGTAATAAATGGTGGCTTGTTAAAAATTCATCGGATCCTAATGTTAGATTGAAAAATGTTAAAAAAATGTATACCACTCTGTTGTTAATCAAAACCTAACAAAGCCTTCAGCGGCGTTTTCATTCTCACATATGTCCACTGCGTATCCATACCGCCAGGTTTGTCACGTAACGGTCAATAACTTCAACACAGACAAAGACACAGCTCCGTTAAAATAGCGCTTATCCGCCCTGTCCAATGCGTCGTTCTTGATAGTGTAATTCAATATTATTTATTGGATATCGATCTCATCTAATTATTAATTTCTAACAGTTATGATATTTGACAGCGTGGCTTTTTTATACCTATTTCCAGACAATTACTTGTCACGTCATCAGGTGATACGGGTATTGTGTAAAATGCTTGGGGAAATAGGCATGGCTTTTTACTTCCACACGTTTCATCTACGAGGTACAAGAATTGTTAATTATCAAAGCCGGGTTTTTTTAACGTATAGAGACTATTACACGAGTCTGTATGCCAAACACAGGCTTGCGAAACGAGTGGTATCTTGCGTCATTCGTCACCTCTCGCCCCTTTCCGTGACCTGCAAGAAGACTCGTACCCCTATCATGAAAGTTATGTGCGAAAATACGACAAAACCAATCAGATTGCGCGTATGACTTCGAGTACTTCGGTCACAGAATCCTTCATGAATAATGTTTGGTTTTACACATCTAAAATCTATCCACGATACAGCTAAATGCGTTCAATCATACTGTATAATAACTTAAGTCCGGTGTGTTTTAAATATCATCTTCAATATACGATATGATATATGAGGAAAATATACATGAATCATTACGTATGAAGTTGTCTCACGAGTTAACGATTCTTTTAGCTATGCCCATTTGCGCTTCGACCCAGCTTGGATCCAGTCCAAAATTGGCCACGGGAGGGGCACGAGTCGCTACTCGGCTAGTCCCGGAATAACACGAGTTGGTCACGAATGATCTTTGGTAGTTTAATGGTACGTGTGCGCTCATTCTGGTGAAATATTGAAAGATGTATGTAAAATATAAAAAATGTATCGCAATGAAAAATAGTATCAATGTATTCGACAGAAAACGGAAGGAATTATCAGCCATTATAATTTTTCAGTCAATCAATATATGTACACGCCAATATCTGAGCATGTTTTAAGATTCTATGAATTGCTACACGTATATATACCTCATGTACCAATGTTACATTTGTGTCTACTGAATTGAAATAAAAATATTTTTTTAAAAACCTTCCTGGCCGCTGTTACTCATTAAGTTAGTAAAATTCACTGGACATTTTACTCAGTGTTGCCTAAGCAGATTAACATTATATTTGCCATCAATGGTCTGAACTTTCGGGAAGTAGACCACCAGAAGGAGGGTTGGTTGTGACCACGTTTACTATGTACAGTAGTGACATGTGATCAAGGGGTTGGTTGTGACCACGTTAACTATGTACAGTAGTGACACGTGATCAAGGGGTTGGTTGGGGCGCCGTTAACTATGTACTGTAGTGACACGTGATCAAAGGGTTGGTTGTGACGCAGTTAACTATGTACTGTAGTGACATGTGATCAAGGGGTTGGTTGGGGCGCGGTTAACTATGTACTGTAGTGACACGTGATCAAGGGTTGGTTGTGACGCCGTTAACTATGTACTGTAGTGACACGTGATCAAGGGTTGGTTGTGACGCCGTTAACTATGTACTGTAGTGACACGTGATCAAAGGGTTGGTTGTGACCACGTTAACTATGTACAGTAGTGACACGTTATAAAAGGGTTGGTTGTGACCACGTTAACTATGTACTGTAGTGACACGTGATCAAGGGGTTGGTTGGGGCGCCGTTTACTATGTACAGTAGTGACACGTGATCAAGGGGTTGGTTGTGTCGCAGTTAACTATGTACAGTAGTGACACGTGATCAAGGGGTTGGTTGTGACCACGTTAACTATGTACTGTAGTGACACGTGATCAAGGGGTTGGTTGGGGCGCCGTTTACTATGTACAGTAGTGACACGTGATCAAGGGGTTGGTTGTGACGCAGTTAACTATGTACTGTAGTGACACGTGATCAAGGGTTGGTTGTGACCACGTTAACTATGTACAGTAGTGACACGTGATCAAGGGTTGGTTGTGACGCAGTTAACTATGTACTGTAGTGACACGTGATCAAGGGTTGGTTGTGACGCAGTTAACTATGTACTGTAGTGACACGTGATCAAGGGTTGGTTGTGACGCAGTTAACTATGTACTGTAGTGACGTGATCAAGGGTTTGTTGTGACGCTGTTAACTATGTACTGTACTGACACGTGATCAAGGGTTGGTTGTGACGCAGTTAACTATGTACTGTAGTGACACGTGATCAAGGATTTGTTGTGACGCTGTTAACTATGTACTGTACTGACACGTGATCAAGGGTTGGTTGTGACGCAGTTAACTATGTACTGTAGTGACACGTGATCAAGGGTTGGTTGTGACGCAGTTAACTATGTACTGTAGTGACACGTGATCAAGGGTTGGTTGTGACGCAGTTAACTATGTACTGTAGTGACACGTGATCAAGGGTTGGTTGTGACGCAGTTAACTTTGTACTGTAGTGACACGTGATTAAGGGTCCAGACTCTAATATTTACAGTCTGCTGTCATATGGTGGAAGCTTTTAACGACAAAAGATCAGTTTGATTACCAACACATCATGTAGGCCCTGACACAAAGATCTGGCTTAAAATATTTAAGTATCCCATTTGATCGCAACAACCATATCATCTAACAGAGTGTAAAAGAATTGTATACTCCACAAAGCCTGCCCCACACATGCAAACACCATAACTGCCGCTAACCGTTGACAAAGCCTATAGGGCAACATGGGAATAGTCAACTTGGCTTTCTATGTATACAAGATTGTCATCGTGTCATCACACCTTATTGATTAACTACAATTTAAGTATTCAAGTTATGGCAATACCATCTACACCACCTCAAAATAGCAATGCCGTAGGACCCTGCACAATGTACATTTTTAAAATATTGACTGTTATTATTTCTTAAAAGGTATTTCAGGTCCAAATACAAAGTTACAAAGTGTTTCAGTGTGACGTCTTGTCTCTTCGTATGTTGTGTGATCTATTGATATAATCTTTATCGCTATTTTACCTTTTACGCCCAATGGAATCTGTTTCGTCAGAAAATCGAGACTGATATCTATCTGGTGCTGACGGTATATATCTACTTGAGGGAGTCGATGTCTCTCCTGGTAGACTGAAGACCCCGAGGTTCATCATAAGTTCAAAGATATGTATGTATGTATGTATGTGTGTGTGTGTGTGTGTGTGTGTGTGTGTGTGTGTGTGTGTGTGTGTGTGTGTGTGTGTGTGTGTGTGTGTGTGTGTGTGTGTGTGTGTGTGTATGTATGTATATATGTATGTTATTTGACGACGGTCTGTAAATAATCGAGTCTGGACCAGACAATCCCGTAAATGACATCATGAGCATCGATCCACGTAATTGATGACATGCAACCAAGTCTACCAAGTCAGCGAGCCTTGACCACCCGATCCCGTTAGTCGCGTCTCACGACAAGCATAGTCACCTTTTACGGCGGCAAACATGGGGAAGACCTGTTCTGACCCGGATCTTCACAGGGTATATATATATATATATATATATATATTTATATATATATATATATATATATATACAAATAAAATAAGCTAGCAAGAACATTCTCTCGCGACAATCCCTTAGCCGTACCAGGACCTGCTGAAAACGGGTTCGAAGTCCTGATTCTTCCCGAGGATGATCCTTTGTCTGGCAATATCATACCTGTCCCCGTGGGATACACCACAGTGCTAACCATGCATCACCTGCGTTGATTTGGCCTTTCCTCCAACAGCAAGCTGACACACCGTGACATACCGAAATAATGTTAACAGTAATGTAGAAGCTAACTCACTCACCGACTCTCCCGACAGTTAGTTCTAAATAGTATCCAGACGACAGGGGTCGATGCTGTAATGTGCCCCAAGGGAATACAGCCCTAGACAAGCCAGACTGAAATAACCAAGATAACAGGGGAACTCTAGATGGCCATTACAATGCCAAATGAGTGGTTACATAATAGATAATACTAGATGCATAGATAATTTAGGAGGCTAATGACTATGTATCTATTGGTGCATGTCACTTTGTCAATGAGCAAGGAAATGTACTACACTGACAGACAAAAGAAAGTATGCACTTGAAATTCTGATTTGACAAAAAATACAAACGTTATCATGATGTTACTAGTCACCAAAACACCAGAACCTGACCTTTAGTCCGTTAAATAATGTTATCTTACTTAAATATATATACAAAATAAAAAAAACATAAAATCCAAATGGAGCGTATACTTTCTTTTGTCCGACAGTTTATATACATGTGTATAACGCACAATACCTTAGCGCATGCATACAATACCGTGACTTTGAAGTCATATGCTGAAAGCGATGGTTAAAAATCTTTATTTCCAAATAGAAGCAAAGTTCGTCATGCTGCAATTGCTTCTAAACTTTATTATGGATCATGGAACACTGCTGAATAGAGTCTATGACAGATATAGATGTACACAAGAAATTGTCCTTAGCCTATAGAATGAAGTAAATTTCTTGCTGTCGTGTTCTGTATAGAATGGCTTTTGAATAAGTTATTTTCCAAAGACATTTATTGTTATGTATTTCTTAAATTTATTATGTTATTAATTCTAGAAATATCCTTTCATCCAGATATAAAAAACCAACCCAAAATGCATTTAAAAAATGACAAGCTATTTTGTATAAATGTCACGATCCTTGTTCTGTAAATTGTTATTTTTTATGCACAACGGACGAGAACCTCCATGAGAAATAATGCATTTATGGACTGACTGAGCTGATGAAATGAGAGTGAACTATCGTCAAATAATGAACTTCACTTGTTTATAATTTGTAGAAAACGTGTCGTTCTTATTACAAAGTCGGTTTAAACCTCATTGCAATCAAATATATGTCTGGTATCATTGCTGATGTGGAGATATACTATTCAAAAGAAATGAAAGAACACCCGAGGTTTCCATAGGACTGTCATGCCATGTCTTTTCAGTAGTATAATACTATACCAAAAAAGTAAGGGAAAGTGGGAATAATCAAGACATATCTTCTGATCTATATGATATTGGCAAATGGAAATGATATGATTATATTTGTTTGGGAGTAGGCGGTCTGATCTAATTGGTTTTTATGGTTGGTGTGATGAGATGGTGTCGTTAAAGGGTCGTCAGTAATATCGACTAAAACCACCTCACTTGGCAAGACATGCACGAATTCTTCGAGGCATGATTCCGATGAGTCTGCCAATGTCAGCTTTTCTCATGTTGTTCCACTCGTCAGTGAGAGCAACACCGAGTTCATTGAGAGTGGTGGAGGGATTGTGACGTTGACGTACACGTCTGCCAATGACGTCCCAGACATGTTCAATGGGTAAAAAGTCAGGTCTGAGGGCAGGCCATGGTATGACATAGATGGTTTGCTGTTGGATGAATTGGGTCACAATCCTGGCACGGCCTTGAAAGATGAAGCGTTGCCCAACACGTCCTGCAAATGGCACGTCGAGTGGTGTAATGATGTTGTCCCGACAGTATTGACCCGTGACTCTACCATGGACAGTTTTGAGCGCAGTTCTGTCAGCCATTCTGATACCACCCCATACCATTATGGATCCAACCCCAATACGACCATGTTGTACGACGTTAACGTCCATAAAACGCTCATAAGGACGTCTCAAAACTCGATCATGTCGGTCATGGACGTCGAGAGTAAACCTCGATTCGTCAGAAAACATGAAATTAGCCCAACGTCGCTGATCCCAGTGCTGACGTTACCTTCACCAATGACGCCTCTTATTCAAACGACGTTTAGCAGGTTGTGGGATGACGCGTGGACTTCTTGCACGCCTGTTCTCTTACACCAGTTGCCTGTTGCAACCGGTCCCTCATCTGAGTGGCAGTTTGCAACCGATTTCGTCATACCATCGTTCTGACTAATCTGTTCAGGGCTACAGTTGTATCCCTTGGGCTTCCAGAGCGGCGTCGATCTTCGACGTTATGTGTTTGTTGGTATCGGGCTCACAATCTGCCAATGACAGATTGAGAAACATGCACCGATTGGGCAACAATATTCTGACGTGTGCCCACCTGTAACATGCCTATGGCACGTGTACGTTCAGCACTTTGCAAACGTCTCACGATCAATGCGGTTGCTTCCTTAGAGATTCAATGTGTTTAATGACGTGTCTTTAAGCATTTGGTTCCAAGAAAACGGTTTGCGCCCTCATAATCTAATTTCTAGACTAAACTTTTCCCAGATGATCTATAAACGCATGACTAAATCTGATCCCAGATGATCTAAAGCATGAGTTTACTGAGGTGCGTCGATGCAGTGGAAAAGGCCACATGAGACTCTATAGTGGATAATGGACTAATTAAGGACATACTGGTTAATCCGCTCGGTTATCACCCAATAGTTACACGTCCCATTTGTCACACACCTCTATATTCCCAGTTGTTTTACAGCCTGGGAGGAGGCCAGGGCCCCGTTCCACAAAACAATCTTAGCGCTAAGGTGATCATAACTCCCATACTTTTACACTGGCCTACGATAGTCGTAGCACTAAGATCGCTTTGTGGGACGGTGCCCTGGAGGGGATTAAGTAAGTCAACACCTACTGAGTAAAGGACCAATCTTAACGTCAACTGGAGGCACTTCAATCAGCAGAGACCATATACATTGATGGACCATCCACTTCCTGTCCTTGCTTGTCGTAAGAGGCGACTAACGGGATCTGGTGGTCAGGCTCGCTGACTTGGTTGATGCATGTCATCGTATATATACATCAAGTACAGGATTACGTTTCTACTTTTCTTGGATCACTCCATTCTAATACTTCGGTAACATAGGTAGTGCCTTCAGCCATGACCTGTGTAAGTAGTGGGAGGATACCATCCGCTCTACTCAGCTCAAGCAGTCTAAGTTGTAAACTGAACTAAGAGACTAGAATAAAGATTTGTTATTTCCTTTTCCTTTTAATTCAGAAGTACGGATTTATAAATGAAACAATATAAATAAATGTATGTTTGTAGTCATACCAATGTCAGAATGGCGAATGCACTTGTTGCTGTCAGATATTTACCGAATATACGCGGAGGCTTACCATCCTGGCAATGAGTGAGTGAGTGGGGTTTAACAGCGCTTTTAACAGTATTACAGTTATATCGCGGCGTGTCAGCTTAATGTGGGAGGAAAGTGATGCAGGTCTCAGACGTTTACCACTTCGGTTGCTGGCAATAAGTTCAAGGTTAACAGACAGAAAGATGACACAACATATTGAAGATGCACAGTTCAGCACTGCAAAGGTACAATCCAGACCTCCGATGAATCTGCTGCTGAAAGTTGGACCAACCCCACAACCAGGAACTCTTACCTCACATCCATGATGTAGACGTGTTCAAGGCGAGGCTGCTGGAGAGGTCAAGAACAGAGACTACGCTCATCCATCTATGACGATGAGCTGTTCGTCGAGAGGAAGAATGCTGACCTGATACCAACGCAAGCCCTTCAGCACTTTCCTACATACATCTCTGTGAAATCACCGACTTACAGAAAGGCAGAAGACTCGTCACAAGGTACCCAAGACAAGACAGTCTATCCAACTGGAGGGCGAGCCGGTGATGACTTTCTGATTGCTGGTGAAGGTGACAACAACGAAAGCATTATACTCTTCACCACAAGAGAAAACAAGAACACCTCTGTGATGCTGATGTAGTATATGCTGATGGAAAATACTATTCCTCTCCCAAACTCTTTTTGCAAGTCCACACTCTCACTGTCTTTGTCTACTCTCTGCTGCCAAACAAGAACGAGGCAACCTACACCAGGACATTTCAGACGATACAACAAGAAGCAGAGCGACACCATCTGCTTCTCCAACCACAAGTCCTTTCAGATTGACCTTGAAGAGGCTGCTGCAAATGCTGCTACTCCTGCGTTCGACAGAGTACAGATCCGCAGATGTTTCTTCCACTTTGCTGAGCCATGTGGAGAAGGATACGTTCAGGACTTGTGCCGCTTTACAAGGAGAACCCAGAGTGGTCACACGTCATATTTGTGGTCACATTGATATTTATCAGTGACATTTACATATTCATGTCTTTGAATTGCTATTGTTATTGTTGTATATGTATATATCATGTACAAAGTTTGATATTGTCTGTAAACATGTAAGTTTACTCTTTGAATTGATTATTGAACCTGATAACCCCTCAGATGAGGATGAAATGACAGCCCACTTAACAACCCATTCCCACAAGATCTAATAACAAAAAGTCACCATGCGTGCATTCCCTCATGACCTAATTAATTTTTGGTACCTTGGGTGGGAAGTGGGATGACATCAAGAAAACAATATGCGTCTGCTCACAACCGAGTCTTGAGTGTGCTGTCCAAGGTCACGTGCTTCATTATTATTTTTGGGAGCTTGATTTAATGTTATGAGTTTTGTTCCCAGAATGTTAATCACACAGTGGACATGCTGTGATGTTTTGAAACATAATGTTTAGTTGGTCATATACATTTTATACCCCTCCTTTCAGAATAATATTGTGTGCCTTTTAAGCACACAAGATATTCTGTCTCAAACTGGTCTCTGATGATGTTTGCGACTTAGATGACGTAGCATATTTATAATATACATCCAAACAACAGTTAACACAAAGCATGTTTGTCACAGGGACGTCCGTAGATTCTGCGAACGTGATCAGCAAAGACGCTAGCAAAGCTAGCCACAACAATGGCGAGAGCACCTACAAGTTGCCGAAACACCTTCTGTACAGCACCCCCTCTCCTTCACTGGAGCCTCCCCACCGCCGAGTGCGGAGGGACCTCACCCTCAGTGAGGACCGGATTCACATACACGGGAGACTCCGCATCATTCACGGGATAGACTGGAACCCGGACTTCCTGTACAGCAACACGTCGGCATTCGTCGACTTGGAAGATAAAATCATCAATCTGGTAAGTTCCGATTGACAGACGACACGTTGGCTGATCGGGTGGACAGACAGATGGGGGCGGCTAAGTGTGGCTGCCTAGATGATTGGTTGTTTATGGAGTGATGGATGGATGGGAAGTGTGATGAATACATTGATGGAGCGTGGATAGGATGGTGAGATAGATGGATGATGGATAACTAAGCTTGAAAGATGAATTGCCATTGTTTAAATGGATAGGAAGCGTGATGTATAGGCGTAGATGCAAAGTCCACTTTATTTTAACAATATTGATCCTTGCAATCATTTTTTGTAAAAATATTGAAATTCGTTATATTTGCAATCCAATTCTTAATCATACCGCGAGCAATCAAATTAACACATTGTTGACATCATGAGGGAATTATAGTGAACATACCGCTTCGAAGTAATATTTTTGTCCATAAGGACGCTGCGCATTCGCTTCCAATATTTTATGGCCCTGTCACACTACAACGTTTCAGAGTAACTTGCACCTAGCGTGTAAAAGACGGTTAGTACGCTGTCATACGTCGAGCTTTCATCGAAAAACCATGATTTTGGCGTATCCATAGCGTATTCATAACGAGTTCACCGTTTATGCAACGCATGTCTAACGTATTAGCAGCGTATCTCTGACTTATACATAACTTATGACAGGGTATAAAAGCGTATTGCCAGCGTTTGCCTAGCGTATGAGTAACGTATGACTAGCGCGCTCAGTGTAGGGGAAAGGTGCCTAAAACGGGCCCCGCGGTAATATAACTAGTAGTGTACGCCCATTCATCAAATTACAACGAAAAGCGATAGCAGTCTAGATATGTAAAAAGTTCATACGTGCCCATACGCTGAAAATTGTGTGCAAGCACAAAACTGTTTTTAAGCCTCGGCGTACAACAACGTATACCAGCGTGCTTTTAACGTATACAATTTACACCAACTTATCCATAGCGTGTTTCAGCGTTGCCGGCGTTTTCTCATTCTCATACGTCGCCATACGTTACTGCTATACGTAGAAGTGTGACAGGGCCATTACAGTCAGTGTTCAAAATCACAGGGGGCCGGCAACTGCCCCCACCCCGTTCCTACGCCTATGACCTGGATATGTACATTGATGAATGATGGATAGGATGGTCAGCGCTGCCTTTGAGGTTAAAGACTAAAAAAAGGTGTAAGCTATAAACTTGATAGACTGCCAAGTACTATCACTCACTCACTCATTCATAAATTCTCCATTGTTCTTATTTTCAGCTGGATTCAATACTTCTGTCGAGCTCCCTGTCGGATAACTATTACTCTGCCGTCATCCAAGGCTTCAGGTCGGTCGCATATGTCCTATCAATCATAGCCTGTAATGAATTTCTGTGCATTTTTTATGAAATGATAAATGGAAAAGATTGAATAGTGAGCTTTATGATCTAAAATACTTTCACATAAGTGGAGGCACGCCATTGCTTATACAGCTAAAAAGATGAAGAAAAGTCGGCGTGGACACCGCGTTTTGGAACTGTAGGTGTGCCGCGTGCAACAGAAGAATACATTTCTACTGAACAGGGGGGTACGCACTGTGTGTGACGTACTGCACGTGGAGTTCATGTTCTACGTGTATTCGTCAATGCATCACGTCGACTCAACGCTGTAGTTTTTGAAATCACTGGCCCACGGGCAAATCTCCTCCGTTGTTGATATGGACTGAACGGGTTATGCAGATTCGCGTCAACTGTAAGAGAGTGATTTTTGTTTTGTAAGTTTGTTAAGCAGTATATATCGTGATATATTTCAACCTATTAAATCAGAAAAGGTAAATTGTATTAAGGTATCGATTATTTGATATCCCAGACCCCCGCCCCGAATAACAACTACAGTCCGTTTGACTCCAAATGAGAACGATGAATTGCAAAATAACTCGAAATCCAGAAAAGTGTATGAACTGCTGGTGCCTGAACCGACTGCCACTATTATAGTTTGGACTGTTGCTGGCCGTAGTCCATCTCGTGACCAATAACGTGGCTCTATCTCGTCAACGACTGTGGCCACACAACGCCTCCATGTTTCTACTGTTACCCGACCAAGGGATTCCTTTACGAGTTGTTCAACGTCTCGTAATTTGAACGTTGTGTTCGATCGTCCAACGTCACCCTTGACGATGCCCCATACCAACTCGATTGGATTCAGGTCGCAGTGATAAGGTGGCAGTCGTAAGACAGCGTGACCCTGACCCTTGATGTAACTGTCAACTTTATACAAGGGGTCAGGTTTCATAGTTTTGATGATTTCATAGAGCTGTGGTTTCGTCGCTCGAGAAGGAAAGGTTTATGTTCCTACGTTGCAGCCAAGTAACCATGTCTCCTTTACGGTTATTAGAGGTTGGAGTCTTGCTTTCTGGATCCTGCACACTATGATACGGTGCATTATCCATGACAATGAGAGACTTGGTAGGCAAAGCAGGGACTAATTTATCTTTCACCCACTCCAGAAATACATTGCCGTTCATTTCTGTGTGGTAGTCCCTGTTGTCTTTGGCCTTGGCTCTAAAGACGAGGTCACAGTCTGGGAGAAAACCCTGACTAGCAGAACCAGCATGGAAAACTATGAGTCTTTCACCCTTTCCCATTGGTAACTTTCTACCAGACTCCTTACAGTCACCACTGGGTACCCACTGACTGCTGGCTGTGTGTGACGCATTTACCCATGTCTCATCTAAGAAGACGGACTCATATCCTTCTTCGCGTTTCTGCTTGATGGTACGAAGGTAATGATTTCGGAGACGAACAATGTCAGACCGTTCACACAACACAGCCCTATTTTCTTCAGTTATCTTTTTGTATTTGTAACCAAATGTATGCAACAGCTGCAATAGTTTGTACTTTGTAACACGTAAATCATGAAGGGTTTCAAGGTGTTTCTTCAAAATTCTTAGGGACAGGTACTTATTTTCTGAGTGCAGTTTAACAATTGCACGTCCGACTTGATCCCTCTGACAACTGTCTAATTTATCAACCTTGCGTGGTTTTGACATGTTCCCTACCTCCTTGGCCTGACTATTTGTATCTCGTCGACTAACAACATTTTTAAGTTTCTGAGGGGACATACCAAGAGCTTTTGAAGCTCGTTTCAAGAATTTATTAATTGCATAAAAGGCTTTGCTCTTTCTGCTTCACTTCTAAAGAAATTATACACATTCAACATCAACTGTTTAACATCTGCTGAGTAGCGCATCTTGTCATTGAATGAACACGGTCACTGTGTAGCGCGTGCAGACCGTGCTTGCGCTGTTCCTTCCACGGTTTGTCCCCCTACGTGTCATGTACACATTTCTATACACAATTACATGATAGTTTCTTAAAGAACTTCATCCGTCATGGGTCTTAAAATAAACAAAATTCAGATTTTGTTGGGTACAGGGTATTCATGGTCAAGTACCGTATTGATGTTTCATACACTTTTCTGGATTTTGAGTTATTTTGCAATTCATCGTTCTCATTTGGAGTCAAATGGACTGTTGTCGCATGTTACGCCCATCTGTTGCCACTGGTAACACACGCTGAGCACAACTAATATTGTGCATTTACGTGTCTGTTTCGTGAGGGGGCACGGGTGGCCCAGTCGTCTAAGGCGCCGTGATTCGCTGTGCAGAGCTGCCTCCCTTGGGCACGCCAGAAACCTATGATTGTGGGTTGGAATCTTTGTTCGCCCTGATTATGTTTCTAGGTTTGTTAGCACCATACCCGTGCTCGTGGGTTTCACCGAAGTGGTAAACGTCTGAGACTTACATCACTTCGGGCTTTCCTCCCACATAAAGCTGACCCGCCGTGATATAACTGGAATACTGTTAAAAGCGGCGTTAAACCCAACTCACTCATTCACTCACTGTTTCGTGATGTAGACGTGAGTTTAACCTCGATACTTTCATTTCAGAGAAGGCAGTGTGGAGGTGGACTTCACAATCGTATTGAAGACTCCCAACACAACCAGCAACAGCAGCAGCGACAACTCCACCACCGTCATCGACGGCAGCACCCTTACTGGCGTTTTCATGGATGCACTCAGCAATGCCTCGTCAAACTTCAGCGTAGAAACGAATCAGACAAATTTCTTTGGTCAGTATTGCCGTGTTGTCAGTAATCCAACACAATTTCTTCATGTTACGACATCGTATAACACAGAGTTGGCTAGAATCTATCAGAATCGGTCTTCAGCAAAAGATTCTTGTCTTAATAGGCGACTAACGGAATCGGGTGGTCAGGCTCGCTAACCGATGCATGTCATCGTAGCCTAATTGCGTAGATCGATGGTTATGACGTCGATTATTTACATACCGCCGTCATATGACTGGAATATTGCCAAGTGCGGCGTTCAATAACAAACAAACAAACAAACCTCTAGCCTTTCACCAACCGGGAATCCCGGGGAGACTAAATCTTGCTATCCAGGAACCTTTTCTTTTCGATAGTGACTAACGATGATGGGACAAACAAACAAATTAATCAAAATCGTATAGCATAAAATAATACAATGAGAATTGAAAAGCGAACATATTGACATCCAAAATACAAATTATGAAGCCTGGTATTATGCAAAGTTATGTAGCTTTCTTATTATACATTTCTGTCGATCCGAGAGTGATGACTCGAGGTTTAATGTCCCTTCTACATGCCTCATAGCCAAAACTGGGGCGGCGTGTAACGGTTGAATCATCACAGCGAAGTGAGTGATTTGTGTATTGCTTTTAGCAATATTCCAGCAACACCACATCGGGAGGCAATAAATGAGCTTCAGTCATTGTACCCATGTAATAAATCGAACCTTCAGCGTGACGAACGAACGCTTTAACAACTAGGCCACCCAAACGCCCCCAGTCACACCGGAGACCCATGAGTACAAGCGGGAATCTGTTTCTTGGAGTCCAAAGCTTTGCAATGGCTGGACTGTTTCTTAAAATGGCGTACAATCATACCCACTCACGCCTCAGTGTTATAGTACCCTTCCTGATATGCAGACACACATGTTGCTGTAGAAGTGCAATAACCTATTACATGACGTTAACCCCATTTCACCTCAGCCCAATGCCACACTCTAAATCGCATTTGAAAGATGGGACAGCAAAGATTCCAGTCACATCAGGTTTCCTCGAATCATATGTCACATCCTGAACTATTTCTTGCAACAAACCGTTTTTATAGATGAGGATTTCACCCCTCAAATAGTTACAAAATAAATATATATAATATATATATAAATATATCTTTTTTTGTCATCATCAAATACCTTCTAGTAATGCCTTGACACAGTGTTTGTGCTTTGTGTTGACAGAGGTCGTGATTGAGTCAGCAGCCAGTATCATCAGCCAGACAGACTCTACAGAGACTCTGAGTTCTCTGATGTCCTCCTACCTTGAACTCACCACTCAAGGACAGTCCTCAGACGTAATGTCCTCACCGACTAGCTTACCAGAAGCAGTAAGCCTCATTACAAGTTCGCCAGTAAGTGACCTTTATTCTGATTCGGTTGTTGATAGCTCGCATGGCTCGTCAACAGAACTACCAAGCGCTGCACTGCTGACATCTGTTAGTCTGCTATCTCAACACTCCTCCGAGTCCACTGTGTCTTCATCCGAGACTCAAACAGCAGAGCAAACTGATCCCACCAAGCAACTGTCAGCTTCTGCTTCTGTCATCTTATCTACAGATGCTACTGCTATGCTCTCTTCTGAAGCTTCATCAACTGCCCATTCATCTACTATTTCATCATTCGTGACATCATCATCATCTTTGGCATATGCTGATTCTTCTGTTATCTCATCTGAAGCTCCATCAACTGTTTCTTCATCTGCTGCCTCGTCTACTGTAATGCCATCTTCAGCGGATTCCTCAACTGTAATGTCATCTTCAGCTGATTCATCAACTGTAATGTCAACTTCGGCTGATTCGTCTTCTGTAATGTCATCGTCGGCTGATCCGTCTGCAGGTTCGTCTGCTGTAATGTCATCTTCAGCTGAAATGTCTACCCCTTCGTCAACCGTGATGTCATCTTCGATCGAAACCGCTGCCTATTCACCTACCATGTCATCTTCAGTTGATTCGCCTACTGTAATGTCATCTTCAGCTGAATCGTCTACTGTAATGTCATCTTCAGCTGATTCGTCAACTGTAATGTCATCTTCAGCCGATTCGTCTACTGTAAAGTCATCTTCAGCTGATTGGTCTACTGTAATGTCATCTTCAGCTGATTCGTCTACTGTAATGTCGTCTTCAGCTGATTGGTCAACTGTAATGTCATCTTCAGCTGATTCGTCAACTGTTATGTCATCGTCAGCTGATTCGTCTACTGTAATGTCAACTTCGGCTGATTCGTCAACTGTAATGTCATCGTCAGCTGATTCGTCTACTGTAATGTCATCTTCAGCTGATACGTCAACTGTAATGTCATCTTCAGCTGATACGTCTATTGTAATGTCATCGTCAGCTGATTTGTCTACTGTAATGTCAACTTCGGCGGATTCGTCAACTGTTATGTCAACTTCGGCGGGTTCGTCAACTGTAATATCATCGTCAGATGATACGTCTACTGTAATGTCAACTTCAGCTGAATCGTCTACTGTAATATCATCTTCAGCGGATTTTTCTTCTGTAATGTCATCGTCAGCTGATTGGTCTACTGTAATGTCATCTTCAGCTGATACGTCTGCTGATTCCTCTGCAGTTTCTACATCCACGATCCCATTAGAAGCTTCGCCAACTGCCATTCCATCTGCTGCTTCTTCAACGGTGATATCAACTTTAACATCTGCTGATTTCGCTGAACCTTCCACAACTATGACCCCAACTGATAATCTGTTACCTTCATCACTGGTCACCTCAACTGAAGCTGTGGCTTCTCCGCTGGAAAGCCTGTCGTCGACAGAATCCACAAAGGTAACACAGGCCCATATACTTGAATCATTCATCACTAACTTTTCGGAAACTATTGCAGAAACATCATTATCATTATTATTATCGTCATCGCCTGCTTTAACGTTGATGCCCCCAGCTCCTACCCTCTTCAGCAGTGATGCAGGCAGCACCACCGAAGACATATCATTTTACACTGAACATGTTCCAGTAGGAGGTAGTAGCATTGCGACGTCTGATTCATGGTCTGATTCAACAGTAATGTCACCTTCAGCTGATTCGTCAACTGTTATGTCATCTTCAGCGGATTCGTCTACTGTAATGTCATCGTCAGCTGATTCGTCTACTGTAATGTCATCGTCGGCTGATTCGTTCACTGTAATGTCATCGTCGGCTGATCCGTCTACTGTAATGTCATCGTCGGCTGATCCGTCTACTGTAATGTCATCGTCGGCTGATTCGTCTACTGTAATGTCATCCTCAGCTGATTCGTCTACTGTAATGTCATCGTCGGCTGATTCGTTCACTGTAATGTCATCGTCGGCTGATCCGTCTACTGTAAAGTCATTGTCGGCTGATCCGTCTACTGTAATGTCATCGTCGGCTGATTCGTCTACTGTAATGTCATCGTCAGCTGATTCATCTACTGTAATGTCAACTTTGGCTGATTCGTCAACTGAATTGCCAGCTTCGGCGGATTCGTCAACTGTAATGTCAACTTCGGCTGATTCGTCTACTGTATTGTCGTCTTCAGCTGATTCGTCAACTGTTATGTCATCTCCGGCTGATCCGTCTGCTGATTCATCAACCATGATGTCATCTTCGATCGAAACTTCCACCGCTTCACCTACCATGTCATCTTCAGCTGATTTGTCTACTGTATTGCCAGCTTCGGCGGATTCGTCAACTGTAATGCCAACTTCGGCTGATTTGTCAACCGTAATGTCATCTTTAACTGATTCGTCTACTGTGATCTCATCTTCAGCTGATTCGTCTACTGTAATAACATCTGCTGATTTCGCTGAACCTTCCACAACTATGACCCCAACTGATAATCTGTTACCTTCATCACTGGTCACCTCAACTGAAGCTGTGGCTTCTCCGCTGGAAAGCCTATCATCGACAGAATCCACAAAGGTAACACAGATCCATATACTCGAATCATTCATCACTAATTTTTCGGAAACTATTGCAGAAACACCATTATCATTATCGTCATCGCCTGCTTTAACGTTGATGCCCCCAGCTCCTACCCTCTTCAGCAGTGATGCAGGCAGCACCACCGAAGACATATCATTTTACACTGAACATGTTTCAGTAGGAAGTAGTGGCATTGCGACGTCTGATTCATGGTCTGAGTCAACAGTAATGTCATCTTCAGCTGATTCGTCAACTGTTATGTCATCTCCAGCTGATCCGTTTGCTGATTCATCAACCGTGATGTCATCTTCTATCGAAACCTCTGCCTCTTCATCTACAATGTTATCTTCAGCTGATTCGTCAACTGTTATATCACCGTCAGCTGATTCGTCTGCTGTAATGTCATCTTCAACTGATTGGTCCACTGTAATGTCATCTTTAGCTGATGCGTCTGCTGATTCCTCTGCAGTTTCTACATCCACAAACTCATTAGAAGCTACCATGTCCCCTTCAGCTGATTCGTCTACTGTAATGTCATCTTCATCATCATTAACAGGTTCCAGTGCTCCCGAGTCAGCTGCAGTAACATCACAAGAAGCTTCCAGCTCAACTTTAGTAATGCTGGAGACATCTTCACCGATTACGTCCGACAGCAGTACAAGACTTTTGACTGAAGAAAGTGGACAGTTCTCAACATCGGTCGAGACCCATGGACTAACTACTGAAAGTAGTTTTGATGTTAGATCCACATATATTCCCGGCTCGTCATCCGATTCCATAAGCTATTCATCAGTGGGATACACAACAAATGAAGTTTCAATTAGTATTGGTCATCCATCATCAAGTACAGATAGACAATCTTCATCGGGTTATGGTAATGCTGCAGTGGAATCATCAACATTCACAGTGCATAATTCCCCTTTAGGGAGTTCAACAACAGTTGTCCCTGTTCTGAGCAGTGCCAGTGCTGTTATAACACAATCATCTTTGTTCAGTTCATCCGTGGAGCAGGTTAGTTCAACTCAATTACGTAATGGTATGTCAGATCATGTGTATTCCACTGTTTCATCCTCAAGTGCAGAAATGGAAGGAGCGTCATCCGTTTTTCCAGAAATATTGGTGTCATCTCACCAGTCAACACCTCAGCAAACTTCAACACCTATTCAGGCATTGTCATCACGTTATTCGATGCTAGAAGGCAGTACTGGAATATTTTCTGAAAATAGTATTTTTGAATTTACATCATCAAATGACTTGAGTGACTTAAGTCCAGCACTGAGCAATCCTCAGAAAGCAGCATCTTCAACTGTCACGTCGTCAGAAGCTGTAACATCAACGATTAACAGTGACGACAAAACATTGGAATTGAGTTCCTCTTCATCATTAATGTTAAACAGCAACAGTGACTCGGTTCCAAAATCCACAGAAGCACTTCATGAACCATCTTTCGCCGAGGAAACATCACTATTTGTGTCTGAATCATCAATAGCAGTTCCTGTAACAGCCACAGTTTCGAGTTATGGTTCATTGTCAGTGTTAAGCAGCATAGCAACTACTGATGGACTGCATGAACCGTCACTCGCCGAAGAAACATCACTGTTTGTTTCTGACTCATCCTCAAGGTATATTGTCTCTCTTGAAACTGCATTTGGAACATTACAAACAACTTCAGATGTCTACCCTGCATCCTCTACTGTGGAACATCACACTGCAAGCAGTGGCATGGATGAAACTTACAGCATCAAGGATGCATCAGAACTGGTAACACCATCAGCAGCAGCAGAAATTTCATCTGACACTGATCAAACCTCAACCGTTCATACTACAACAGAACATATATATTTATCATCCCTGAGCAACATTTCATTAGCAACAGAGATGTTGTCAACACTAGTTTTGGCAAGTTCCAAGATTTCATCAGTTAGACTGTCATCAATAGTTGAAATTGTCTCATCAAGCGCTCAAACACAGGTGACACCGGACGCCTCACTTGATGTCACCTTTATAGAACCTGGAGTGTCAGTAAATAATGAATACCCAATTTCCTCTACGACCGTACAGGCTACATCCGGAATTACTGAAGCCTCACCAGGTCTGATTGCCTCATCAGTATCAGAATTGACATCAAGTGCCCTGGGTATCTCAGAACTATTTGAAGAATCTTCATCTCAGGGAATCCTACCATCGATACCTCACGTGTCATCAATTTTTATTCAGGTGACTTCAGAGATCACAGATGTCACAGCCACCTCATCGACAACGCTATTCGATATTAAGGAATCACCTTCCGATTATCAGTTCACCCCTTCAAGTGCTCATATAACTTCACTTCAATCCCCATCCCTTGGCATCAGGACATCAATATCTGCAGCATCAACTGCAACCCATTCTACCGATCCACCCATCATCAGTTCTATGACTAAGGTATTAAATATTGTGTCAGATAGTTATGTTACTGCTTCAGTGTCTAGTAACAATAATGCTGATGTGCAAGAAAGTAATTCTCAATTGGATGGATATTTTTCCTCACCAAGTACATCGCCGTCAGTTGAAACACCTTCATCAATGGGTGGTATCTCCTCAGTATCTAATGTAGCATCAAGTGATACTCACATCCTCTTCTCAACAATAGCCCTAATGACATCAGAGATTATCGAGGCCTCACCCCCAGTTGTTCCTGTTTCATTTACTAAAACATCAGCTAGCGCTGACGAAAACTCCGCAGCAAGTTCCAAAGCCACATCTAAGGACATTGATTCATCACCAACAGTAGGTAGTGATAATGCCACCCCTTCGACAGATATCCCTGAAACTATATCATCAGTGTATGAGACAACATTGAACACTGATCAAGTCCTCATGTCGCAAACCCAAGTTACATCCGACACCACTGAAACTATTTCCGTGCGAATGATATCATTATCACCATCCATTGGGGTTTTATCAAGTGCTGAACAGGTCATCTCAACAAGTACCCAAGCTGTTTCAAAAGGTACCAGTTCAATTGCCATGATCTCAACAACTATTGAGGCATCATCTATCCCTGATCAAGTATTGTCATCCAGTGACCAAGCTTCATCTGAGGCCAGTGAATCGTCCTCATCATATGGCATAGCCGCTTCGGCGATTGAGGCATCATCTAGCTCTGATCAAGTCACCCTTTTAAGTGTCCAAGCTATATCTGGGGCCACTGGAATCTCCTCATCTCTGGTTGATTTTGACATATCATACACCACTGATCAACTCATATCGTCAGATGGCTATACTTCCATTGCTTGGTCATCACTGCCGGGCATTGAGACAGCAGCATTTGCAGCATCAACAAGTGTCCCTGTTTCAACCACAGCTGACCTCAGTGGGAACATCATTACGACAACTCAGGTATTAGATATTGTGTCAAATAGTTCGGTTACTACTTCCATGTCTATTGAAAACTATGTGTATGTGTCAGAAAGAAGTGCATTAGACCACCTTCTAACATCAACAAGGGCTCAATCAGAGATCATTGCGACTTCATCGTCAGTTGATCTAGTCACTGCAGTGAGTGAAATGGCATCTGTCACTGGAATAATCTTCTCAGCAAATTCCGAGGTCACCTCGGAGATCAATAATACATCACCAATAGTGGAAATGGATCATGTCATCACCTTGAAAGTTATCATTTCAACTTCATCATCAATAAATGGTATATCACCTAGCTGTGAACAAGTCATCTCAGCTACCCAGGCTACATCTGTGGCCACTGGACTTTACTCGTAATTTAGCATGGCCTCCTCAATAGAGGGCTCAGAAACTTCCTCATTTGTAGGCATTATATCGCCGATGATGGAAACACCCTACAGCACTGATCAAGTTAGCTTGTCAAGTGTCCAAACTAGATCTGAGACCACAGAAACGTTTTCATCATATGACATGATATCTACGGCGATTGAAGCTTAATTTAGCATTGATCAAGTCATTTCAACAAGTGCCCAATCTACATCAGAAGCCGTTGAAATTTCCACGTCATATGACATGGTCTCCTTGGCGACTGTGGCATCATTCAGTGCAGGGCGAGTTATCTCGTCAAGTTCTCATACCACAGTTGAGGCCACCGAAACATACTCAATAGTGAGTATAGTCTCTTCAGCTGTTGAGGCATCATCTAGCACTGTTCAAGTCACCTTTTTAAGTGTCCAAACTACATCTGAGGCCACTGAAACTTCCTCATCAGTTGGTATGGACCTCTCAGTGATTGAGGCACCATCTACATCTGATCAAGTCATCTCAAGTGTACAATCTATATCTAGAGGTTCCTCAACATATGGCATGGTCTCTTCAGCGATTGAGGCATCATCCAAAACTGATGAAGTCGTTATATTTAGTATCCAAGCAACATTTGAGGCCACTGAAACATTCTCATTAAAAAACATGGTCTTCTCAGCGATTCAAGTGTCATCCAGTGCTGATCTAACTATCTTGTCCAGTGCCCAAACCTTTTATTTCTTCACCATTGTTGGTCATAGGTATATCAGCATTTGTGGCAGAAACTGCAATTAGCCCCGTTTCAACCACAGTAGTCCTCACCAATACATATTTCATCACTTCTGCAGCTCAGGTATTAAATATTATGTCAGATAGTTCTAGTACTGTTTCAGTAACAATTGTTATGTATCAGAAACTAGTTATCCATTCAAATATCGTCAAACACAGATGGAATCTACTCACCAAATGGTCAGATATCTTCAGAGATCATTGGCACTTGGCATCATTTGGTCCTGTCTCTTTTCCGAATGAGGGGCGGTCGGGTAGCCTAGAGGTTAAAGCGTTCGCTCGTCACGCCGAGGACCTGGGTTCGATTACCGACACGGGTACAATGTGTGAAGCCCATTTCTGGTGTCCCCCGCCGTGATACTACTGGAGTATTGCTTAAGGCGGCGTAAAACCATACTCACTCACTCACTTTTCCGAATGATGATGAAATCATGACAACCGGTGCCCTTGCTGTATCAGCTCTAATTGTTGATGCCTTTTCACGGGTCATCACGACAATGGCACCTGAATCAGCAAGATCGGTTAGTTTCCACCCTACAACTGATCGAACTGAAGCAACCATCACCACTTCAATGATGACACAAGCAGAAGGTGATGTGTCAGATGTTTCTGTTACTGATTCAATGTACACTGCAAACATCGTTCATTTGTCACAAGTGCTCATTTGTCTCAATCATCAGCAAATTCAGACATAACAACATTATACTCTATTAACGATGCAAATGCAACCAGTGGAGTGTCGGTGCCAATTAATATGACCACAACCATGGAGAGTTCTTCAAGTCAAATCAAGCATATATACGTTATAGAGGTTTGGTACATTTCGTCACCTCAACTGTGTTATCAAAGAAGACTTCTGGCTTGTGACAGTGAGTAGTGACAATGGTTCTAATGCAGTATCCCTAGTCATCCTCACTACACTTGAGCCCAGTATTTCAACATCCCCCGTGACTGATGCAGACATAACAGCCACACCACTATTCAAATCAAGATCTTACTACATCATTCGTTTTGTAAATTGACAGAGAACACATTACATCACTTCACTTAGGGACCAACCATTTAATTATGCTTCAGTGTGTTGAAGAAAAGACATTGCCAGGCACAAAAAGTACATCGTTGCAAGTTGTGTTTTTTTAAAAGAAAGTATTTGGACGCAAAGTTTTGCTTTTATGAAAGAAATATCTGCTTTTTTTGCTAAAGCTGAAACAATATCCAGTCCCCATACAAAATTCCTGAATCTTCAGTGTCAGCTATAACTGGCGCACTGTCACCAAGTGACCATCTACCCACAATGACCAATAGGCTAGCTGAATCTTCAGTCTCAGCAATAACTGGCGCACTGTCACCAAGTGACCATCTACCCACAATGACCAATAGGCTAGCTGAATCTTCAGTCTCAGCAATAACTGGCGCAATGTCACCAAGTGACCATCTACCCACAATGAGCAATAGGCTAGCTGAATCTTCAGTGTCAACAATAACTGGTGCACTGTCACCAAGTGACCATCTACCCACAATGAGCAGCAACCCATATGAGTCGTCGTGCCAACAGCTGGTTCCACAGCAAGCACAACCATCTCATGTATTTGAACATCCACCCTGCTTTGTCTGTTTCTGTCACTGATATATCAACTCAGAATCTGTCACCTACAGATGTAATCCTATTAATTTTACGTTCAATCTCTTCTTATCTTTGTTCATCATATTGCACTATTTAAAGTCACTTAGAAAGTAGTGTTTAATCAATCTTCCCACCATCACAATTGTGTACTAAATCTTCAAATTGATCACTGAAAGCAATATTGGTAAATCACATACCTAAATAGCTTTCACGTTCAATTTCTTCTTATCTTTGTTTATTTTATTGCACCCTTTATAGTCACTTAGAAAGTAGTGTTAAGTCAATCTTCATGTTGTCATAATTGTGTCCCAGCTCTTCAAATTAATTATTGAAAGTAATGTTGGTAAATCACGTACCTAAATAGCTTGATACATCGTCAGTCGAAGTAGAAAGTACTACACAGAACTTTCAACTCAAAACATTTTGCTTAAGGAAAATATGACGTTTCAATTGAAACTAATATGATGACCCCAACAAGTGTTTCAGAGATTTTCATAACACCCTGTATTAAGTTACCACAATATCAAAGTTTATCAAGTAAGGTTTTGTCACTACATCTCCCAATCCACAATCAGATTCATCAGTGGAAGATTAAAAAAGAACAGAATCAACATTAATGTGGACTTCTCAACACGCGTTACAGTAAGCAATATGTTATTCTTTTATAGGAGGAAGGTGTAAGTACGAGGGCAGGCTGAAAAGTTCTAAGCCTAAGTGGGACATCTCAATCGGATTGAAACAAACTTTTGCCACCAACAAGTACAATCATTTAATGAATCATAGACATAAGAACTGCAACTGTAGTGTTATTATTGTCTTTGTACCAGACCATCTTGTGAACCTACCCATTGAAATCCCCACAGATGGACAAAACTGGCTGTAGGGCAGTCATCAAGTACCTGCAACTGAAAGGGCTAACTCCAACACAGATACATGCTGACATGGTCTCCACTATAGGGGATGATGCCCCTTCCTTTTCCACTGTAAAGAAGTGGGCTGCGGAATTCAAGCGTGGCAGAGAGAGCCTTGACGATGACCCGCGTCCAGGAAGGCCTTCAACAGCAACCATTCCGGAAAATATTACCCGGGTACATGACATGGTGATGGCTGATCGACGATTGACCACTCGACATATTGCCAGTGTTGTGGGCATCTCTCATGAGAGAGTTGAGCACATTATCACCAACGAGTTGTGAATGACAAAAGTTTCTGCAAGATGGGTGCCAAAGCTCTTGACAGCGGATAAGAAACGTGTCAGATTCCTTAGGTCCCGTGACAATTTATGGCGTTTTGAAGCAGATCCCGATGATTTTTGGCCCGATTTGTAACCATGGATGAGACTTGGATTCATCACCTTCAACCAGGAACCAAAATTCAGTCTAAACAATGGAAACATCCGGAATCACCAGCCCCCCAAAAAGCCAAGTCGGTTCCTTCTGATGGAAAGGTGATGGCTTCAGTCTTTTGGGATTCCAAGGGTATTCTGCTGATTGACTATCTTGAAAAAGGCCAGACTATCAATGGAAGATATTATGCTGACCTACTGAGATAGTTGCGTGAAGCTATCAAAGCTAAGCGACGGGGTATGCTCACTAAACGAGCCCTGTTCCACCAAGACAATGCTCCTGTTCACAAATCGGTGGTTGCCATGTCAGCGATCCATGATTGTGGCTTCGAACTCATTGACCACCCTCCTTATTCACCCGATTTGGCCCCGTCAGACTTCCACCTGTTTCCCAAAATGAAAAAGGAACAAGCCGGTCGCCATTTTCCTGGTAATGATGACGTCATTTCCGCTGTGAATGACTTTTTTAGGGTGGCTGAAAAAAATTCTTCTTGACTGGCATCCAGGCCTTGCAGCATCGCTGGCAAAAGTGTGTAAAACTGGAAGAGGACTATGTGGAGAAATAAATGAAAACCATCGACTTGGTACGGGTCTTTCACAGTTAGGCTTAGAACTTTTCAGCCAGCCCTCGTATATACAAAAAACTTATTTCTATTCTCACATCACAGATACGCCATGTGATTTCTGAATTACCTTCAGCTCCATGAACAAGTGAACCATATTCGCCAGACGAGATGGTATCTGCAAACAATATAACATCATGTTCCTGATCAATTATTTCCCTGATATCTCTTGAGCTAACCACCCTCTGCTGTCTCCACAGTGCTTTCATGAACCCAAGTTGATGACATTATTTCCTATAGCTATGGTGATTCCAATACTTTCATTTCCCAATGATATTCTTTGTTCCTATTCAGTGGAATCAGACAAATAATCAAAAATAGCACTTATGCTGACTGAGTCATAGTTAGGTAAAATAATGTAATTTGTTCACAACTTAGACCATTATCTTGTCTCTCCATAAAAACAAATCAGCATCATCTGTATATTGATCAACTGCTCTTAAAGTAGAAATTTAGCAACCAAGCCTTCCTCAACTGACCCTTCAAATAACATGCTTCAACTGTTATCCAAATCAACTGGAAGATCGAAACGGGTAAAACCAGACGTATGCCATGTCATATTCTGACAGTGTCTCTCAATATAAGAGTAATATCATGCATGTTTTACTGAGTAGTAGTAGAACTGTTATCCTCCATTCCTGAATCTTCATCTTACGAATATCCATTATTTTACCAAAATAAATGAAACCTACAAGCGCACAATCAGTGGATTTCAATACTGTCTTCATGTTGGTGCTACACCTTCAGCCGTACTTCATAGTCTTCCATATATGACACTGCTACGGATAAATCACCAAATGCCGATGTACATATACAGTATATCATATACTGGTCTGTGTACACTTGCAGTCGTCCTCAGATTGTCAGTATTATTCTGAACTGACCGCTCAATTGGGCATGAACGTATGTCATCGGGTGTACATATTTATGTGTTCTGGGGCCTTCATCATTGTTTCTCTTCATCGCCCAGTTTCATATCTGTCTGTATATCTATATCCTAGAGTACACATCTCTGGACATGATACAAGTATCATGCTATCCAGATAACCGACCAGATAAACAGGAAACCATCCATCCTCCCTTCATCTATTATTGAAAGAGAGACTATCGCGATCGTGATAATGAAAACAGCCCACATCTGACAGTCGATAATCGTCGTGTCCCTCACCTCTGAACAAACTGTAGCACGTTCTTATCACGTATTTGTTATGTTATGAAACAACATAGTCTCTTAACAACGCATGTCAACACGTACACTTACATATAATTTGCTATTCACATGGACAACCTGTGAAGATCCGGGTTAGAATAGGTCTTCAGCAACCCATGCTTGTTGAAAAGGCAACTATGTTTGTCGTAAGAGGCGACTGACGGGATCGGGTGGTCATGCTCGCTGACTTGGTTGATGTATGTCATCGAAACCCAATTGCGTCGATCGATGCTCATGATATCAATCACTTGATTGTCTTGTCACATAGCCGTAATATTGCTGAATGCGGCGTTAAACAGCAAACAAACAAACATTCACATGAACAGGACCAACAATAGCATTGCAAGGCAGAGCAAGGACTGCCTTAGGACTAAGGCACAGTTGATATATGTTGCAATTGTAGCATCAACCACACAACCTTCCTTTTGTTAATGACATCATGGTTCCCTCCAAATCCGGCATAGTACATCAAGTAGACCTGGGAGTTTACTTTGTAAGCATGACCATTCACCTTGATGCCTTGATCAGCTTTGTCTTGTGATGTTTTATGCTTTGGGCTTGTTTTCTATTGGCCCGAAATGTTGGAATCAAGTCCCGTTTACAATGCTCACAGTTTCTGTAAGTGATACTCTTTTTATTTTCTGGGACTTTTCCTTGCTATGAAATCATAACAAGAGTTTATCTAGTTCCATACGCCTTCGTCTGTCAGTGATAATATATTTTAATATCTTTTTCCTTCACTTTCTCTTATATATGTCACAGTAGGATCCTCGTCACGATATGGCTGAAATATTGCCGATGTGACGTAAAGCATTACCTCACTCACTCACTCACTCACAGTAGGATCAGTCTTGAAACTTCTCTTCAGCATCACAGACTCAGTCACAAAGGGATCTTCCTATTGAGGAATACTTTCTCAAATTTATGTGTTGCGGTCATTAATTCTGGTGAGAAGTTTTGGTTCAAATGTTGAAATACGCACAAGGTTGTTGTCAAGCCCTGGTACTCTTTGATAAAGCTTAAAAATGCTCTGTCAATCGGCCGTCTTAAACTGCAATTGCTATTTACTTTACATTTCTGGAGGTATCAAAGACGAAAACCCTGTCTTAAGAGAGTACCAAGCAGTTCTTGAGAAACGTTACAGAGACCAGCTCCTGTACCCCTGTCAGTCACATCAGCTATGCATCCTCATCAGTACATTTTATACTGTTGCTTCAACACGATAGGAAGTTTTCTTCAGATTTCCTCTATTTATGTGCCAAATGCTAAAGAAAGGGGATAGTTCATATCAAGACTATATGATATAATGAATTCATCCTGACTTCAAATGCAAAAGGTATAAGAGAAGATCCCCTTTAACTAGAGAAGGCATGGATTATATCTGGACGTCAACCACTGAAAATCAACCATCAACTTTTAACTTAATCAATCGCTTAAGTTCGAGGATGCCAAGTTGGGAAATGTGACTAGCAGAAAGTCTGGGAAGACAGCAGCACAATCAACATATTCAAGAACAAGCTATAGTCAATTAGTTAGCATGTTGATGTGCATTCTACAGTTGTACAGACAGGTGACAGTATATATGTTATGTAATCCAATGAAGCACATCTACGTCTTTAGTGCTTCCTAGATGACAACACTGTGTACGCCTATACCGGGAATGCAACTTATGACAGGTTATAGTGATCATTCTAAAATTGAATTTATGGAAACGTCAGCTTAAACGGAGACAATAAATCAAAATCGTATATTCCATTCAATTTATATTTCGTCATCACAATCATCCAATATTCCAAGCTATAACAATATAACCATGAACAGCACTTTTGAAACTTCAACTCCATTGCCAGAATCAGAATCATGGACATAGGAGTCTTCATATCAAGCCATTTCAACTCAGCCACTCAATTCAGAAACTTTAAGGTCATATATGAGTGCAATGTTCACAGATCACAAAATAATGAAGATGTCTTCTACATCAACTGTGCCCCGTTTTGAAGCAGACATTGCCTCTACATATACAGCACAGAGATGCCCTTGTTGGATAATCTCTCCAGATTCTTACTTCAGAGATTCAAGCCATGGGTACCATGGTTTCTTTAACATGGAATACGTTCATTCTGATATTCAATCAACAACAACTACAATAGATTCTCAAGATGGACCACAAGAACATCCCCTCTCCCCATGGTCCCACTCACACATGACTCTTCTGCTGGTGTAAGTTCCCTGGAGCAAGAAGTAAGAGCCGTTTTGTACCTCACCTGGTGTTGTAGTAGGTGGAGACGCACAGCCATGCACGGGTGGACGTCACTGTCAATGTGTTGTGGTCATCACATTACTAACCATTGCCAGAAACACGTGTGGAGCGAACACATCTGTTTCAACATGATGTCTGCTGACACAGAACAGTTATAATATTTAACCATATATGTAGTTAAATTTTAAAACTTTTAAACTTTTACATGTTCTTAACTTTTAAAATAGTATTGCCATAAATTTCATTTTGAATCTTTATAGCTTCATTCGTAGAAAGCAAATTCTATTTTAGTGTACATTATTAGTTCGACCAAATAGTAGGTTCTTTCCCAAGTCAGTATACCTTAGGTACTGAGTGTTTATTTTACCGACTTTGTGCTTGTTTGTGGTGTCCATATATCAGGATTGATGCCTACGTATCAGCGTGTAAGGTGGCTGTAACATTGAACATTTCTCAATCATGTTACATGTAAGCTAAATGCAGGTCTTAGGCGTCATTTTAGTGACTCCCATGATCATGAGTATGGTGTCTACAAACCAACTCACAATTTTGGATTCGGCAAACTTACTAACAGAAATGAAATTCAGTATGATTGTAGAGGCAATGCAATGTAAGGTTGTATGAACACGACACACAGTGTATATACAGTCGATGGTAGCTAGTAGATGTCCCATAGTTTGGTTCGTATTTGATGTTGTCACTTGTGTCAATTTGTTGTAGTCGTTCACAATAAATTCACATATGTTAGTGTATTCCAGGTATATTTCATAATACCATAATGAATTAAAATGGCCACATATGTCAAATGTGGCTTTCGAGTAAATAACTGTGATTCATTACTGATTATCTGTTTAGTATTTGTATCTTGTAACTTTGAAAATTCCTATTTTTGAAGATTTAAGCTTTTCTATTTTATTTGTTTACATACATTTGTTATAGATATCTACCTTCCTCGTTAGTAATTGCATGTTGCATAGACTTAATAAAAACGTCCCTGTTTGATTTGAACTCATTTATTTTCACGGAGAGACGTAAGTATAATTAGGTCCATAGATAGACTGCACCCCTTTATTTGTTATACGTGTTGATGGACAGTTCCTTTTGTATCTTACACCATGGCATGAAATCGTTTGATAATATTGTCCTTCAAATATGTTTTACTATTCCAGACAACAACGCTGATGTCAACCGATGATACCACATATCCACTACCAGTTCCACCTACAACCTTATCAGTATCAACGGTAGAGGACAGTTCATCAACACTGGAGATAACTTCACATGACAATGAGCCAGTTCTGTCAACATCCCTAGCAGACACACCATCAGCAGCACCAGCATCATCAGCTACGACAATGTCAACAGTATCTGCCCCTACAGCAACAACATTCACATCAGTACCTTCAGATACCACGACGTCAACAATATCTTCACCTGCATCCACATCTGCAGCTGTATCTTCAGATACAACAACGTCAGCAGCACCTTCTGATGTAACAACAACGTCAGCAGTTCCTTCTGATACAACAACGTCAGCAACACCTCCAGATACAGCAACGTCAGCAGTACCTTCAGATACAACAACAACAACGTCAGCAGTACCTTCTGATACAACAAAAACGTCAGCAGTACCTTCTGATACAACAACAACGTCAGAAGCACCTTCTGATACAACAACGTCAGCAGTTCCTTCTGACACAACAACGTCATCAGTACCTTCTGATACAACAACAACGTCTTCAGTACCTTCTGATACAACAACGTCAGAAGCACATTCTGATACAACGACAACGTCAGCAGCACCTTCTGGCACAACGTCAGCAATGCTTTCTGATACAACAACAACGTCATCAGCACCTTCAGATACAACAACATCAGCAGCTCCTTCTCATACAACAACGTCAGAAGCAACTTCAGATACAACAACAACGACAGCAGTACCTCCTGATACAACAACGTCAACAGTTCCTTCTGACACAACAACGTCATCAGTACCTTCTGATACAATAACGTCAGCAGTACCTTCAGATACAACAACGCCATCAGCACTTTCTGATACAACAACAACGTCAGCAGCACCTTCAGATACAACGTCAGCAACAATTTCTGATACAACAACAACGTCAGCAGTACCTTCTGACACCACGTCATCAGTACCTTCAGATACAACAACGTCATCAGTGCCTTCTGACACAACAACGTCACAAGTTCCTTCTGTTACAACAACGTCATCAGTACCTTCAGATACAACAACGTCATCAGTACCTTCAGATACAACAACGTCAGCAGTACCTTCAGATACAACAACGTCATCGGTACCTTCTGACACAACAACGTCATCAGTTCCTTCTGTAACAACAATGTCATCAGTACCTTCAGATACAACAACGTCAGCAGTACCTTCAGATACAACAACGTCATCAATACCTTCAGATACAACAACGTCAGCAGTTCCTTCTGATACAACAACGTCAGCAGTACCTTCTGATACAACATCGTCATCAATACCTTCAGATACAACAACGTCAGCAGTACCTTCAGATACAACGTCATCAATACCTTCAGATACAACAACGTCAGCAGTACCTTCTGATACTACAACGTCAGCCGCACCTTCTGATACAACAACAACGTCAACAGCACCTTCTGATACAACAACGTCAGCCGTACCTTCTGAAACAACAACAACGTCAGCAGTACCTTCTGATACAACAACAACGTCAGCAGCACCTTCTGATACCACAACAGCGTCAGCAGCACCTTCTGAAACAACAACAACGTCAGCAGTACCTTCTGATGCAACAACGCCAGCAGCACCTCCTGATACAACAACAACAACATTAGTACTTTCTGATACTACAACGTCAACAGCACCTCCTGAAACATCGTCAGCAGCGCCCTCTGATGCAACAACAACGTCAGCAGCACCTTCTGATACAACACCAACGTCAGCAGCACCTTCTGATACAACACCAACGTCAGCAGCACCTTCTGATGCAACAACAACATCAGCAGTACCTTCTGATACATCGTCAGCAGCGCCCTCTGATGCAACACCAACGTCAGCAGCATCTTCTGATGCAACAACAACATCAGCAGTACCTTCTGATACATCGTCAGCAGCGCCCTCTGATGCAACAACAACGTCAGCAGCACCTTCTGATACAACACCAATATCAGCAGCATCTTCTGATGCAACAACAACATCAGCAGTACCTTCTGATACATCGTCAGCACTACCTTCTGATACCACAACGTCATTAGTACCTTCTGATGCAACAACGTCAACGGCATTACATTCTGATACAACAACGTCAGCAGCACCTTCTGATACAACAATAGCGTCGTCAGCACCTTCTGATACAACAACAACATCAGCAGTTCCTCCTGATGCAACACCAACGTCATTAGTACCTTCAGATACAACAACGACAGCAGTTCCTTCAGATACAACAACAACGTCAGAAGCACCTTCGGATACAACAACGTCAGCAGTTCCGTCTGATACAACAATGTTAGCAGCACCTTCTGATGCAACACCAACGTCAACAGTACCTTCTGTTATAACAACAACGTCAGCAACACCTTCTGATACAACAACGTCAACATCAGCACATTCTGATACAACAACGTCAGGAGGATCTTCCGATACAGCAATGACCTCAGCTGCAACGACAACGTCAACAGAATCGGCAACAACAACATCAGCAGCTGTATCTTCAGAAACAACAGCAACGTCATCAGAACCTTCTCCAACAGCAACAACGCCAGTAGTAACTTCAGATACAACAACGTCAGCAGTACCCTCTGAAACACCTACATCAGCGTCAACAGTATCTGCAGCTACAGCAACAACAGGAGCGGCAGTATCTTCAGATACAACAGCGTCAGCAGTACCTCCTGAAACAACGTCAGTGGTATCTTCAGATAAAACATCAACGTCAACAGTATCTCCATCTACAACAACGTCAACAGCACCACCTTCTGATACAACAACAACGTCAGCAGTGCCTTCAGATACAACAACATCAGCAGTGCCTTCTGATACAACATCGTCGACAGCACCCTCTGACACATCAGTGATACCTTCTGACGCAACAACGTCAGAAGCCCCTTCTGATACAACAACGTCAGCAGTTCCTTCTGATACAACAACGTCAGTGGTACCTTCTGATACAACAACGTCATCAGTACCTTCTGATACAACAACGTCTTCAGCACCCTCTGATACAACAACGTCATCAGTAGTACCATCTGATACAACAACGTCAGCAGCACCTTCTGATACAACAATGTCAGCAGTTCCTTCTGATACAACAACGTCAGTAGTACCTTCTGATACAACAACGTCAACAGTACCTTCTGCTACAACAACGTCAACAGTACCTTCTGATACAACAACATCAACAGCACCTTCTGATACAACAACATCAACCCCACCTTCTGATACAACAACCAAATCAACAGATTCTGCACCTACCGCAACAACAACATCATCAGCGTCTTCAGCTGCAACATCAGCGTCAACGGTATCTGCACCCACAGCAGCAGTAACTTCAGGAATAACCACAACGTCACCCGTACCTTCTGAAACAACAACAACGTCAGTAGCACATTCTGATGCCACAACAGCGTCAGCAGCACCTTCTGATACCACAACAACGTCAGCAGCACCTTATGAAACAACAACGTCATCAGTACCTTCTGATGCAACAACGTCATTAATACCTTCTGATGCAACAACGTCAACAGCACCTTCTGATACAACGTCAGCAGCACCTTCTGATGCAACAACGGCGTCATTAGAACCACTTTCTGAAACAACAACTTCAACAGTACCTTCTGATACATCTACAACGTCAGCAGCACCTTCAGATACAACTACAACATCAGCAGCACCTTCTGATACAGCTACATCGTCAGCAGTACCTTCTGACACAACAACGTCAGCAGCACCTTCAGATACAACTACAACGTCAGAAGGACCTTCTGATACAACTACAACGTCAGCAGTTCCTTCCGATACAACAACGTCAGCAGCACCTTCTGATACAACTACAACGTCAGCAGCACCTTCTGATACAACTACAACGTCAGCAGCACCTTCAGATACAACTACAACATCATCAGCAGCACCTTCTGATACAGCTACAACGTCAGCAGTACCTTCTGACACAACAACGTCAGCAGCACCTTCAGATACAACTACAACGTCAGAAGCACCTTCTGATACAACTACAACGTCAGCAGTACCTTCTGACACAACAACGTCAGCAGCACCTTCTGATACAACTACAACGTCAGCAGCATCTTCTGATACAACTACAACGTCAGAAGCACCTTCTGATACAACAACGTCACCAGTACCTTCTGATGCAACAACGACATTAGTACCTTCTGATGCTACAACGTCAACAGCACCTTCTGATACAACGTCAGCAGCACCTTCTGATGCAACAACGGCGTCAGAAGCACCTACTGAAACAACAACTTCAACAGTACCTTCTGATACATCTTCAACGTCAGCAGCACCTTCTGATACAACTACAACGTCAGCAGTACCTTCTGATACAACAACGTCAGCAGCTCCTTCAGATACCACAACGACAGCAGCACCTTCTGATACAACGTCAGAAGTACCTTCTGATACAACAACGTCAGCAGCACCTTCAGATGCAACTACAACGTCAGCAGCACCTTCTGATACATCAACGTCAGCAGCTCCTTCAGATACAACGTCAGAAGTACCTTCTGATACAACAACGTCAGCAGCACCTTCAGATGCAACTACAACGTCAGCAGCACCTTCTGGTACATCAACGTCAGCAGCACCTTCTGATACAACTACAACGTCAGCAGCACCTTCTGATACAACAACGTCAGCAGCACCTTCAGATGCAACTACAACGTCAGCAGCACCTTCTGGTACATCAACGTCAGCAGCACCTTCTGATACAACTACAACGTCAGCAGCACCTTCTGATACAACAACGTCAGCAGTACCTTCTGATACAACAACAACGTCAGAAGCACCTTCTGATACATCAACATCAGCAGCACCTTCTGATACAACTACAAGGTCAGCAGCACCTTCTGATACAACTACAACGTCAGCAGCACCTTCTGATACAACTACAACGTCAGCAGCACCTTCTGATACAACAACGTCAGCAGTACCTTCTGATACAACAACGTCAGCAGCCTCTACTGATACAACAACGTCAACAGCAGCAATTTATGACACATCATCGTTATCAGTACCTTCTGATACAACAATGTCAGCAGTTCCTTCTGATACGACAACGTCAGCAGTACCTTCTGATGCAACAATGACGTCAGTTATACCTTCTGATACAACAACTTCAACAGCACATTCTGGTACAACAGTATCTTCGGATACAACAACACCGCAGTTAGTGTCTGCAGTTACAACAACAGCATCAACAACAACAGTATCTCCGCCTATAGCAACAACATCAGCAGCAGTTTCTTCAGAAACAACAACAACAATAACGCCAGCAGTGCCTACAGGTATAACACCAGTAGTATCTTCGGGGACAGAAACAACGTCATCAATATCCCCAGTTACAACAACAACGTCAACAGTTTATGCAGTTACAGAAACATTGTCAACAGCCATACCACTTATGTCTACTTCACCTGACGTTTCTGGGGCATCATCCATATCCTTGAACTATGTATCTTCACCACAAGTAGCTACATCAACAGTTGTGTCTGAGTTGATGTCACAGGGCATTTCTTCAACTGGAATAAGTGGGATGTCATCAAGTCCAAACGAAGCATCATCTTCAATTGGGGTTCTGTCATCAGGGATACCTTCCTCCGCAGTATTAAGTGACAGTCACTCCTCATTCATCGTTGAAGTAAGCTCCGAACCTACAACTATGACCTCATCATGGCCCTCATCTACAGAAGGTACGAGTACAATGCCTACAATCTACTCTATTGACGAATCTAGCCCTGCAACATCTTCAACTGATTTTTCTTCCCCAGTACTGAATGTCGCATCTTCATCTTTGACAGGAACGACAACATCCCTGATAGGACCTCCCACTGGGACCGCATTCTCCATTGAATCTTCTGACCCATCATCTTCGTTTTCAACGGGTATTTACTCTTTGCGTTCTTCAACCTTGCTCAGCAGTACATCTTCGTTCTCCTCATTAGGGACTTCAACGTCGGCATTTTCTTCAGAGGAACTAACATCTTCACATGCTGTCGTTTCCCCTTTTTCGTCAGATGCCATTTCAGCAGAGCTTGTAGCCCCTTCTGTTGTTTCCGAAACATCCTTAGTCCTTGAATCGATGTCAAGTAGCAGTGATGTTTTCTACTCTGATACTGTGACCTCAGTAGGAATAGTAACCTCCACTTCCATTGTCCTTTTAACGTCATCATCAACTGTCACATCGCAAGATGGAGTCACGTTAACATCAACGGCAGATATGCAACCAACACTATCTTCATCATCTTACATCGAGGAGACATCATCATCTGTGATGACGGAAACGGCACCAACTACATCTGTGACAATGGAACCAATCACATTGTCAGCATATCTCGAATCATCATCTGTGATAACGGAAGTGGCACCAACTACATCTGTGACAATGGAACCAATCACATCGTCAGCATATCTCGAATCACCATCTGTGATGACGGAAACGGCACCAACTACATCTGTGACAATGGAACCAATCACATCGTCAGCATATCTCGAATCATCATCTTTGATGACGGAAGTGGCACCAACTACATCTGTGACAATGGAACCAATCACATCGTCAGCATATCTCGAATCACCATCTGTGATAACGGAAGTGGCACCAACTACATCTGTGACAATGGAACCAATCACATCGTCAGCTTATCTCGAATCATCATCTCTGACAACGGAAGTGGCACCAACTACATCTGTGACAATGGAACCAATCACATCGTCAGCATATCTCGAATCATCATCTTTGATGACGGAAGAGTCACCGACTTCATCTTTAGCGATGGCACCAACCACATCATCAGCATACCTCGAGGAAACATCGTCATCTCTGACGACAGAAGAAACACCAACCACATCAGTGGCAATGCCACCACCCACTTCAGAATACGTGTCGATCACATCTCTCACATTGCAACCAACAACATCATCATCATCATACGTCGGACAAACATCGTCCTATGTGGTAACGGAACAGCAAACGACCACAACTGTGACAACGACACCAACAACAACTACATCGTCAACAACAGCCACAACAACAGCAATAAAACCCACTACAACCCACGTTACAGAATCAGCGAAGTCCTATAGTGGTGTAATTAAGGTCACAGACGGAGCCACGTGGAATGACCAACTCAATGACAAAAGTTCGGATGAATATCAACAACTAAAGCAGAAGATTTGGCAGTTCGTGAGTAGCAAACTTTATGTCATTCATTCAGAAGTAACAGTTTCACAGGGCCGAAAACTGTAAATAGAATTTGTTTGGCGTTTAATCAAATTTGATGTTTCCCAGAGGAACTATGAAGATCAACAACGTATTATGGGATACATGAAACAAACCTAAATTGACATCATGTAAATAGTATAAAACTGTATATATTTTATTTGACTGTTTTTGTAGCTGCATTTTATCAGAAATCGTCATTTTTGTAGTTGATGCAAATCTTCGGGAATACAAACTTGGCACCATACATCGACAGTATTGTCATTACTGGATTCAGGTAGAGTAAACATCATCACATCAATGCCCAACATGTTATAATATGTGACAATATGTTATAAAAATACGTCTTTAATTTAAAACGAACAACACATATGTCTCAACAACTAGTACTTTAATATACCAGGACAAAGGATGACGTGGGATAATGGCCCTATTTGGACACTGGAAAGGCAAATTTGGCCGAAAATAATGGCTGACAACTAGTCTTTTGTCTTTCTTACTCTTCCGCATGGCCCTTATAAGTACTGAGAGACGATTATTCTCACTTCCTACTAAAATCAAGCCATGAACAAGTCTGTGACCCCAGATGATGTTCCATATGTTTTGCGAATGTATTAGGCTAAATCTTCTTATTAAATCAGCTTTGGTGAAAAATTTGACCAAACTATACAATCAGCTTTCGGACACCTCTTAGCCTTAACCATTCATTCTGGTGTTGTAAAAAGTCCAAAACATGCACGTGTTCAACTCATCTGATAACTGCCAGACTTATTTGTAAAGGTTTTTGCTAATGGGGATATTGCAATACAGAAATTCATATGATACTTCGAACATTTTAGTCACTTTAATTTAGAGCAAATATTAATATCTTGAAGATTAGACAGTTATAGACTAGACACATTAAAAATATTCATCTGTTTGTTTGAAACATTGTTTGTCGCAATCAGAATGATAATAGTTGAACCGTGCATTTACTTGCAGAGAGGGTAGCGTTGTGGTGGAGTTTACCGTCGGCTTTACGACGACGACGGTGGTGGACAGTGAAATAGCCGGAATCTTCAACGCGGGATACCAGAATATTGCTACTCCAAATTATACACTGAACGGCGAATATACAGGTTAACTGACGTTATTCATATATTGTCTGTAACACATATATCTTTAAAATATTTAATATGTGTATGGAAAGGGACTAATGGTTAAATGTTCCGGTTTAAAAACAATACACATTTTCCTTCCCACCTAACACACCGTACCAGAACCGAAATACTGTTCAAAGCGGTGTTGAGCACAACTCACTCAATCCTCAACATCTTTAACTACTTCCCTAATAAGAGAACTCATGTTTCTTTACAGATTTCACTGGTAAAGTACCAGTTTCCAGCTCTGACGCTTCAATTCAACAAGGAGGTATGATTGAATAATGTCATCTCAAGTAATATCTTAATGAACGAGGTGTGATGAAATTATTATGTTTATAGTAATATATCACTACATGTCAAATACCGAAGCGGGTTTTAAAAAAATGAGCCATTCATTGACTTATTTGGCTTATGAATCTTTGTAGAATTGTCAAACACTACAGTTTACTCTTTGATAACATAATGATTGCTATGATCAGTATTCAAAAGGATGTCGTTCAGGCAATTATTTCGTTAATTCCAGCTACCTCTGGCGCTACAAACCAAGAAACATCTACAAGTGTCGCTGGGGAAAACGCTGTGCAAACATCAACTACTGCTGCAAAGCAGACATCTGCCTTACGCAGTGTTGGTGAAGAAAGCTCAGTGCTACACCAAACATCGACTGCCATCCAGATAGACGCCTCAAGCAGTCTTGCTGAAGAAAGCTCAGTGCTACACCAAACATCGACTGCCATCCAGATAGACGCCTCAAGCAGTCTTGCTGAAGAAAGCTCAGCGCTACATCAAACATCGACTGCAATCCAGATTGATGTATCAAGCAGTGTTGCTGAAGAAAGCTCAGCGCTACATCAAACATTGACTGCAATCCAGATTGATGTATCAAGCAGTCTTGCTGAAGAAAGCTCAGTGCTTCATCAAACATCGACTGCAATTCAGATGGATGTATCAAGCAGTCTTGCTGAAGAAAGCTCAGCGCTACATCAAACATCGACTGCAATCCAGATAGACGCCTCAAGCAGTTTTGCTGAAGAAAGCTTAGTACTTCATCAAACATCGACTGCAATCCAGATGGATGTATCAAGCAGTCTTGCTGAAGAAAGCTCAGCGCTACATCAAACATCGACTGCAATCCAGATAGACGCCTCAAGTAGTCTAGGTGAGGAAAGCTCAGCGCTACATGAAACATCGTCTGCCTTGCAAATAGAACCCTTAAGCAGTGTTGCTGAAGGAAGCTCAGCGCTACATCAAGCATCGACTATAATCCAGATAGACGCCTCAAGCAGTGTTGCTGAAGGAAGCTCAGCGCTACATCAAACATCGTCTGCCTTGCAAATAGAAGCCTCAAGTAGTCTAGGTGAGGAAAGCTCAGCGCTACATGAAACATCGTCTGCCTTGCAAATAGAAGCCTCAAGCAGCGTTGCTGAAGGAAGCTCAGCGCTACATCAAACATCGTCTGCCTTGCAAATAGACGCCTCAAGCAGTGTTGCTGAAGAAAGCTCAGCGCTACATCAAACATCGACTGTAATCCAGATAGACGCCTCAAGCAGTGTTGCTGAAGAAAGCTCAGTGCTACATCAAGCATCGACTGTAATCCAGATAGACGCCTCAAGCAGTGTTGCTGAAGGAAGCTCAGCGCTACATCAAACATCGTCTGCCTTGCAAATAGAAGCCTCAAGCAGCGTTGCTGAAGGAAGCTCAGCGCTACATCAAACATCGTCTGCCTTGCAAATAGAAGCCTCAAACAGTGTTGCTGAAGAAAGCTCAGCGCTACATCAAACATCGACTGTAATCCAGATAGACGCCTCAAGCAGTGTTGCTGAAGAAAGCTCCGTGCTACATCAAGCATCGACTGTAATCCAGATAGACGCCTCAAGCAGTGTTGCTGAAGAAAGCTCAGTGCTACATCAAACATCGTCTGCCTTGCAAATAGAAGCCTCAAGCAGTGTTGCTGAAGAAAGCTCAGCGCTACATCAAACATCGACTGTAATCCAGATAGACGCCTCAAGCAGAGTTGCTGAAGAAAGCTCAGTGCTACATCAAACATCGACTGTAATCCAGATAGACACCTCAAGCAGTGTTGCTGAAGAAAGCTCAGCGCTACATCAAACATCGTCTGCAATCCAGATAGACGCCTCAAGCAGTGTTGCTGAAGAAAGCTCAGTGCTACATCAAGCATCGACTGTAATCCAGATAGAAGCCTCAAGCAGTGTTGCTGAAGAAAGCTCAGCGCTACATCAAACATCGACTGTCATCCAGATAGACGCCTCAAGCAGTGTTGCTGAAGAAAGCTCAGTGCTACATCAAGCATCGACTGTAATCCAGATAGACGCCTCAAGCAGTGTTGCTGAAGAAAGCTCAGCGCTACATCAAACATCGTCTGCAATCCAGATAGACGCCTCAAGCAGTGTTGCTGAAGAAAGCTCAGTGCTAGATCAAACACCGTCTGCCATCCAGATAGCATCTGATTACCTAGCAACAGCTTCCGCTACAGCCACCATCAGTGACAGCAGCAGCCTCGACACTTCATCGGAAGCATATAGAGGGGACATGTCATCTTCATTAGCCAGTATGTCAGGTCCATCACTTGCAGCAACAGAAAGTTTCAGCGTAGGAACAGTGACATCAGTCAACAGTCAAAGCATGTCCCCTTGGGCAGAGCTGTCATCAGATGTGCCATCATATAGCCCTTCAAATATAGATACCATGTCAACAGCAGACTCTATTCAGCCCTCTATGTCGCTGGAGATGTCACAACTGCAGTTGTCAACGTCTTCAACTCCCATGACTGTGCTGACGTGTAGTGACGTCGGCGCCAACGTATCCTCCTGCATGCTGTCAACGCTTATAGAGACGTCGTCCATGGCGCTGGGCCCAGGGCTGACGGTGTCGCCCTACAGTACAGAAAGTGTCAGGTCATCTTACATAGGTTAGTATAGGTTAAGCTCTAGGAACGGAAATTAATGCGACATTAATAGAAATACTATTATGTCACAAATTACTTTGTCTAAAGCCTCATTCAGGATAATGAGTACATTTCTATACCCTCTTGAACTGACTAACCAGTATAAGACTACCTTGATCCAGCGTGAAGTTGTGAATTTGTAACGAAATCACCAAACGAAAATGTAGGTATTAGACACGGAATCTTACAAAAACGTAATTTTTAAAAGTTTTATACACCCATGTTTGATGGTGTCTAAAATATATACAAACACGAAATTGTTATTTGGTGGAAATGTATTTGATAAGGGGTTTATAGTTGTGTTTTGGACCTTAAGTTTGCAGTGTTTCGGTGATTGTTTTCAGCCTAGAAACGTTTTACTAACGTTGCTAATGTGTTTTTTTGGTCAAATCCAATTGTCAAGTGTATACATTCTTTTTCCCGGCAGCTTAGTATCAGTTTGTTGAAAACAGGGTTAAGATGTCATGTGATTAACTAACTATCAGTAAAATAATGACTACAGTCTACGGAATGTTCATCTGATGGTAGCTGATAACTGATGGTGGAAACTGGTATAAAAAAAACTCAATTCTGATGAATTTTGTTTAACTAGAGTTAGACGAGTGTCAGAGCAGCCCATGCCCCGCCCACTCCACGTGTATAGATCTGGTTGGGACACACAGATGCGAGTGTAACACTGGCTTCAAGATGTCGGGCGAGATCTGCACAGGTGAGAACATCATTTGTGATTGTTATTATCAGATTAAGGTAAAAGCTTAATATCTACCGATTACCTCCTAAGTAATGATGTCAAGGATCGGGAATAACTCTACTAACTTCGAACGTTGTACACATTCGTTTGTTATAATACAGGTAAAAAGACCGGAACCCATTGCCACTCAGCTATCTTAGCGCTACAATTGTCGTAATTCTATGTTAAAGTATGGGAGTTTTCAATCGTTTTCGATGTTCTTGGTACTGTAACATACTTATGAATCACGGGTGCATGGGGCTTACGGGACGTGGTTTATTTTAGTCGGTAATCAACATCCGTCTAAATCAAATAGGGAAGATATCTGACGTCAGGTTTACAACTTACAGTGGACTACAGAGTACATTAGTTTGCAGAAGACATCGCTCAAGTCAATTAGGCTGGGCTTCCCTCGTTGGCGGAGTGGAGTCCGTCTTCAATCGGAAAAGCTACGCAGCAATTCTGATTCAGCTACGCGTTCATAATGAGCTTGGTGTGCAGTGTTTCTCTGTATTCTTATTCATAGTAGTTTCACGACGACGATGTCGATGACGACAACGACGACGACGACGACGATGATGATGATGATGATGATGATGATGACAGACCATTTACCGATATATGGTTTCTGATGATGATGATGATGATGATGATGATGATGATGATGATGACAGACCATTTACCGATATATGGTACCCGAAATAGTTTCATGCTGTTTCCTTCTGTTCCATAGATATCGATGAGTGTTTGGTCAATCCATGCCCTGAGTTCTCAACCTGTGAGAACACTGTGGGAAGCCATACTTGTGATTGTGTACAAGGATACATTAAAGACGGTGACAAATGCAGTGGTAAGTACATTTACCCCCGAAAAGTATCGGCAATTATTTCGGTCTGTTTTTGTCAGATTCACCGTAAACGTATACGTCCTCGCATACAGTGTCTTCTGGATATCCCAGTTCATTACGAATCGCACTATATGAACGGTCATAGTGTGAATCCAAATTAACTGCGCATGCTTTCATACCGTAGACATAGACGAGTGTGATGCCGACCCTTGCCCCAGCAACTCTGACTGTGCCAACACCCCCGGAAACTACACATGCAGCTGCAGAAGCGGCTTCCTCACCGTCGGTGACATCTGTCAGGGTAGGTTACAAAACTAGTTATGTTGCATTATAATAAATACTCTGTCGTTACGCATTATGTTGCTGACCACAGCCAAACCTATGTCTTCTGAATTATGTCAGTCGGGTGACACGTTAGCTTGGCACGTTCAAGATTCTCTCCATGGTTCTGACGGGTTCTGATCCACTGTATATGATCCTGGCTTTGTTCAGGTTGACGCTTGATTTACCTTTGCATGTGTTTGTGACGTTGGGTGTTTTACTATATGATCCCGGCTTTATTTAGGTGTACATTGGACTTGCCTTTGCATGTGTTTATGATGGTGTCACTGTCGGGGCTTGTACTATGTTCCCGGCTTTGTTTAGGGGACCACTGACTTGCCTTTGCATGTGTTTGTGCCGGGTGCCACCGGTGGAGCAGGATACGCTCACCTCCGCGAACACCGGGTTTCATCTATACTATTATAGTGATTCATAAACACATGCCACTGCCAGTCAGTGTGGGTAGTCAAGTGGCTGAATCGTCAGTATTTCACGTCAATGATTCCCCCCCCCCCCCCCTAGGTTAAATATGTGAATAATATATGTAATTTACGCTCATTCACTCTTATGTGTTTTGCCAAATGAGCGGATACCCCATTTCGACAAGAGAAAAATCAACTGAAAACAATAACAGTGAGTGAGTGAATATGGTTTTACGCCGCTTTTAGCATTATTCCAGCAATATCACGGCGGGGGACACCAGAAATGGACTTCACACATTGTACCCATGTCGGGAATCGAACCCGGGTCTTCGGCGTGACGAGCGAACGCTCTAACCACTAGGCTACCCGACCGCCCCGAAAACAATAACAGAAAAAAAGCCACTGGCTTGAAGTTCATAGCATAGGCATTTAGTACAGCAATTACGTGACAATGTCTGGATTTCTCCTGTATCAATACAGATATGATACGTTGGATCGCGTTTTGGATCCATGTGGGGCAATTTTCCACAGTAAGTTGAGTCCCTTACATTTGCCAGGATCCGCAGTGATATGAATTGTCTTTGCGATTGTTCGTTGTGTGACTTTGTACGTCTCCCCCAGATATGAACGAATGTGACAGTGACCCATGTCAACAGCACGCGGACTGTATCAACACCCCGGGGGGCTACTACTGTGTGTGCAAGCCAGGGTTTGTTGATGACGGTGATGTCTGTAAAGGTAGGTAATCCGTTGTAATGGAAACGGTTGTATATCTAAAATTGTGCGTTGGCCATTTCCATGAAAAGCATGGGAAGAATGTGCGATAACGTATATCCATAATTGGACACAAAAATGCCAAAGTGAAATAATATTCCAACACATAAGATATTTCCCTTTAATATTAATGTAAAAAAAACTGAACACAATAAAAACTTACTTTTAGTTGTCCTTTTTTCGGTCACATCATTAGGAGACATATACTGATGAATTTACAAACCAATAAAACAAAGTGTCAGTTTGCACACCCAATGTTTTGTCTATTACATGACAGAACAGAACACGTAACTATATTAGGTTTTTATCCCGCCTCAGTGTATTTTTCTTGCTGTTATTTAGAAAATGAATATTACATATTTGTCGAAAAAATAGATGACTTCAGGACATGCGGCGTCGCAATACCAAGGGAACAATGTACTGGTCACTTACACCTGTATTTATATTTGGGCGGATATTTGTGTATACATTATTGGTCTTTCTGTGGCAATGTTGGTTGATCATCACAATTGAGCCTGTTTTGCAGGAAAACAGAAAATACCATTTTCACATTTATCTGAATGTTCAATAAATGGACTAGGGATGAAGATCCCATCTTCCTGAGGCAAGGGAGTTAACTTTCTAAAAGTTCAGTTTCCACCCTTGCCGAACTACAGTCCGGCTGGCTCTAAATGAGAACGATGAATTGCAAAATAACTCAAAATCGGGAATATTATATTAAATGTCAATACGGTACACGACAATGAAAACCCTGTATCCAATAATATCTTTGATGCTGTTGTGTGTCCAAGTTGGCATCTTGAACGGAGGGGGGTACAACAGTAGGAGGAACAGCGCAAACACGTACTGCATGTGCTGCACAAAGGTACAGTGAATGGCAGCATGATGATTTAAATTGCAATCTGACTTGCTCATGTCACAGCCCTCGTCGTCGGAATTGCTTGTGTCACTGCCGAAGGTCACAACTATCACGTGACCCGTATCTTGACACTATCTCGTTGACGACTTTGGTAACGCAACGCTGCCATGACCCCACTGTTACCTGGCCGCCAGCTATTCAGCACGCCGTGATAGACCTAGAATACCGTTCAAAGCGACGTTAAACCCACATTACCAACTCACTCATACTTATAAACGTTATCAGTTTGTACAGATCCCTCCAAGCTGGTTCTTACATGGAGAAAGTTGAGACTGGACTGGAGGCTCTTATTTCTATTATAAAACTCAGTAAAGGATTGAGTGAATTAAGAATTTTATGGATAGCTGTGAGTTTCACTGCATTTCAGCGTCATCCTCAGTTGAGGTCCAACTAAATGTCATGGCGTCGAGTTACTATGGAACCTCCCATTGTCCGTCAGTTTGCTATGGCCTGCACAGGATCGTACATGTGTACTGGCTGAAAATTCTAGCCAATAAACGGCTGTTGTATCTACTTCAAGCCGTCTATTTTTTTCTATATATCGTGCCTGAGAATCTTAACTTTGCTAGACTCCCGCTTGAGAAGTAGCAACAAACCTGTTCTTACAATCTTAGATACCAACGAGTGTGTGGTTGACAAGTGTCCATCCCACTCCACATGCGTGAATACACCCGGAAGCTATAACTGCACATGCGTAGACGGGTACTTTAAACAGGAGGAACTATGTTTAGGTAAGTAATTTTAATCCGTTATGTACAGATAAATATAATGAAGTTTGACAGTCGATAGGTACAAGACTAGTGATTTAGTCATTCTGCTCGACACAGTTTAACTTGAACTCGGCCAGCGCTGGCAGGAATCCATTTTGAAACTAGTTTCGTTCACGTGACTATCACATGATGGGCTAGTCCTCTAAGGCGCCTATGAGTGAGGGTTCGAATCCCAGATTCGCCCTGATTTCTACTAATTCTCTTAGTCTAAACCATACTGTTGGCCTACTTTAAAGATTTGTATCATCAATGTTAAGCAGTATATGCAGTCTCGAAGTCGATAAGGTAGTACTGTAGACAGTCATGGTGGAATTCCTGTTAACCTGGATGTCATTTCCCTGTCCCAGATGTCAACGAATGTGATATCTCCCCGTGCGCGGTCGGCGCTGACTGCACCAACACCGACGGCAACTACACTTGCGCATGTCCACCAGGATACACCGTCGTCGATGACACCTGCACAGGTAGCGTGCCATGCTGGTCCGAAAATTGAGAGTATTTCAGATAACAATCAAGATTGAAAACAAATTATCACAATGAACATTTATGACGTCCATTATGACGTCATTTTGGTGTGACAGGGCCAGCTTTGTTATTGAGTTACACATTTCATGCACATTTTTTATATCTAATTCTTCATTACTCATTACGTCTGTAGTGTAGACCAAGGTCAGAATTGGACATCGGCAACCCATGCTTGTCCTGAAGGCGACTAACGGGATCGGGTGCTCTGGCTCGCTGACTTGGTCAATGCATGTCATCGATCCTAATTGCGTAGATCGATGCTCATGATGTCAACCACTGGATTGTCTTGTCCTGACTCGATTATTTACAGATCGCCGTCATATTGCTAAACTATTACTAAACCATCTGCAATCATGCTATGACAAAATGATCATTAAGTAGGAAATATGCCAAAGTCCCACTTCCTACCATAATATATCTACGATCCAAATACCAAAGAGTTTGGCGAGAAAAACAGGTATGTTTTATAACGAGAGCGAATCGACGTTTTTTTGTACATCTAAGGTCATTTAAGGGCATCAGCCTTGTACATATATGTTTTTTTATTTCGTATGTGTTCAACCCAGCCTTTTGTTTGCAGCAGCAGCTAAGTAACGATTTCCAGTATGGGTGTACTTTCCCTGTCCGTGTCACTCTCCAGTATTGACATATTGTATAGTACATTGCATAACTGCATTAACGAAACATTTATATAACGTTGCAATATATCTTACTGAAGTCTCTGAAGTAAGCATGTCATAACAATAAAATAATATCCACCTTTGTTTTTCCAGCATTTAATACAATTTCCCTCTGCATCTATGTTTCTCAAATACAACCGGCAGAAAATACAATATGTGTGTGTGTGCACGCGCGTGTGTGGGATGGGGGGTTGGGTGGGGTGTTGGTGTATGTCTGGGACTTTTGAAAGGGGAAATATTGTTCTATTGTTGCGGTAACTGCTTCAAGTCATTTTTTCAAGAACAGATTTTTTTCATTTTGTAAAACCTTATGCAAAATTAAGGTTCTTTACATTATATCAAATTCTTAAAATTAAATTCTTATTATTAAAGAAGTATAATTATTTTCAGACATTGACGAATGTGACACAGTCGTCTGTCCTCCGCTTACGAGGTGCATGAACACTAATGGGAGTTACAGCTGCCCCTGCCTCGACGGCTTTCACGACCTAGGCGGGGCCTGCATAGGTAGTTATGTGTGAGTGAGTGAGTTAGGTTAAACGCCGCTTTGAACTGTATTTCTGTAACATTATGGCGTGTCAGATTTTTGATTTTAGAGACGTTTACAGCTCTTAATAGGGAAGAATATGGGATATAAACCCACAAATATCTTTGGCGACCATTTAAATAACAACCATCACAGATACTTCACACACATACACATACAACACAAATCAACGCTTGGGTGAGAATCACTATTTAATTACCATGACAACATTTCTCAACAAATAGAAAAAACCACAGTTTCACAAAAAGAGTTATGAAACTAATGAAAATATTCCTTCACCTTCAACAGTATTAACTTCATCTCTTTCCTTGATTTTCTACACTTGACAAACATAATGTCCCACAAACCTTTCAATTCTAACAAAGGTTGGATGCACCTAAGTACCTTTAATTATGTCCGATAATCTAACAAGGGATCCTTTCATTTGTAAAGGATATTATTTTGTATTGTCAGCATGCATTTTGCTAAATCGATTTTCAGTCTTGCTTGACATATGTATAATGACCTATACCGTAACGTCGCAATTACAGTATAATATAGACGTTGTTGTCCATAAGGCATTTTTGTCTACTTTGTCATCCGTCAACTTCTAAGAAACGCATATCAAACAATTCAAATGGATTTTATACAAACTTGTTGTATCGTTATACATATCTGTGTTTGTAGTTCATTACTTCAAAATCATTACATTCCAAGTTATTGATCATCCATTTCAGACCAGAATGAATGCCTTCAGTTCCCATGCACGGACAATGCAGTCTGTACGAATATAATTGGAAGCTACGAGTGTGCTTGTAAAACAGGCTTCCAGAACAACAGTGGTCTTTGCCAAGGTAGAGTCACAAAGGAAGACGCACGTCTATTGTGTATTGATGTGAGGGATTAAAAGGTTCCCACTTTACAGCGGGTGCAAGAGTAACGGTTGACAGGTTATGTAATGGCAACGGATATGTGATTTTGAGACTTTGAGCAGTGTATAGCTCCTAAGTTCAGGACAAATATTATTCTAAAACAAAAATCCTAAAAGAAACACGAGGTTTGTTTTGTTAAATGTTGATCGTAGTTTGAAATATATTAAGCTGTAGAGATTCTTTATACATGCTATATTACGATGAATAGTGTTTCAGTACATGTTTTTGTTTTTTTAAATCCACATTTCCTTACTTGTTAAAATATTTAAGTTTACCTTTATGTCTCCAATGCCCGCATTCCAATACGCTGTGTCAATCCAATATTTCAAACACGGTAACCAGGCAATAGCAAAAAACAATTGATACCCAAGAAGCCTTCGTGTCTTTATTTGGTGTCTTTGGGATTGTTGTATGAAAACAATTATGTTTCAGTTTAAACAGGACAAGAGTAAACTCAGGCTTAACCTCGCCCTCCACCCCACCCCTATAAAAAAATAAAAAAATAAAAAATAAAATTAAACTGTTCGCTGAAAGGCTTGATGTCCCATCTTAAAGGCTTTTTTTTTTAAAAATTTGGCTCTTCCAATCACAGAATGTTTTGACGCAGCCTTCAACAAAGTGTAAAATTACCAGTAATATTCAGTCTTCCTGTGGTCGTTCAATCATTCTGCTCTCTGAAAACTAACCAACCGGGTTAATTTGTCTCTAGATGTGAATGAGTGTTCTACCGGCAACCCCTGCCCCACCAACACCGTGTGTGACAACAGCCCCGGGGGCTACGCCTGCCCCTGTCGGAGCGGCTTCACGACGTCCCTTGGCGTGTGTGAAGGTGAGTATTGCGTCCCAGCCCAGTCATAGCCACCCCCAACATGTCGTCTATGCTCCTACGTGAGCGTGTTTTCCTCTGTCGCGGTGTTTTGCGCATATACATAGGGACTGATGGGCAGCTTAGCTGTTAAAGTGTTTGCTCATCCTGACTTGTCAGTATTATACAGATTTTGTATACACGTTCCTCTATCACTCCTGAAGACATAGTCCGATTTGCGGTGTTGTAGTGACGTATGTTTTGCTGGTGAAACGAGATATATATGAAACTGCGCAGTAAGAAATACACATTGTGTTTTCAATGTAGAACTAGATACAGTGTAGACTTAACCATGCACAATTGAATTTTGAACTGATCTCGCAGTCAAATCGGCTGTTTCAATCAGAGATTTTTATTGTGATTTTATACCTCTGATTAACCAATCTGAATCGAGTATGTCCACTATTCATTGTAGAATCACTATTAATATTACAACTATTTAACGAGAGACTACGTCGTGAAATCTGGACAAATCTAATAGTTGATGAGTACAACGAGTTCCTTGAGGTGGCTGGAATGTTTCTAAAGCCGGCGCTACCCGTGAAGAGACGGGGTAGAATAGGTCTTCAGCAACCCATGCTTGCCGTAAAAGCCGACTGTGCTTGTCGTAAAAGGCGACTAACGGGATCGGGTGGTCAGGCTCGCTGACTTGGTTAATGCATGTCATCGATCCCAATTGCGTGGATCGATGCTCATGATGTCGATCACTGGATTGTCTGGTCCAGACTCGATTATTTACAGACCTCCGTCATATCGCTGGAATATTGCTGAGAACGGCGTTAAACAACAAACAAACAAACAAACAAACAAATCTAAAGGCGGCGCAAACGTTATCATAACTCATCCTTACGTTCCTTCCTTACGTTCCGGAATTTTGCTTGAATATTGCTGAAGGCGGCATAAAGGCATATTCACTCACTCAGTCTACACTAGATGCATTAAAGGACATAATATTATATTGAGATTGTCAATTCAGCATTGTCTGTCTAGATTGACCTTTTGACAATTGACAGTCTTCTCTTTACTTCTCCAGACATCAACGAGTGTTCATCTTTTCCATGCCCCGCCCACTCCACGTGCCACAACTCTCCCGGCAGTTTCTCCTGTGTGTGCCACAATGGCTTCTACCAGAGATCCCCACTGGAATGTATGGGTGAGTCTTCTTCTTATGGTTAACATATACCTTGGTCGTAAATGTCTTGGTCAATATGAATACCAAATGCTTCATTAATGTATCCGCGCAGATAGGTTAGAATAGGCCTTCAGCAAACGATGCCTGTCGTAAAAGGCGACTAATATGGTCGGGTGGTCAGGCTCGCTGACTGAGTTGATGCCTGTCATCGTAAACCAATTGCGTGGATCGATGCTCTTGATGTTAATCACTGGATTGTCTGGTCCAGACTGGATTATTTAGAGACCGCCATCACATAGCTGGAATATTGTTGATGGCGGCAGTAAACAAGAAACCTTTATTAATTAATCGAGCCGCGCTGTACAAAGTTCCGTCCCCCAGGCGTGCCAGAAATCCATGATCTTGACTTCGAATCCCAGCTTCGACCTGCTTATATTTGTCGATGATAAAGTACTGGTAACAGCAACAGCAACAGCAGCAGAACCTGAACGCAACAGCAACTGCAGCAGCAGGCGAAGCTGTAGGGAGGGAGGTGGATCATCTCAGCTAAGCAGTAGTGAAATAGCAGTGTAATAAATGCAAACGACTGAATAATAATATTTTTTTGATAATGACGTTTGTTTTCCCAGAGAGCAAAGTGTTCTACAGCTCCCTCCGACTTCTGGAGATAGGGGGGCAGCCAGCCGACTACAGAAGCGTCTACGACGACATGGAATCCCCAGAGTCACTCGAACTGTCCACAAACTTCAGCCGCACCGTAAGCAGTAGGGTGTAACGACTGATTAATGCATTGCAATTGTCCATGGCCCCTTTGTAAAATAACAATAGTTATCTTCGATACCAAGCTACACTATTGATGCAGTAGATAGACGTCATAACACGAAAAAATAGCAATCATTAATAATTTTTTCATTGTATCCCAAATACACCTCGCCATATGGGTATTGGTTCGAATCCCGGTTCGCTCCGATTATATTTCTAGCATTGTCAGCTCGCGGGTTTCACCATGGTGGTAACCTTTTGAAGCCTGTCCCATTGCGGGCTTTATAACTAGAATACTGCTCAAAGCGGCGTTAAACCATCTCACTCCTTACTTGCAAACAACCACGATGACCGTCGATCAAGTTGATATTAATCTAAATGTATTGACAATATAACAAGATAGTCACGTGGAGTAACGCGACACAAATGTTTCACCAGGACCGAAGATCCATGTATGGGAAGACGTGGGACTGTTCGTCCGTTTGGTTTTGCTGTATTCTCCGAAACAGCTAATGTTTGTCAATGTACGGCAGGGAAATGTCAAATCTTGTATTCTCACATTTTCTCATGTATTGCCTGTTTCCAAAGGTCGGGATCGCGTGGCATACGTGTATAACTTGCCCTGAGACTGCCCTGTTACTTCTCTTCACAGCTGACAGACTGCCTCAACCAGACAATTGGGGAACTGGTATACGGCACCATGGTTCATCAGTTCACCAATGGTAGCGTCGTTGTTAATGCCTCTATCTACGTGGACAACAATTACAACGGTGGCCCTGAGTTACTATCCGTGATGGTGCAAGACAATGTCGACACTTTTAATAACGACGGGTTGGTCATCAACCAATCTGATATATACGTCACAGGTATTGAGGATCTGCAACCAATCTGATATATACGTCACATGTATTAAGGGTCATCAACCAATCTGATATATATGTCACATGTATTGAGGGTCAACAACCAATCTGATATATACGTCACAGGTATTGAGGGTCATCAACCGATACTATATATACGTCACAGGTATTGAGGGTCATCAACTTTTCTGATATATACGTCACAGGTATTGAGAGTCATCAGCCAATCTGATATATATATACGTCACAGGTATTGAGGGTCATCAACCAATCTGATATGTACGTCAAAAGTATTAAGGGTCATCAACCAATCTGTTATATATGTCACAGGTATTGAGGGTCATCAACCAATCTGAAATGTACGTCAAAAGTATTAAGGGTCATCAACCAATCTGATATATATGTCACAGGTATTGAGGGTCAACAACCAATCTTATATATACGGCACAGGTATTGAGAGTCATCAACCAATATGATATGTACCTCACAGGTATTGAGGGTCAACAACCAATCTGATATATTCGTCACAGGTATTTATATTTGTATACTTCATAAATTCGTTTTTGACACACCCTTTCTCGTTTTGACACAACATTTTGAGGGGCATACCGTGTTTCCCATATCATTTTGTGGTTTAACACCCCCTTTGTGTTTCAAATGTTATGCCGACATATCCTTTTGCATTTAGAACTTGTGATTTTATAGCTGTATATATTAGTGCATCACATACTAGTATCAAATGACCCTAGCATATCATGTTGTGTTTTTATATACTATTTTGTGTTTCACATACCTAAATAAGTGTGGCAAATATTGTTTGATTGTCCTATCGCGTTTCTAGACGTGGACGAATGTTCCCTATCGACATGGAACGACTGCTCGCCTGAGGCCGTGTGCCTTAACGACATTGGAACCTACAACTGCACGTGTAAGCCTGAGTTCCTGGATTACTCCGTTGACAGGCCTGGGCGTAGCTGTCTAGGTACGACTTTACAGTGATGATTCTGTCGCTATATTTGTAGATATGGGTGTATGCATGCCAACGCCTCTTCATGCCACTGATTACCGTAAAGGTGAAAATTAACCCCCGTTGGGACTCTGGGTTAGACTTGGTCTCCGGCAACCCATGCTGGTCGTAAGAGACATTTTGAAGGGGTTGTATGATGAAAGATGCTTTATCCAACGAATTCAACTGTTCTATTTGTACCTTACAAGGTGTTTCACCTTCCCCATATCCTGGGTCACAGTCCAGCTCCGTTAATGCGGACGGTACTGTTCCCTATGCAATCGTCTGTATTATCGACCATCTGGATTAACGAATCAGAAGTAATTTGTTTTGAATAAATAGTCCTAAACGTAATGGTCCTGAAAACTGGGTGTCTGGATTATTTCAATGTGTATGATACAGATTTAATTAATCTTTAAAGAATGTAAAGAAACTTCCCACATATATCATATACAATTGTACGTTTCTACCAACAGCTATCGACGAGAGCAACCAGGATAAGATCCAGGGCGTAACCCTTGCGGCAGATAAACAATACTACAAGACTAGAGAAGCCGTTGTAGTCACCATCTGGCTTCAGAGGGGGTCGCATGTCACCTACACGCTGAAATACGGTGATGGCGGATTCGAGAGCAAGAGTGACCCTCAGCGCCTAGCATTCTTAAACCCTTACAACTTCAGCCACTCCTACATCCTCGCCAACACGTACAACTTGACGGTGACGTCAGCCAACGACGTCAGTTCCATCAGCTCCACAGTTCAGATCATTGTTGAAGAAGATGTACGTCAACTCAAGATTGACATTCAAATTGGCGCTACAGAATTTGAAAGAGATTTCATTCTGTCGGTTGAAAATGACAGTTTGATATTGGAATATATTCTCTGCGTGATGGATTATGGAGATGGGACGATGAAAACAACCACAATCCAGATCCTTTCCAAAACGGAAACCTTCAAATATACCCACGCCTATCAACTTGGAGATTTCATAGTTTCGGTGAATTGCTCAAACCACGTGTCATCTTCAGTGACCTCAATTCCTTTCTTCGTTGAAGAAACGATAAGCGATGTAAATATAACGACCAACAAACATATTTTACTTCCTGGAGAGGCGTTCATTCTGTCCATCAGTGTAGGAAAGGGGTCAAATTTAACTCTTGTGCTTGATTTCGGGGACAACAGGGCTAATACGCTCCAACTCGGAAACATTATACCGGGGTCATCCAACCAATTCATTACACAGTCATATCCGAAATCAGGGTTCTTCACGCCCAAGGTCACAGCAAGTAACAGAGCGTCGCAAATCGAACAATCACTAAACGAGTCCATCGCAGTCCAGAACAAGGTGAAGGATCTGAGTATTGAAACTCAGAGTCCTGTGGGAGTTCCTCCTGGCGAGATAGACATCATCATCAAATACCCATCAGATTCGTCACCTCCGTCCTTCGTCACTTGTAAAACAGACTTTCTGAACGTAACAAATGAAGAATACTCTGTTGACTCTATCAATGTAAGTGCCCCCCTGTCCTTCACAGTGTTGTGGACGAGTCTCTATGATGTTGGGCGTGTGCCATTCTCTGTGAATTGTTCCAACTTGTTGAGTTTTCAGGTCCTACAGTCTGAGGTGTTAATTCAGCTTGCCGTCACTGGTGTTGCTGCCAATACAAGCAGTCTCTTCATACCAATCGGTGGCACAGTGGAATTTATGCTGTACGTGGAATCGGGGAGTCATGTCAACTATGTATTCAATTTCGGTGGTGGTAACCCGGTGTCTGGTATATTCCAGGAATTGATTGTGTCTAAGAAATCTGTTAAAAGGTTAACAGCCTATAATTATGAAGGGTTTTATGATGCAAATGTAACTGTGTTTAACGATGTGTCAACAAACGTGACGGAATTCAGAATTGGTGTTCTGGAAGAAGTCAAAGGGTTACAAGTGACTGCATTTTATCGAAAACTGGACACATCTGATGTTCTTACTACGGGACATGGATCAAGCTTTGATGTCTTCCCTCTTGAAAGGCCAGTGATATTCAATACAACAGTGCGGTCTGGAAATGGCATCACGTACATCTGGGACTTCGGGGATGGGATAATAGAGAGGACTGATTCCAGAATACATAGCCACACCTATACGACTCCTGGTACATATGTCGTATGCGTGAATGCCACCAATGCCCTGTTCTACGACGCCGTCAAGCTGAGCATCACCACACAACAGACCATCCTGTTCAACACATTAGTAAACGACGGCCCTTCTGACGCTTATAAAAATATCACATTCACAGTGAATCTCGCGAGGCCGGGAACAGAGTCGTGCTTTGTATTCGATATGGGGGATTTCACCAATCCAGTCCTTTATGGAGAGAGTCCCTGTTCAACAAACCCTGCATATAACGGATACACATACTCCGACTGGGCACCTTCTACCACTCTACAACACACGCACGTGTACACCACTAATGAGACGTTCTACGTTACATTGAACGGGACGAACATTGTGTCCAAAGCTACAGTCTACACAACGGCTGTTATAAGTGGTGTGAGCTGCCACTACCCTATAGTACATATTGTAGGGGGAGGGCAGCAGATAGACGAGCCTGTCACCAGACTCCGTTCTGATTGGATGGTATTCGAGAGCAGAGTTGACCTCGACTGTGAGATAACTAACGAAGCAGAGTATAACTGGACTATCCTCAGAATAACAACTGGAGACAACTTCCTGGATTTCATCTTCGACCCGTATCCAGCCGAGTCAGTGTCTGCGGGGCTGTTCAAGATCCTATTTCGGCCAAGGGCTTTTGAACCTGGGGACTACAAAATAAGTTTGAATGTTTCGATGGCGGGGATTTCCGGTTTGTTCCATTCGGATTTCACATTTGTACGAATCCTCCAGACTGACATTGTGGCTCGTATAAAAGGCGGAACAGGACGAGCAGTTGGTTATGACACAACCCTTGAACTGAACGCAATAGAAGAAAGCTATGACCCAGATGCGGATGATGATTCGTCCAAGGCTAACTTTACGTATGTCTGGTGGTGTAGGAAGGAGGGGGAGTCGTTGGAGGATGCTGTTGACGGTGTCATCGAGATTCCCCAGAATATATCTGGTATCTTCCCGAACGTATCCATTGGGTGTTTTGGCACCGGCATCGGTAAGCTTCCGTTGACAGATGGGTATATCTCTTTCAACACACGACAGTTTGAGTTTGGCACCACGAACATTTTCCGAGTTGATGTCATAGCAGGTGATAGAAATGCCAGTTTTGAACAGGCCATTACAATCGTTGAGGGCGACCCAAGAGAGTTTCCACTGACGTAAGTATTTATTTATAATCAATGTTGACACATTAATTTCAGTCGTAGGCCGAGATGCAGCATAGCGGTTAAAGCATTCGCTCGTCGCGCGGAAGGCCTGGGTTCAATTCCTCGAATGGGTACAATGAGCGAGGCCCATTTCTGGTGCCCCCCTCCGTTATAGTGCTAGAGTATTTCTGGTGGTAACGTAAAACCATACTCGCTCACTCACTCTCATTCAACCGTTATAATGAATTATTGCTACGTATGGTTCGAATATACACTGTATATGACTTGTCGTTATTCACTAAATCTAAAGGCACATTCTGTGAAGTGAAAATATTCTCTGATAGAGGTCGTAGTGAAAGTAGTTTATCACCATCACTGTGGAGGATGAGACGACTTGTCCGTTACTGTACACTCAAGTGTCCTTAAAAGTTGTCAAGCATGGCAAGAGTATAGGCAATACCATACTAAAGAGGATGTCTTTGCAATACTTGCATTAACAGCTCACCATTATGCGGACACTCTCAGAGGCAGACCAAGGGTCTTGCTGCATCCCTTCACATGTTATACGTACACTGTTGTATGTTGAAGATTATAATAATTGAATTGAAATCCATGTGTCTTGTAACTCTGTACAAAAGACGTTAAACTTCATAATGATTACCTTGCAGTTGTGTTGTGAATTGCAAGTCCAAGGTCAACCCATCTGGTGAGTTCAGCTTGACCAGCCAGTGCTTGACGTGTCACCCACTGGACACGATCTATAACAACTGGACGCTACTGCTATACAACGATACCCTCGGTGGCTACTTGGCTGTAGACGACCTAGACTCCATGGTCTCTACTGAGGCGCACTCTTCCAGTGTCGAGTTCCTCGCTCGGAGTCTCATCGACGGCATGAAGTACCAACTCAGGCTTGACGCCAACCTCCACGGCTACGCCCCCAGCTTTACAGAATACGACTTCATCACCAACGAGCCACCATACGGGGGAACGTGTACGATCGTTTCCGGGGAGGGTAAGCACAATCATTGATTTGATTGATTTAAGACCTGTTTTGCTTTGACAGAGAATCTAGTTGTTTTAACGATAAAATTCAAACTGTGGATACATATTTCATCGGTATCAGTGGATGTTGTTTTGGGGCAGCAATCCGCCATATTCCAGCATTATACGGGTGACCTGTAAATACTCGAAACAGGGCTCGGTAACTCAGTGGTTGATAACATGAGCAAAGATTAATGGCGTTGGGATCCGATTACACACAATCTATAAGGTCACACATTGTAAAAACCTTATCCTTATTTTAGTCTGTTCAAAGGGTGTGAACTGAGAATATTTTGGTCCGCAGGGACATCGGTAGAACTTACATACACAATGCAAGATTGGAACACATTTTGGATTTAACGAGAACGCGGGAAGGGCGGGGGATCTTATGGCACCAAAGCTATGTCTGGCTGTCCTGTTGTGTGATAATATTTCTAACAGCATACACCCGCATTTGATTCCATGCCTAAATGGGTTTTCATTTTGGGTTCTAAATGTTAAGAACATTCTTGTTATTCAATCCACTGATATCGCTTCAGGGTTGTTACAATTAACCGCCACATATCGGTACACTGGCATTGAACAAGCAACATTCCTTATTTCAGCATACTCACTAGGGCTGAAGTTGATTATCCAGTGTCAAGGATGGATCAACCCAGGGGAGGAGGAAGCCATGGGGGCGGGGCTACTGTACCGCTTCCTGGTGTACGCCCGGGGGAGGGGCGACGTGCAGCTGCTGTACTATGGCACAGATCCCTACACCCCCGAGTCTCAGATCCCCATAGGAGAGGAGTCCCATGATCACATGTTTGACATCGTTGTCAGGGTGGCCAACCCCATCGGAGAGTTTGTGGAGTTCAAATTGGAGACACAGGTGCAGTGTTTAGTATTATTATTGTACTTGGTGCAACAGATGCAGTACTTAGTTTTATTATCGTACTTGGTGCAACAGATGCAATACAAAGTATTATTATCTTATCTGGTTCAACAGATCCAGTACTAAGTATTATTATCTTATCTGGTTCAACAGATCCAGTACTAAGTATTATTATCCTATCTGGTGCAACAGATGCAGTACTAAGTATTATTATCGTATCAGGTACACCAGACGCAGTACTAAGTATTATTATCGTATCAGGTACACCAGACGCAGTACTAAGTATTATTATCGTATCGGGTACACCAGACGCAGTACTAAGTATTATTATCGTATCAGGTACACCAGACGCAGTACTAAGTATTATTATCGTATCTGGTGCAACAGATGCAAATACAAAGTATTATTATCGTATCTTGTGCAACAGATGCAGTACTTGGTTTTATTATCGTATCTGGTGCAACAAATGCAGTACTAAGTTTTATTATCGTATCTGGTGCACCAGACGTAGTACTGAGCATTATTATCGTACTTGCTGCAATAGACGCAGTACTAAGTATTATTATCGTTTCTGGTGCAACAGACGCAGTACTTAGTATGATTATCATACTTTATGCATGTTCTGACGATACTAACGCTGCTTACACTGTTGTGTGGCTTTGCACTACGAGACTTGGCTAACGGTTCAGTGGTACAGTCACACGTCATGCGATAGATAGGGTGAACATAGGGTGAATACCAGGCGTGTTATAAACAACGTAGAGAATATATGTATTTGCCCCAACTCGTCCTTTGTAGAAACTAGGTTATAGTGCTTTTATGTTCATACATATTGTAAATATGCGATTTGTATGAATGTATAACCATTGTTTGGTGAATATATTCCGAGATATTTAACAAAGCAAAATACTAGTTGATAGTAGTTGGCAGAGTGAATAAATGTACTGTCAAGACTGTTGGTTGTAATACTGCGCTGTTGTTTGTAATACTGTACTGTTGTTTGTAATACTGTACTGTTGGTTGTGATACTAAGAATGTCACATTGATTTGAACAGATTACACATCAGGTGCTTTAATAGAATGTTAGATTCAGTTCAAATTATCAATTAAAAGGGCTAACAACGTGCCGAAAGCATGCGTCATGTCCTCGGGTTAAATCACTATTTGTTAGTTGCTGCCTACCAACTTCCGGTTTGGGATGGACACCTCCCATTGATGTAACATTGTCCTGCACGCACATCCGCATCATCTCGCCTGTTCCAGGTAAAGCCCCCCGAGGTGAAGGAGAACGTGGAGACGTACCTGAACCTAACATCCGGGTCCTCCAGCACGCTGTCGTCACTGCTGTCCACAGGCCGCGAGCAGGAGGCCAAACAGTTGATTGTAGCAGTTGCCTCCCTCATCAACGAAGATAGCGCCAATGCAGAGGTAAGGCACTGCAAAGGGGTATACCATTTTGGGATGTTACTGATAACCTAGTCGGTTGACTGTGGTTAATCGACTTTAAATGGTAAAGGTTTCAAGATAAAGGGAATTTTCTTGGAAGAGTGTTTTGCAAATATCTATGGTTTTCATAGGAACATAGTTATCTGCCCTTGATTTGCACGCCCTAAGGGATTGGTTTTTAGGCGAATTCTCAAATCAGATTTGAGATATGCATATGCAAGTACATCATCAAATGTGGGTATGTTATCAACTATCCTAACTAATCAACTGTATTAGGATACAATCAAATGCAAGGGTATCATGAACTGTTAAAATCGTAGGTATATCTTCAATTGGTAGTTTAACATCAATATATATGTCCTTAGTTGAAGAAACATCAACTATTTGAATATTAAATTTATCGACAGCTGTTTACTGCATCTCATTATTAGATGCGTATATTTTTAAGCATTGGTTGTGCAATATGCATAAGGGTGACGTTTTTTCCTCAGGCGTCCATCTCGACAGGTGATACCACAACTGTGGTTCCGGGAGCATCTCCAACGGCAACAACTGCAGTAGAGGATGAGCTAAGGGAACAAAAACAGAAGAGAGTTGAGGTGAAGGTCACGGAAACAATGACATGTAGAATTCAGACTTTCAAAATATCAGTAACTTAGCATAGTAAATTTACATTTTCCACGTTCCCAAACGCACGTGAACACGCTGAAACAGGTTAAAACCGACTTTCTTTAAATTATGAAAAAGTATAAACTCATGTTTCGTAAGCCATAAAAACTGCGGGTTAATCCGTTTGCAATGGCATCAATGCATCCCTATTAAAGTATGTGCTTTTTCTCTCCACCCCCCTGTAAATTACCCTCCTGCTTAAATATGTTTATTCATTTCTTAAATACCCACCGTTGTGTTATTATGAGACTGTAAAGAAAAACAATACCAATTTTCACAATAAGACATAATTTTGAAAAACAGGTCAGACAATTTCCACTCTCTAAAGAGTTACTTAACACTGCTATTCTTAAAAGGACAATGTCCTAAAGAACCATTAACCTGTGTCTTGTAAGCATATAGAGCTCGGAAACAAATTTGAATTCTTATCTTTTATATATTCACACGAGAGGAGGTTGTCTGAACACATTCTTTGTTTCTGACTTAAAATATGCCGTTCTGAGTACCTGTGCCAGTTTGAGTTGAGTAATGTTATAGATTCTGCCTCCGGGTACTAGTTTATTGATAACTATATCGATATTGAATTTATTATCTTCATAAATCAGTTAATCACTGTTATGGTAGAAAATGGAGGAATATCTTAGCTCTCATGTATGCATATGTTGTTTCTGCTGTGTCAGACACTACAAATCATCTTCAAAAATATATAAATGCACTTGATCACTTCTGTGAAGTCACAGGTATGAATTTAATTTAGATAAAACAAAAATAATGGCTTTTAGGAATGGCGGGCGTCACCTTCAGTCTGAAAATTGATATTTATTAAGGAAAATAAATTGAAGTTGAAGAAGTAAGTTTTCACAGATATTTAGGTGTAATATTCACTCCAAAATTATTATGGATCAGAACTCAAAGTTGTTTAGCCAAACAAGCAAATAAAGCTCTCGTGTCAATAAACAGGTAGAGAAGAACTTTTCGGTTTTTTAACCAAAGTATTTGACTGTATTTATTTATAAACATGACGTGTCATAATCATAGCTACATACATAGCATGCCTACATGCATGCAGGTTATATAACACGTATATATTATGAGCTGGGGGGGGGGGGGGGGGGGGGGGGTCTGAATACTGAATAAATCTTGTCGTGTCATATCTTGTCTTGATAACAACATTCTTTTCTGTAAATGCGGACCATGTTTGATATAGGCACAGTTGACTTCGTTACTTTGTTGGAGTATGGGAGTATCGAGGTTCTCAGCATCTTAATATTATGCTTACTGTAAGAGTTGACCAGATGTAACGGAGTTGGTTGATTGCTCATAAAATCAATCATTTTGGATTGTCTTGTCTAGATTGGATTATATACAAGACGTCGCCAAATAGCGGAGTGAAGAATTAAGCAACAAACACACACTGAAAACGTAGAAACAGCGACTTAACAGAAAGTTTACCTGAGGTGATTTCTCATGGAGGAGTCCTCAGATTTCCTTTGATCGTAATAAGATTGTTGGGTGGAACGTTTTGAATTTGAAAGTTACTCAATTTTATTTTACCTAAAGATAGTAAGAACTCAATTTAGTTACAAATTCAATCAAGTCGGAATAAAAGGCTGCCGCCGAGCGCTCTTTCATGAACGGCTGGGGTGAAGGCTTTAAGAAAAATACGGTGCGCTACGATGTATACTCGCATAAATTGATTGTGTCCACTCAAGGTGTTGTACTAAGGAGTTGTGCAGAAATGTTGACGTATTTAGACCACGTGTTATTTTAATTCCTCTAGCCTCTCGGTAGAACTCGATGACTATCTTCAACCAGATTTCACAACCTAGAATTTGAGAGTCTGTCATTTTGATCATGAATTGTCAGAAGAGGAAACGTAAATTATGTCATGCTTTTTATGTCCAGCTACGGACGGAGGTCGTGAAGTCCCTGGCGACCACAGACGCCTTGACCCTCGACTCTCTACAGCAGACGGCCATGGCATTTAGGGTGATAACCCATCACACGACGGAGCTGTCAGAGGAAGCTCAGGTTAGTAGGCGGGGAGGGCAGTAGGCGTGGCAGAAGGGGAGGCGTGGCAGTTGGCGGTTCTGTTCCTGTTTCAAATATGAATTAGTTAATACTATTATACAAAATATTCCTCTTCATTGGTGTGTTGAGAACGTATTAAACACTCTGAACTGAAAGTTTTAGTCCAATTTGTGTTTATGCTTTAACAAATCAGTGCGTGCGTTCCATAAAGTTATACAGGAAGCAAACCCTGCTATACCGAACTAATCCCATCATGGGTGTTGAGAGAAGATATCCCAACATGAACAAATGCAAGGGAGCTTTGAAAAGGCCCATTCATCTTCCAGTTAGAGGTTTGTCTAATTTACACGTCTCTATCCACAAGCAACATAGTTTAGATCACAATGAAAGGCACATCGTATAGTACGAGACGTTTTGTCTTTTCATTCAGGACATGACTGTGGCGACGATGTCAACGATGGCGAACACATTCCAGGTGATGGTTGAGGAGGAGAGACCGCAGTCGGTGGAGCAGGAGCTAAAGGCTGCGGAAGGTATACCCTTGTCATCTAGGATTGAAAAAAAGTGAAAGAAAAAAACAACAAGATTTTGAAAATGAAGATATATTTTGTGGGTAAAAACTTTATTTATAACAGTTTTATTGAGGTTTCCTTGAAACAAATCATGTCTCTAACAAAATGCCCCCGCCACCAAGGATATCAGAATATTAAATGGTCCCTAAGAAATAGTTTGTGAAGGACACGCCATCTTGATATATTTTTTGCACTGGATAATCTGGGATGTCGTTAAGGACCAACAGCAGTATATGACCAACACCTTCAATATTGACAAGATGATGGTCTGCATTTTCATGTTATTTTTCAACAGACATTGTCGCTGCCCTTGGGAACATCATCTTGGCAGCCCGCACTGAAGCGACCGGAAGTGCCTCCAATGACACTTCACCAACAGATCCATCACCAACACAAGGGTCCTCGACAACAGCTTGGCAAGCTGATTCTGAGTCCCAAGCAAAGGTCAAACACGTGTTCATCTTTTGTAGACCGATACGACTTGACACCAATCTATGTTAGAGGTTTTCCTAGTATATCGCTATCATGGTCCAGTGTTGTTTTTATTCTAATTTAATGAATTAACACAAAATGAACTTATTGTGCAATCTCTAAAGTCATTGTCTTCAAGGAGAGCAGAGCATTAATTTAGTGGACTTTCTTGGACCTTTACGATTACCTCTGGGGTAAGGATGTGTGTGTTCTTGCGAGTCAGTTTTGAACCGTATTTCATTGCTGTCGTTGTCAGCTTAACGTGGGAGAAAGTCAAAAGGGACGATGGTCGTAGTTGTCACTTTGGTGAAACCAGAGAGTATGGGAATATGGGAATTGTGCTGATAAAGCAATGGTAATATGGCGAAACGGGAACACAAACCCAATGTCAATGGATCCTGGCACGGCTAAGGAACGCAACTCCGTACAGCAAGTTGCGGCACCTTAGACCGCAGTGCTATCTTTGTCCGATCAATTCCGAAGCATCCTCATCTTCATTCTGTTTTTACAGGCTCGGGAAATCACTAAACTGGCTCTGGAAGTAGCAGATTCAGTGGTGAAGACAATTCTGAAGAAACGCGTCCCCGGAGCGCCACCTGTTGTCATGAAGAATCAAATGTTTACTGTTGTTGCAGAGAGGAAGGAGACGTCGAAGTTAGGTAACTCTGTTTTGTCTGCAGACGAAGGATCCTTCAAGTTGCCATCTTCCAGGGATATAGTGACGGAGAATGTCACAAGCCACATCATAGACACCAAGGTGAGTCAAGAATGAGTGAGTGTTTTGTTTGTTATTTAACGCCGCACTCAGCAATATTCCAGCTATATGACGGCGGTCTGTAAATAATCGAGTCTGCTCCAGACAATCCATTGATTGATATCATGAGCATCAGTCCACGCAATTGGAATACGATGACATGTATCAACCAAGTCGGCCACCCGATCCCGTTAGTCGCCTCTTACGACAAGCATATAGTCGCCATTTACGGCAAGCATGGGATGCTTAAGACCTATTATACCCCGGGTCTTCACGAGTCAATGTGTGAGTGAGTATGTTTTTTAGCCGCTTTAAGCAATATTCCAGCAATATCACGGCGGGGGACAGAACCTAGGTACACCTTCTATACATGTATACGAACTAGACAATTATGTAGATTATGTATTTGAGGGACCATTGTGTGATACAATGTGTATGCATAACGCTATATTTGAGATATAAGGTCAAATAAGCCCTATTTATCATCAACACAATACCCTCAATGATCAAACGCTTAATTATATTTTTACCATGATAATTACGTGCCAAGTGACACATGTACGTTTGTAAATACAAGGTTCTATTTGTTATGAACAAAAACCTCAACTTTCGCAATAACGTCTTTGGTGCTGCAGATGTTAAAAGAATGAGATATCAACAAATAAATATATCAACGAACCAATATATTATACAAATAATACACTTAAAAACCGGAACACTTTATAGTGTAGCAACGTAGTGCCACACAGAGTATATCACTTCTTGAAGAGCACAGTGGTTGTTCAGTTCTTGTTACACCAATTATGCCTCTTTACTTAATTTGGTAGGGACCTAAAATACTGAGAAAATGGAAGGGGGCAGGGTTTGTTTTGTTTTTTTGTTTGTTTTGGAGGGGGGTATTTCGAAATAGAAATATACATCTATAAATTCATCTATTCACAGACTAATATATCTGCTTAAACAGAAAATGACCTATGTTATTTTAAATAAAGACCAACATCCTTTATAACAGTAACATTCTCTCAAATTTCTGTCGTAATGGATACCGATGAAGATAAATAGGAAATAAACTATCCCTGCTTTTCTTGTACTATAGGCAAATGATATTCATCTCCTAATTCTAATATATTAATATTATCACAATTAATTCAGGTTAATATATAAACTGTTTGCTTAAACACGAGGAGAGTGGTTAAAACGTTCGCTTGTCTTCTAGGTCATCTTCCCGAGGCAAGAGAGTTAACTGACTATAAAAGTCCAGTTTCCATCCTTGCCGAACTAGGCTGGTATTATGGAGTTACATTTTGGCTGGACTAACGAGTCTATGCATAGTCCAATCAAAATCGCGCACCGAAATCGATATCCGGTTCGTAAACTGTCGTGCAGATTTCGGTCGATTGCAGGATTTGCAAAGCATGTTCACCGCTAACTCGTTGGCAGCAGATATTTCCAAATCTTTTCATGTTTGTAATCGCGATGTAGGACCCGTTATATAACAATATAGATCTTGATTATCGATCAGATCGTCCTTGCCGGGCGCCACCATTTTGTGTGAAGCCACTGGTGGCGCTACAATCGAGCCCAGTAATTCCAGCCTTGTTCGGCAAGGGTGGGAACTGGACTTTTAATGTCAGTTAACTCTCTTGCCTCGGGAAGATGCTTCTAGGTTGGAGTTCACCACTTAGGTACGACGTGTGGACCCGATTCTAGCTTCCCGCGCCATGACACAGCCGTAATATTCGTAAACCCTATTGCGTTATGTGTATACCAAACCCAATGTTATGTGTACAACAACCTCTCCCGATATTCCCGTTCCAGTTCGTCACCTCCCAGTTAAATCCATACGTGTGGGATAACAGCGCCGACAGTGTCAACTCCCCCATCCTCACCATGAATCTTTACGACTCCGGCGGCGATGAAGTGAAAGTCGACAAGCTAGACGCTGACATAATCATCGACATAGGCGCGACAGGTAACGGCAGTAACAAAGTTGCCGTACATCCGGTCCTCACCGGAAACGAGTCCATGGTTTACCATACATGGAGTGTGTCCGGAAATTACAGCGAGACGCTCAGGATAACGGTGATCCCCGATATGGCCAACGTCACCCTTGAGTTGTACATTAGAAATGGAACATTCCCCACAGAGAGTGAGTTTGACCTCTACTACCAGCTCCCCCGTGACATCAACGCTTCAGGGTTTGACGACCCTGCCATTGAAGAAGAGTTACGCTACACCATTTTAATCTCTGGGGAAGAACAGGCAACCGTTGGAAATGGGACCTTTCACATTGGAATCAAAGAACAAGGTAAACATTACAGTTTTTTCATCAAAAAGAAAACAATAGACAAAACATGAATACATATTGATTATATTTTACATATTAAATTTGGATATTAATTTACATGTTACGGGTCTGAGTCAGATAAAACAAATGATCATATAATGGGTAGTGTTATGAATACTGTGAACCGAGCCGATACACATGGTATAATCAATCAATCAATATATGAATCAATCAGTATTCACACATACTGAAACACTGTATTCTGCACATATAAGGGCAAAGGTATTATTTACGCAAATGATCAAATTCTGGACATATAAAGAAAAAATTATATTCATTTTCAATTTCGTGTCTGTGGCAAAGTTTACATACCCTCAATTCTTTTGGCACTTTTGTGTATTTCCTTCTTCAATCTGAAGGCTATGAGAAGAATATCTTATTCGTGAAAAGTATTTTCGAAATTTAGGGAGAAGTGATTTCAAGAGATACTGTTCAGTTTTAAACTGGGACTTAAACATTACAAGTAATCAGTTTGGTGATAATAGAAGTATCTCATTCCATTACTGAATAAGCGTATCCATAAGTCTTTGAGTGAACATTAGAAAAAGTTGATAAGGATATTCTACGTTTGACTTTGACATGCAACCCCAAGCCTAGTTCAGGAACGATTTTCCTTATAGACGATACACAGTTTACAGCAGGAACTACTCCCAGTAAGCTCTATCCACCGATGCATTGGCTACCTGCAAAAGAAATAATACCACAATGACGTTATTAAAATTATTATATTATTATTACTATGCGATTTCTAAAGTTTAATCCCTGGGCCTATAATAAAACCTGATTAGTGTACATGGAAATATGACTATATAAACATACAAAAATATATGCAAGATACGATGATTAGGTATTGCTTTCAGTTCTTAGACATAAAACCTGTTTGAAAATTTTTGCACAATTAATAAGTACAAGCTTATCATTACTGTAAAATAGCTTTTCGTATTCAGTTACTGTAGATAAACCATATGTTGGTAAGTATCTACCTCTGTATATAATATATGCACTACAGTCACGGGAAAATGCAATTCATCTTTGGCACTATTGCTGTTACACTTTCCACATAATCTGTTTATACTTTCACCATCTTTACATCTAACATAAATAAGCATTAGGCTTAGGTTCGGGTAGCCTTACTCGCCACTGCGTCGTTACATGGTAGGGGAGACACAGCTGCCCTCCGACACTACTTAGTCAATATCCACAATTATACAGACACAATGCATCCGATTTTAGCACGAATCTGTTCTACACCGATTCCATTTTCAGAATCTAACCATGAAAAAAGCGAGGCAATAGGGAATTGGAGTTTTAAAAAGTCAATTTGTCGGATGCGGGACACCCGTCTGTCTTCCCTCCGCCAATTTATAAAGTTATGTTTGTGAAGGAAGGATGTCAAATATGACAAATAGTTATTATAATCTTATTTCGGTACGTATGAGACCACAGGCGTATAGTACATTACAAACATAACAGTTACATATTTACTAAAGCGTACATTGCACAATAAATAAACATGGACAGATTCTGCAGTGTATCTTGATTTGTACTGCATATTTATATATTATGGATATAAACTAAGTATTAAGCTCGTCAAAGGCATAATGCACTTTTTAAATCCTAAGATATAAGTATTTAAGACACTCGGCTAATTACTGTTATGTTATTACTTCATCATGTTGGTTATATAACTCAATGTGGCTTAATACAGATTGTAGACTCAGAAGTAGAAAGGTCACGGTCTGTGTCGTGGGAAATAGGTTGACTATCTATTGCACGGTAACGTTCTGTTACAGTAAACATTTCAACCATCGAACCCGACTACAGCGACTACTACGACTACGGCAACGACGAGGACGAAGACGTCAGAGTTATGACCAACTACACTATCAGCTTCAGTACAGCGGTCTGTCGCTTCTGGAGCGAGAGGGATGACAAGTGGGTCACTGACGGATGTCAGGTAGACGCGGTGTTACAGTTGTACTCATTTCGACTCCCCCTCCCCTCCCCTCCCCTCCCCTCCTCCATCCAACCCCTCCTCCCGTATACGTTCTTCGTTTGATGTCAGTTTGTGTAAGTCACCCTGGGCTACAGATCTACCAATGTGCGATGTAGGATCTACAATGCCTTTCTTCATATCCGATTGCCTACAAATCATAAACTATTTTTAAACCTTCACATCAATCTATTCCTTAATGATAAATGCATACTTATTTCATAGAAAATGAACTTTGATTCGAAAACGGAAAACCGGTACGGGTTTTGGAAAACAAGATGGCGGCCACCCGATTTGTTGTCGATTTGAAATCCGTTTTTAGGATTTAGGATTACCCATCGGAGGTGTACATGTGCGCTGTTAATCCCACAGCAGACTGATTAACAATGAACATATGAAGTGATAAGGTAACCGCAGCTACTGTGTACGCGGTGACAACGCCAGAGCATTCCCGGGGGTTCCAAAGGCCGCGAGTTTCTGTGGTATTTCAGTGAATCAAATATTGTTTCAAATGCCTAAATCGTAAAGATTTGCTTGTCGTAAGAGGCGATTAACGCGATCGGGTGGTCAGGCTCGCTGACTTGGTTGATGCATGTCATCGTATCTCAATTAAGTGGATCGATGCTCATGATATCAATCACTGGATTGTCTGGTCCAGACTTGATTATTTACAGACCGTCGTCATATAGCTGGAATAATGCTGAGTGCGGCGTTAAACAACAAACAAACAAACAAAACCCGGCCGCTGGGGAATCCGGGTTTGAACAAGTCGAAAGAGACGACTGCAGATATGGAGGGCAAGGCTCGGTGTCATCGTACCCCGACGGCCTGGGACATATATCACAATGCTCATATTATCAATATGGTATCTGGTCCAGGCTATATTATTAGCAGGCTGCCGCCATGTTGCTTGAGTATATCTGAGTGTTGCGTTAAACAACAAATAATTAAACATAATAAAATCACATAAAAACAAAGTCAACACTGTCTCGCCCTAGGTCAGCGAACTTTCTAACTCCCGCTTCACGAGGTGTCTGTGCAACCATCTCACGGCCTTCGCCAGTGGCGTCTTCACTCCCCCTAACTCCATCAACTTCAACACCGTCTTCAACAACCTCGGCGCCAAGTTACTGGACAACAACGCCGTCCTCATCACCCTGTGCGTCATCTTCTTCCTCTACATCGTCTGCGCCATCTGGGCCAGGCGGAAGGACAAGCGGGATGTGGAACGGGTGGGTTGTATAAGTTGTAGGAAGCTAGTTTGGAGGTGTTGAACAAAGGATTGCGCCCTAATGGTCAGTCAAAATTATGCTACTCAAAGAAAGTTTAAGAACACCAGATTCTCTCATATTACTATTGTGAAATGAAAGAATCTGATGTTCTTTAACTTATTGAGAAGTAAATTTAAAAAATGGTTTCTGAGACAAACATGGGGTTAGGACAAATTAACCGTTATCGTTTAATAGAACTCTTCTGTTTGACCTCACCTATCCAGAAGGGTCAAATGAATAATTTTATCCTGACAAATCGTCGTTTTCAAGCTTTTCCACTTCTTCTCCTACAACCTAAGTAAAGCTTAATTTAAGTTATAGTTTTAAACATTTAACGAATTCAAATTCAGCCTTTCAAAGTTTATTGTGGTAAAATGTTATTTTCGTTTCTCTTTATAGATAAATAGATACCCTGTTTAATTAATACTGTATATACGTTTTGCAAGTGGTTGTGTACACTGTAAAAAGGATGGTAAAACTTCAAAGCCATGACCATATTATCATACGTTTAGAATTATTCATTTATCAATACATTAATCATCACAGTTACTTTTGCTTTAGAGCATTTAATGCCCGGGTTGATTATAGACTGGTTATTATATCATGTAAAACTGTTGACTAAAATGAATATAACAAATGTTATATTTGGGATAACACTTTCTTAATAAAGTACAGATTCTCGTACTTTTTGGGTTGAAATAAATATGTTTTCCTCATACTTGTTACGGTCATTCGTTTAAAGAAAAGGAAAATATTTATGATATGATTTATATCCTTCAGTGGGGCGTGGCTCCTCTAGCTGACAACGTGATAGCCGACAAGTATTTCTACCAGATCACTGTCTTCACGGGCATGCGCTCTGGGGCGGGTACAAGATCACGTGTCAGTTTTGTCCTGTCTGGGGACGATGCTGACACAGGCGTCAGGGATATGGCAGACGAGAAAGGAGTAAAGGTAAACTCGTATACAGCATTTGACATAAACCAAACTATAAGTCTTGAAATGAGGGAATATAACACAAATACCCGAAAAAGAAAATATTCAAACAGATTGGTGTTTTCAAACCCCTCATAATACCAAATGTATGCAATACATCAAGTTCTGGAATTAATTCACAACCCCATATACCATGAGGTGAGGTGAGGTGAAATGGGTTTTAACGTCGCGTCCAAGATTATTGCACTTATATAGCGACGTGCATGCACGTGTATGTGTGTGTGTGGCTGCTTGTACTAGTCCGGACTGATGCCGATTTATAGTGCTAGCACACTGAGATACCATGCCGCAGTTTAACATGAATACCCAATTCAGACACAGTATACTGACTCCGAGCCGACCAGTCCTTGTTTTAGCCCCTTCATGCCCAGCGCCAGACAGGGTAACAACAAGTACCATCTTTTTACGTCTTTTGGTATGACGCGGCTGGGGATCGAACCCCGGACCTTCCGCTCTCCGGGCTGACGCTCTACCATTAGACCACGGAGCCGGTCACCATATCATTAAACTTTATAAGTTTCATAAGGGCACACGGGTGGCCTGGTCATCTAAGGCGCCGCAATTGGTTGTGCAGAGTTTCGTCCCTAAGGCTTGCCAGTAAACTATGATCGTCGGTTTCAATCTCAGATTAAGTTTCTAGGTTTATTCGTACAACACCCGTGTGTTTTACCAAAGTGGTAAAACTTTGAAACCCGCATCCCTTCGTGATTTCTTCCAACATCAAGTTGACACGCCGTGATATAAGGGAAATACTGTTCAAAGTGGCGTTAGGCCTATAATTAACTTAATCTATCTACATTCTATGTTCAATCCAGCGTTAACTTAAAACTCACTTGGAAACAACCCGTAAACGTATTGAATACAGGTTGTACCTTGACCCACATTAATTGAGCAAAATGTGGAGACAGACTTCATAATGTTCTCCAGGTATTCAACCGCAGTAGCGTCAACCAGTTCGTGATGGGCGTGAGCGAGTGCCTCGGCCCTCTGTCCTACCTTCGAATGTGGCACGACAACTCCGGCAAGGGCAAACAACAAGGCTGGTATCTTAGTAAAGTCGTCGTATCCGATCTGCAGACGGGGGAGAGGTAAGAGACACATGTAGCCCCAGTGAGGTGACACCTACAGGGTGAGGGACACACGCAAATATGCAAGTGTTCTTGGAGATGTTAATCGTGCATGCGATACGAGAACGTGTTTTATCATATATATTTTCAGATGTATGTGTGTTATGGAGTATTCAATCGCAATGTGAGGATAAATTAAAATTTGAAATATACGGCATACGTCGTTGGTTCAAAATAATTCTCGTGCATCAAAATACACAATAACACCCGCAAATCTGAAAGTCTATTTATACCTCTCACTCTCGTGTGTATTTATATATTTACTAACGTTAGATTAACGGTACTGGTTCATCACATCGGTCGTTTCTGTCTATTCAGTTTCTTCTTCCTGTGCAACCGATGGCTGGCAGTTGAGGAGGATGACGGCATGGTTGACAGGGTGATGCCTGTGGCCGGCACCGGGGATGTCCTCACGTTCAACCACCTCTTCTTCTCGAACACCAAGAAGAGCCTCACTGACTCGCATCTCTGGATCTCGGTTTTTGCCCGACCCCAGAGAAGCAACTTTACCCGAGTACAGCGAGTCTCCTGCATCCTGTCTCTCCTAGCAACAACCATGCTGGCTGACGCCATGTTCTACAAAACCGAAGGCAAACACGACGCGGCCTACTCTTTTACTTTGGGACCTCTCAAATTCTCCCTTAATGAACTCTACGTCAGTTTCGTCAGCAGCATCGTCGTACTACCTGTGAACATCCTCATTGATCAGATATTTAGACGATGCAAGACCAAGACCAACAGCAAGGTCGACAACGGATTCCTCAAGAAAAACCTCAAGATCAGCACCCTCCGTCCATCAACCTCTGCCTCTACGTGTCCTGACCCTATCAGAACAGTCTACGATGGCACTCTGTCCCCCGACCCTACCACACCCAGCCCCACCCCGGGAAAGTCACCCAACCCTCTGAGCACGTCTTACACCCAGAGCTCAGGGGATATAACACTGAAGACCAACAGGAAGATCAAGAAGCTGAAGACCAAGCCTCAACGTAATAAGAAGAAATACTTCCCATGGTGGACCAAGTATATAGCGTGGCTGCTCGTGTTCATAAGTACGGCAGTGTCCGCCTTCTTTACGTTCTTGTATAGCATGGAGTGGGGAAAAGTGAAGTCTAACGCTTGGCTGTCATCTATGTTGCTGTCGGTGGGGCAGTCTGTGCTGTTGCTCCAACCAATAAAGGTTAGACATCACCATCATCACAGGCTTTGAAATTCCTTGAATTACGGTGTCAATGCAATAGGTATATTCATAAAGGCGCTGTTACAAAAAGACCAAGGTGCCTCATGAACATACTTAGAAATTACAGTTTGTTGTAAATTAGAGTGAGTGAGTGAGTATGGTTTTGCGCCGCTTTTAGCAATATTCCAGCAATATCACGGCGGGGGACACCAGAAATGGGCTTCACACATTGTACCTATGTCGGGAATCGAACCCGGATCTTCGGCGTGACGAGCGAACGCTTTAACCACTAGGCTACCCGACCTGTAAATTAGAAGAAAAAAAGGTTTTTTGGTGATCTTGTAAACGCAGGTTTAGTGTAAACTTAGAGGAATAAACCGTGAGATCGACTTAAACATTTGCCTCAAATTTGTATTTTGAATGATGAACAAACCTAGCTTAATACGATATGTGTATTATTTGAAATGTTCTGAACTATTTAAATAGCTACAAAGCCCCAAATACTCAAGATGGTATCAGTGAACTTTAAGTAGGAGTACCAGTTTTTGAAGGAAATGTTACATTTACAGACAACATTACTATCTCATAGGGGTCCCGGGCACCCCAGTCATCTAATGCCCCGTTCACATGCGCCTCTATACATATGTGTGTATATGTGCATACGTGTGTAGAAATACATACGTGAGTATACTTGTCATGTGAACGTGTTTACTCATTTGTGTATATTTACACCAGGAGCAAATTTGCATCATGTCTGGAGCAGGTGCAAATGAAAATGTAAATTTGCACTTTGTGTATATGTTGCAATGTGAACGTTTATGTTAACGTAAGAGGAAGATCTAATAAATATCTGCTCTTTTGCCAACACGAAACAAATTGTCAACAGTTGCCAACTTTTACGCGTATATGCAGAGTTGAGCGGACGGTGTTTTCTTTAGGTTTTAAGGTGTCAAAACTTTGTGTACAAATTAAATCAAACACATTTTGCTTCACGCGAAAATTGGAAAACAACCTGTTTTGTGTTGAAAGTCGTAAACAGACTGACGAATATGTGTGCCTTACACAATTTACATACTTTATTTACACATCTAAGTGGATTTTCATGTGAACGCATAGTATACTTACTAAAACACACGTATGTATAGTTACACATGTGCTTACGTTAGTAAATGTCGTGCATGTGAACGGTGTATTAGGCGCGATTCGCTACGTAATTTGCTCCCATGGGTGTGCCAGACTTATGGTCGTGTTTGAGTCCCAGATTAGACCTGATCATGTCTCGGCACCATAGCGGTGTTCGTGGGTTTCTCCAAAGTGTATCGTTTTGGACTTTCATCCCACATGAAACTATCATGCATATTAGAGGTGATGTTCAAAGCGGTGGTAAACCAAACTCACTCACTATTTCAGATCATTGTGGTGGCGGTGATAGTCGCATGGGTTGTCAAGAAGCCCGAGTTGGACGACCTTCCAGAAGATGAAGACCCGAGAGCTATCCAGCCTCAGCCTGACGAGGAGGTCACTCACAACATGCCACCCGAGTCGGGTAAAACACCTTCTAGATAGGGGTGCTGGGTTAGCCTGGTGGTTAGAGCGTGGGTTCTATACTTCTAAAACCTCGGCCCCATTCATAAATTGGGCATGCAGCCGATGTTACACGTCCCCCACTTCAGTACGACTTGCAGGGTCATACCTCCAAACTCAATCAATTGCTCACTTTCTAAAGTTCGCTGTGTAATGTTATTCATGATATGAGTAGATATGAATGTGTATTGAGTGAATAATTTGTGTAACATTGTATTGTCACATCAAGACTGCCACCATGAGGTTGGTGAGAAGTAATGTGTTTGTTAAAATTGCGGCATATTTAGTAAGGAAATTGTGGAAATAGTACTCGGATTCAGGCACTGGACATGACCTCGACCTATGACATGACCTCGACCTATGACATGACCTTGACATAATGACATGACCTTGACGTGCAGTGTTGATACCTTCAGGCTTACTCCTGAAGGCCACTGTCTGTGTACCCTTGCACCCCAACCTATACTCACTCCTTTCTGAACGCCAGTGACCCGGCCGAAGATGCCAGTTCCTCAGCTGGACCACAACGCTCTCCAGGCCGCACGCACGAAGCGGTTAAGGGAGGTCGAGATGATGTCTGTCATCAAGGAGGTGGTCGCCTACGTCCTCTACCTCATCATCCTCTTCATGGTGTCCGTCCAAAACAGGGACCCCAACTCCTTCCTCATCAAAGACAACCTCCTCAACATGATCGCTGGGACGTCCGCATTCACCAAGGTATGTATTGTGAACTGAACATTTATGCAAATTGAGTTGTCAATGAAGGCGAAATGATAAATCAGCAAGGGCATTTGGGTAAATTATTGATTTTAAATTGATTAAGAAATGCGTCTGGCTGTTGACCAGAAAACTGAATGATATATTAGTTAACTACTTATTAACTCATTGGTAGTTTCCAATTCGTTAATAAAAATAGGCGTCAGGTTGATCAGGAAAGGGGATTGGGCTTATGAATAAGGTGAGGCGGTAAGTTAATAGATGCAATAGATTCAATAAATTTGACTGTTATTCATACACAAGACTAGGCTATTCAATAATTGCGATTGGATTATTCAATGTCGTATCCCCTAAAGTATTAAAATCTGCAAGGTTGCTATGTTGACTTTATTTACCCTTTACTAGAAATGTGGTGATCCATTAGACAGACTAGGTTAATAAGAAATCCAGAGGGTATCCGGATTAATAAATGAATGCGACTTTTATACCAGAACAGCAAGTTAACCAATATATTCGACGATGTTAATCAGCAAAGGTTATCCGATACTCAGCAAAGGTTATGACCTGCAGGTGAGCACCGGAAATGACTTCTGGAACTGGACCCGCTATCACCTACTACCTAACCTGTACGCCAACAAACACTTTGATGGGTCCCCTCTCGAGGACAGAGGGCTGCGGTTTGTGTCCAACATGGTGGCCTACAGGGTTGGACCAGTCAGGTTCAGGCAGCAAAGAGTCGTTACAGGTAATAGTATTTTGTTCGGGGGTATAAAACGTATTATCATATATGGATAGGGTAAAATCAGCCAATTCAACAAGGAAACTGAACGAAGTGCTTGACTGTAGGTCTGAGATTCGGAGAGTGGCTCTGTATGACTAACTGAGTGTTCCTTTTTCATCTGTTCTAAATCTATTTACTATGCCATTAAATAACCTTTCGTTCTTTAATAACAATATGTTACCTTGCTACAGTCATGTTTACAGAAACAAAGGTAGGAACGCTTAATTATCGCTTATGAATATGCAATGAAATGTTAACACTGCCCGTGCCTTGGAATATGTCAGAAAATTGTTAAACAAACTTTCATTTAATACATATCTGACAGCGGGTAATAATACATGCGACGCACATTTTTCGGTAGATTCCATTATTACGAAACCCGTGAACTGTTTATGGCGTCTGATCTCGCTTTCGCTCGTTCACGTACCATAGAAAGTCCCCTTGTAGTACGGAGACGAGATTCTCTATATATCTTGCTATAGGAAAGCACAACTTTAATAGCAATAGTACAAGAATATGTCGTAAAGGGACCATTCAGAACTTGCAAGAGATTACCGGGATTCGTGAAAAAAAGTGTAGTCCGCCATTGCAGCTAACTCAGTTACAGTTGTGACGCTAAGATCACTTTATAATTTTGTTGCCATAGAAATAACCACTTATGATATTCTCAGGCCAGTGCCACAAACCTGCAGACATTCCGAAGAACTTCGCCAAATGTAGCCATGGCTGGTCTTGGGAGAACCAGGACACCACGCTCTACCTTGAAGGATGGCAGAGGGTGTTGTCTAACGTCACGCCCACCACCCCGCTCAACTACCCGTGGGGCTACAAGACCTTCACCAAGACTAACGGTATTCCCCACGTCGGCAAGGTGGGAGTCTACCCGGCCGGAGGCTACGTAGCGGATCTGATCGGGAGTGAGACACGTGTCAGGAAGATGGTTGACACCCTGAAGGAGAAAGAGTGGATTGACAAATACACACGGGTGGTGTTCGCGGAGTTCACGGTGTATAATCCGAATGTGAACATGTTCGCTATGATCATGGCGACGATGGAGGTCATGCCCGCCGGGTCGACTGCGGTGGAGGTGATAGTGAGGCCGTTCAGACTGTTCTCCTATTTGGGGGGCTACGGTGTAGTCGTGGCGGTATGTGAGGCGCTGACGTTGGTCTTCATCGTGTACTTCTTCATCAGAGAGTGTAAGATACTGAAAAAGCAGAAGTGGGGATATTTCCGACAGTTCTGGAATTTTCTGGAATTGTCAATCCTGCTACTATCTTTGACAACAGTAGCGATGTACGTTGGAAGACACCTCATGACGTCGTATGCCGTATCGAAAGTGACAAAACTAAGAGGTAACATTTATGTATCTTGGATGGGTGAGTGAGTAAATTGACGTATTAACAATTTTCCAGCTCAGCAGGAGTCACCACAAAAATGGGTTTCACATGTTAACGAGACCCGTGAACATCCGGGTTAGTATAGGTCTTCAAGAAGCTATGCTTGTCGTATGAGCCGACTAAGCTTGTCGTAAGAGGCGACTAACGGGATCGGGTGGTCACTCTCGCTGATTTGTTTGATGCATGTCTTCGCATCCCAATTGCGTAGATTGATGCTCATGATGTCAATCACTGGATTGTATGGTCCAGACTCGATTATTTACAGACCGCCGTCATATAGCTGGAATATTGCTAAGTGCGGCGTTAAACAACAACAAACTGGATATTGAGCCCGATCTTTAACTACACGCTTAAAGAGGGATTATATAAACAGTCTCGAGCCCGTTTGAGGTGTAGTTCTGGAAAACGTAATTAGTCATATGCATCAAGCTGAATCTTTGTCTCTGTATAATACGGGTCATCATGACCTGAGACAAATCGTGTCAAGTGACTTTGTATATGAATCATGCCTTGTTTCAACTGCTTCAAACTTGATATGACTACCAATAGTCACGTGTCAAGCCTTCTTTGAACCACTGTTCGTCTCTTGTTTGAGTGATGGAGAGCTAGGTTACACGCCGTTAGGAACAGTGTTTCAGTTAAATCATTGCATCTCCGCTTGAAGGAGGAGGATAGTCAACACTGAGACCCACGAGTACAGGTATGGAGGTGACAAGCAAAGAACCAATACAGGGACGACTCGAGGATTCGAACCTAATCTTTTCAGCTGAGGGACGCAACTGTGTACAACTTGCTTAGACCCCTTGCCTTTCAATACAGTCATTTTATGTTATCAGTATATCAGTAATTGAAGGAAACCCCTTGACCATACCTCGCTCCACATCCACGAAATAGCTGCTATACATCCTGAATCTTAATCCCATTCTTTCTCTCGTTCCAGACCACTTCTACAACTTCCAGCGTCTGGCAATGTGGAACGAACTGTTCACGTTTCTGTTAGCCTGGGTCATATTCGCCTCCATCCTCAAAGTCATCCACATGCTCCGCTTCAACAAGAAGATGTCCATGTTGGCTGGGACGCTGAAGAAGGCGGCCCAGGAGCTGTCAGCGTTCTCCGTCGTCTTTGTCTGCTTCATCATCGCCTTCATGTCCCTTGGGTTCCTCACGTTCGGTGCCAACGTTCAAGGCTACAGCACTGTGTTGGTATCCCTGGAGACTCTGTTGTCCTTCGCTCTGGGACACTACCAGTTCGAGGAGCTCTCCATGGCCAACAGGACACTTGGGCCAGTCTTCTTCTTCGCCTACATCATGTTCGTGGTTCTGTTGATGCTGAACATGTTCGTCACTATATTGAACGATTCCTTTAGTGTAGTGAGAAGCAAGGTCAATAGTGAGAAGAATGAGTATGAAATCATGGCCTTCATGTGGGGGTACTTCCGGTCGTGGATTAACCTCACTGGCCTTGTCCCGAAAGCAAAGGGAAAGTACTCTGGTGGGTAATATACTTGTCTATTCACATGTAAACCTTTTCTTTTAAACCATGTTGTCAGTTTCCATTTTTGGTATTCTCTGCCTCATATTGATTGAGTACTCACTTTTCAGAAATGCGATAGTGTCTACTTGCGGTTTTTAATCATATACTTGAAGCTGATTGGTTATCATGTCTTTATCATAAATAACTGTAACTTGTGTAAATCAGTATATATCGATCTGTGATACATATATAATATTTTATAATGCATCATGTGTAATAGTAATTAATACATCGTCACATTTGAGAAAAGACACCGAATTCTTTACCCCAATGAAGTTCTTTCGAGCGGTGGTGAAGAAAAGTAAAAGTATTCGCTCGTTACACCGAAGTCCCGAGTTCGAATATCCACGTGGGTACCATGTGTGGAGCCCTTTTCTGTCCCATTCAATGACATTGCTGGACGATTGCTAAAACATTCGTAAAAACACCCACACTGTTAACCTTTCATGATCGAATAAAACACAAACCGATTTAACAGTAGCAATATTGTTATAAAATATTCCAGACAATGAAGACTCGCAGGACGATGAGCAAATGCAGGATAACAAACCCAAGACACTTCAGACAGCTATGACGTCAGTTCACCAGAAACTGGACAACTTAGAGCGACGGCTGGACGAAATGTCGGGGCGCCAACCACCGAGAAAGCTGCAGTTCATGACCACCCGACAGGACATCGACTATCTGGATATGGACCTGGACGAGTTCGCCAGAGTGTTCCCCCAACTTACCAGGCTAAAATAACCCTGTGTCTAAAACCTTCAGGATGCTTCCTCTGCAACACAAGACAGACAATGATGTGATTATTGACTATTTGTTTCTTCATATTCAGTCTATGGTTGTCAAGTTGAAAATTACCACGTCATTGCATAGCAATTAATGTGCAGGATGTGTATTACAAACTGAGAGGTCAAAGTATACATCTCTTTATTGGTGAAAGGAAGAGACATACCGCATTCTTTGTACATGTATGTATGAAGTTAACAGTGGTGTATTCATTTACTTTTGTTTCCTATGAGGAACGTTATGATTCCGTACAATTAAAAGCGGCATGAAACTATACTCACTACTATTAACCTCAAAGGAAGGAATGTCTTGATTGATTTTGGTTATCAAACAGAATTAGTATTCTGTTTTAAAAAGCGAGTGTTTGTCTTGCAAAAACTGTAATTGATGATAGTCATTGATAATCACATAATAACACGTATTTTAAACCAACCAACAAGCCTATTCAATAACTCCCACGTCAAATCATTGTATTTCTAATAGACCTTCTGCTGTGTAAAAATAGTTTACATCAATTACACGCCTGTAGCATCACATTGTTGATATTATATAGTCTCTATGTGAATTATTGTTTTCATGTTAAATATACATAATGCATGTATTCTTCACAATGTGTGGTGATTTGTGAAGTAATTGTTCCAAGTTCGATTGCTAGTGCCAGAATGCCCACAGTAAATCCGTCCAATTGTAGTTTGTTGTGGTTAGGCTGGGTAAATAGTATTTTTGCACCGGCTCTCTTGTATAAACGACTATCTGTTGTTTAACAGTGTTTGGTAATGAGAAAATTTACAAAACATACTACGTTTTACTGTTAACTATAATTTATAATGTTATAAAATTGGTATATTCAAACAATGTGATGTGTATTTACAAAGTTATGATAATATTGTTAAACCTGTTACATAGTGTACAGATTACATGAAAACCGACAATTGTACAGATTACAGTTAAACCCATTGCTGAACAAATTACAATGAAACCTATGATTTGACATATTACAATAAAACCTGCAATTGTACAGATTACAAGAAAACCTACAATTGTTACAGATTACAATAAACCCTACAGCTGTACAGATTACAGTTAAACCCATTGCTGAAGAAACCTATGATTAGACATATTACAATAAAACCTGCAATTGTACAGATTACAAGAAAACCTATGGTTTTACATATTACAATACATACTGTAACTGTATAGATTACAATAAAAACTATAGATACACCAAACGACCACCCCTCTGTTTTGGGGTTCTATAGCAAACTGATGGCCGGTGTCGTGTTGTAACTTGGTTGTGTGCTCACCGGCCCAAAGGGCAAGTGTCATATCCTGTTCGTCCGTCGACCGTCGTGCGGCGCGTGCCATCTGCTTCTCCGAAACCACTGCATCTACTTAGCTGAAACTCGGCACACACAATCCCATCATTGATGACGCACATCACCGGGAATTTTGTATCCGATATTGAAGAGTTTCTCCATGGCCATTACCCAGCAATGAAGTATTCATGTATACGTAGTTGGTGGTTGAGTTCGGCATATATGTTCATTATTTCGAGATATTATAAATTGATCTGCTCTAATTCTCTCATAGAGGAGGAAAGGTCGGTAGTTCCATCTCCATGGCTGCGTCATGCTAAAAGACGTAAAAAGATTGTTGGTTGATTGACACCATGAGCATCCATTTACGCAATTCACATGCATCGATCAAATCAGCGAGCCTGACCAGACGATCCCGTTAGTCGCCTCTTACAAGCAAAGTCGGCTTTTACGGCAAACATGGGTTGCTAAAGACCTACTCTCACGGGTCCCGGAATTTGTTCAAGAGGTTCGAGTTTTATTGCCAATATGGATTTTCTGGTCCATACCCCCGTCATATAACTTGAATATTGTGCGGAGTCAAGCAACAAACAAACAAAAATTTGAATTCAAACTGACACCGTGATGCAGGTGATGCAGTGATGCAGGTGAGACCGTTACCACTTTGGTGAAACCCACGAGCATGGTGCTGATCAACCCGGGGTACTGAATCAGGGGACCCGTGAACATCCGGGGTAGAATAAGTCTTCAGCAACCTATTCTTGCCGTAAAAGGCGACTATGCTTGTAAGAGGCGAGTAACGGGATTGGGTGGTCAAGTTCGCTAACTTGGTTGATGCATGTCCTCGTGTCCCAATTGCGTTGATCGATGCCCATGATATATCAATCACTGGATTATCTGGCCCAGACTTGATTATTTACACACCGCCGTCATATAGCTGGAATAACAAAACTTTATCAGGGTGTCCCTTCCACAAAATGATCATATATGATGTCGCTGAACTAATGTTAAGGTGCCGTTAAATCCAACTTACTCACTGTGTGTGCCGATTGCTGCATTCATCACTGTGTTGTGCAGACGGGAGATAGCGGTGTTGTTTTCTTGATTACATTCTGGCAAAGGTAGTCTCGATTCCAACCACAACTGAACGTCACATAATGTAAATGAAAGATTGATGCGTGTCCGGTCTTTCAGTACTAAGCTATTTCAAATTATAAGTTCCACGGACTGTGATTCTAAGTTTTTTATTTCAACAAGTGAATAAAATATATTAATGGAATAAACAAGAAAAGCGTGGTATAGCACATTTATTATATAACAATTCTCTATAATAGATATAAATTAGTTGAGTATTTGTTTTTACATGAAAACGATTTATATACATTTCAACACATTTCTGACTCCAAATGGTTTGTCAAAAGATTCTTTCAAAGACTACCTGGTCAGGTAGCTGTACATCTTGGACGGAATATGATAAGAAGTGTTGGTTTTTTTCACAGACAATATTTGTCACAATTATAACATCAATACTTCAGAGTAATGCTTTCATGTAAAACACCGTTTGGGCACCGTTGTATCGAATCCAGTTTGATGGAAAGCGCATGATATTGGGCTTGTCTGATAATCTGGCTAGATTGGTTCATTTTACAAGCCAGATTGATTCTTGAAGCATTTTCTGGATTCGGGACAGCAAACCACACTAACAGCACATACATTTATCACAGTCTATACGCTATCACAATTCCCGTAGGGTATACAGGTCGTCCTAAAGAGCGATGAATGTGCATTACAACACAGGGATGCTAACAAAATCGTAAGTTTTAGTATTAAAAACACATTTAACGAAAACCGTACTTTCTGTATAAAAACACTTTGTAAAGAAACATTTTAACAGTTGATACATCTATTTCAAAATAATTTTCGATTGGCCGTTGGAAGATAAAAAATACCAAAGACAATTTACATGAGACAAAATGCTCTGTCAGTTTAGATACCTCATTTTAAGTGTATTATTTCAATAAAGTTTATATCAACTGCCTTTAAAAGCTCCTGTACATGAAATATATATTAACATCTCATTTTTTGAATTATCAAAGTAAATTTGTAATATCAGTTAAAAATAATTGGAACAACAGAGTGTATCAACCTAAATAATAATTATATGACTTTCAACTTTAAAGGGTCAGTCTATTGGTAATCAGATCACAATGTCCATTTCGGCGATATATGATTGTTCTCTACAAATAACCGCGCACATAGAAAGACTTGTAGTCTAGGACACACAACTACGTGGTGTGTTACAACCAGATTCGAACTCCTGGGTCGTAGTTGTTTACAAGAGGCTCGGGGGAAGATGCAGGACTCACTGTTTCCAGAAAATGCAAACTGATTAGACTTTCATATGGCTTTAAGTGCAAGCGCATCTATTGTTTAAATGTACAATTTCATGATACCAAGTTTATGAAATATTCAGTGGTATTGCTTTTGATAAAAAATATGGATCATGTTTTGCATTGAGCCCCTTGATAGGTGCAAGAGGACTAAGTAAACCCAAGCAGGCCTTTGAGTCTCTTCCACATGAAGTCTACGATCTCGTGTTCGTTGGACTGTAGGGCTACGTTCGCCTTGACTTGAGTAAAAGCGTCGCCGATGATGGTGAGGAAGATGCTCATGAGGCCGATGTAAATGACGCCGATGAAGCTGAAGAAGAAGATTGGCCCAAGGAACTTCTGAGCATCTGACATCGCATCAAAGTCAAAGCTGCCGAGTGCGAACGCGAACATAGACTCCGCCGCCCCGATGATGCTGTTGTAGGTCACCATTGCCTGGCCGAACAGCAGGTAGGCTGTAGCCGTGAAGGCGAAGAAGTACAGGAGGAAAGCGACGGAGAACACCTTGAGGTCTTTCGTGGCCAGTTTGACTGTGTCCCCTAGCATGCTCATGCGCTGGTTGAACTGCAGCAGCTTCATGAACTGGATGGTGGCCATGAACACAACGACGGCCATGACGTAGCCGTACGTCTCATCGTACAACGACACCGACTGGAAGTTCACGAAGCCGTCTAGGAAGAAAACAGATTATAAAACAATGTTTTTCTTATTTTAATAACATTGAACAGATGAAGAAAGATGACTTTGCCTATAAGTAACAATTTAGATGAAGGCTAGAACAGATCACATCAGAGCATAGCAGGAATAAATCTCTTCTAATGCGGGGAAAATTTTAGCCTTTTGGGCATTCGAACAAGGCCACTGAGTATGTACGCGTACCAACTTCTTTGAGGTGAGGTGAGGTGAAATTGGGTTTAACGTCGCGTCCAAGATTATTGCACTTATATAGCGACGTGAATGCACGTGTATGTGTGTGTGTGGCTGCTTGTACTAGTCCGGACTGATGCCGATTTATAGTGCTAGCTCACTGAGATACCATGCCGCAGTTTAACATGAATACCCCACTCAGACACAGTATACTGACTCCGAGCCGACCAGTCCTTGTTTTAGCCCCTTAATGCCGAGCGCCAGACAGGGTAACAACAAGTACAATCTTTTAACGTCTTTTGTATGACGCGGCCCGGGATCGAACCCTGGACCTTCCGCTCTCCGGGCGGACGCTCTACCACAAGACCACGGAGGCGGTCCCAACTTCTTTGAGGCCATTGGGAATGTTCCGTAGTAATTTCTATGACAAAATACCACTATTCTAAAATGTATTCTGAATGTTCTTCATTAAATAGAAGAACTGAAGAACAAGGTCGAAAGCGTACTTATAATTATAGATAATTTGAAAACAGTTCTGTTATACACATTTTTGACATATAAAGAACGTTCGCTGTACGCATATTTTGTGGCTATTGAGAAATAATCTTACCCGACGCTCTGTCATGTAGCGAGTGCATTGCGATCTCTGTGAGGATGTGCTTGAAGGCATACATGACGATGCAAGCGACGGCGAAGCACAGCAGGACGAACTCAAGGATCATCCAGAAGTTCTTGAAGTACTTGAGTCTCTGCTTCTTTACTTGACTGACACAGCGGATGAAGAAAAACAACGTGAAGCAACCATAGATTATTTCAAACAGGAGCACCACCAGTCCCCATCCACCGACATAGCTCAACAGGCGGAATATCTGGAGAAGAAGAGGAAGAGACATAGCTCAACAGGTGGAATATCTGGAGAAGAAGAGGAAGAGACATAGCTCAACAGGCGGAATATCTGGAGAAGAAGAGGAAGAGACATAGCTCAACGGGCGGAATATCTGGAGAAGAAGAGGAAGAGACATAGCTCAACAGGCGGAATATCTGGAGAAGAAGAGGAAGAGACATAGCTCAACAGGCGGAATATCTGGAGAAGAAGAGGAAAAGACATAGCTCAACAGGCGGAATATCTGGAGAAGAAGAGGAAGAGACATAGCTCAACAGGTGCAATATCTGGAGAAGAAGAGGAAGAGACATAGCTCAACATGCGGAATATCTGGAGAAGAAGAGGAAGAGACATAGCTCAACAGGCGGAATATCTGGAGAAGAAGAGGAAGAGACATAGCTCAACAGGCGGAATATCTGGAGAAGAAGAGGAAGAGACATAGCTCAACAGGCGGAATATCTGGAGAAGAAGAGGAAAAGACATAGCTCAACAGGTGCAATATCTGGAGAAGAAGAGGAAGAAACATAGCTCAACAGGCGGAATATCTGGAGAAGAAGAGGAAGAGACATAGCTCAACAGGTGCAATATCTGGAGAAGAAGAGGAAGAGACATAGCTCAACAGGCGGAATATCTGGAGAAGAAGAGGAAGAGACATAGCTCAACAGGCGGAATATCTGGAGAAGAAGAAGGTACTTGCAATTGTGAGCATCCTCACCTGCTCCCAGCCACCGACATACCTCAACAAGTGGGGAATACAAAGACAAAGAGTAATTGGAGAGTCAGAGAGAAAGAAAAAATAGGATGCCAAAGAAAATGGCATGATGAGTTAAAAATAACGAAAGAGGTCAAAGTATTATAAAAAAGATAGTTGATATATTGTAATACTGCATGATTATAAGAGTGAGTGGGTCGGGTTTGAATCCTAGCATTGTGGCCAATAGTATGAGCATGGCTACTCGGCATGGGGGTACGTTGAGAGACAATATCGACCATTTCTGTGATAAACCATTGCGTTTCCATTTCAGTCGCCCTTGTCAACAAGATTGTTTGTTTGTTTGTCGTTCAACGCCGCACACAGCAATATTCCAGCTATATGACGGCGATCTGTAAATAATCGAGTCTGGACCAGACAATCCAGTGATTGACATCATGAGCATCGATCCACGCAATTGGGACACGATGACATGCATCAACCAAGTCAGCGAGCTTGACCGCCTGATCCCTTTAGTTGCCTCTTACGACAAGTATAGTCGCCTGTTACGGCAAGCAAGGGTTGCTGAAGACCTATTCTACCCCGGATGTTCACGGGTCCCAACAAGAATGAATCATGTGGAATGGGTCAATGACACAACTACTATGTACACTTGCAATGTCAGATGATGCATCAGTTTGATGATTGTGAATGTTACACTGCAGTTCTCGTCATTGACTTAATTACCTCGTTTTCAATCCTTTTTATGATTTTATATTATAAGAATAATAAGAATAAGAATTATAATAATAATAATCCATTTGTATTGCGCTTTTGAGGAGTTGAGGAGTTGACAAGATTAACGGTCATATCACCATGTTCTCCTACCGGGTACCCATGCACTGCCGTGTGAACAGAGGCATATTTCCAACAAAGTCACCTCTACCTCCTGTTACCATGACATCAGTTGTACACCCACCTTCACTTCAACTCTCGCCACGGCAGAACCAGTCGCCATATACTCGATCACAAAGACAGCGGATGCGAACAGGTTCACGTTAGGATTGTACAGGGTGAACTCCATGAACACAGCACGAGTCCTCAGATCCAGCCAATCGTTGTCCTGCAGGTTTGCAACAATCTGCTTCGTCCTGCAGGCCTGTCGCGCCAACAGGGCCACATAACCACCTCCTTTGTACGTGGCAATCGTGGCCACGTAAGGGGCATTGGCAAGTTTGACAGAGCTCTGGTAAACCCAGGGCGTCTTCCACTTCTTGCTGTCTGTTTTGTTCTCTTCCGGAATAATGTCCCATTCTGGAAGATAGGGCTTGGTGTCATCGTCCGTCCAGCCATATTCGTCTCGACAGTGGTCAATGATGGTCTGCATTCGGGGCTGCACTGTACAAGTATCTGAGGACGACAAACGATGCAAGGTTAGCGAGTGATGCGCAGCAGATTTAGGCCTCTCTTGTTTGTGATTTTCTAATTAAGAAAAAGTCAAACGTTTTTCACATGTTATAGGGTTACTAAGTGTTCTCTTCATTAACTTACCTACTTTAAAGATAATAATAAAATGAAATTGCTTTTCTTTCAATCCAGTGATTGACATCATGAACATCGATCCACACCATTGGGATATGATGACATGCATCAACCAAGTCAGCGAGCCTGACCCCCGATCCTGTTAGTCGCCTCTTACGACAAGCATAGTCGCCTCTAACGACAAGCATTGTTTACTGGAGACCTATTCTAACCCGGATCTTCACGAGTAACGTAAGTAAAGAAAACGCATACTGTGGTAGTGACATGTAGTTTTAAAAAAACCAGGATCCAATGAATACCGACTATATTAGGAGAATCTTTCTTAAACATATTTGGCTGTAAAATAACCGATGTCAAAGCTCAAAATTTCCTCACAAAAAAATTAAATACGTCTCAACCTGGAGATATGTCAGTTTGCAACTGCATGCCAAACAATTGTCTCCCCTTACCTTCCTTGACCCTCATCTGCCTGAGCCTGGCCACGCCAACTCTGCGTGTCTGATGGTCATTTATACACGCCCTGTCCTGCCAGTCGGTGATCTCAGAGTCGTTGGCGTAGTGGGTGGCGTACATCGCGGGGATGAAGGTTTGGTTCAACCAGTTCCAGTAGTCGGGTATTGTGGAGATCTAAAACACGTTGGACGTTACCGAGACTGGTATCTACACCTTGATGTTACTCAACAAAGCAGGCTATCCTGAGTGCAGTGGATTATGGGTCTCGTCCCCAGTTACAACTTGTCTGGTTTAGGTAGTCGGGTGGACTCGCATTGATGATGCGTTGAGGAATGTAGCCTTTACTGAGTGCAAGTGAGCACTGTGTTATCCAGGCTATCTGAAAGCAGCACACATGCAGACACGCAGCCACCATATGCTAGTGGAACGAACTCTCTTTCTGCATTATCATATATAGTGTATAGTGCGTGCTTCCATCGGTCGTGCAAACATTAGGCCGCTTTGTGGTGTAGTCCCTTTGTCTAACCAATGAAACAAGAAACGCCAAGTTCGAGCGTGAGGAAAACCAACGAATGATCTGACCAATGAGCACTCAGATTACATCGGCAATAGTTCCCGCGCAACACGTGTCTTACGGCCTCTACTCTAAACCTTCCTTCAATGTAAAGCAACGATATGGTTCGCATAAAATTAATGCACGGAGTAGGGGTCATGTGACTTCCGTGAGTAATATAACGCCCCATTCCATTACCTGATTGGTCACTATTACACCCTAACGCGGCCATACGTATGCACGGTTTATGGAGGAATGCAGTGCCTACAAACCCGTGAAGTACTGACCGTGCATGAGTTTACTAAGGGCATGTACCCTTGGGCCACTGGCAGTACATTTAAACGATTATAAGGTGTGGATATACAGCTGAAGTCTGTAAATGATGTGGCAGTTGCAGTACCATATTAAAAATCGTCAACACCAAAGAGTCTCGGTTATTCTCCGAAACAGATTCCATTGGGCGCAAACGGCAAACAAGCGGTGAATATTATATACATGGATCACTGAAAATCAGTGATGAAACCAGGTATTCGAGAAAAGGGTACGCATGTCCTGCCCTACCGGTAGCACCCGCCACTAACACAAGCTGCACACAGAGGTAAGAGTCTGTTTGTTGTCTGGCGCCGCACAGCTGTTCTCCTGGTCATGGACCAGACAATCCTTTTTGATTTTGTTGATACGTTAATTTTAAATTACGTCTGCTGTGTACATGTAATGTCCTCAGTGTCTGATCACGATCATGATTAGAACGGGACAGGCATCTTACAGTAGTGAGTAAGGGGACTGATATACTGCCTCACGAAACCATAGTGGTGTGTAGGCTTAACTGACAGATACAGTGTGAGGACCAATGGTACACACATATAGATACACATCTTCCCGAGGCAATGGAGTCAACTGACCATTAAAGTCCAGATTCCACCCTTGCCGAGCTAGGCTGGAATTATGGAGTTATACTTTTGCTGGACTAACGCGTCTATGCATAGTCCAATCAAAATCGCGTAATGAAATCAACATCCGGTTCGTAAACCGCCGTGCAGATTTCGGTCGATTGCAGGATTTGCCCACCATGTGTACCGTCAACTTAGCGTCAACAGATATTTTCCAAATCTTTTCTTGAAAATAATCTAGGTGCTCAAGTGATTTAATATACTTCGGGAAGTAAGACCCGTTTTATTACAATATAGATCTTGATTATCGATCAGATCGTCTTGACTAGGCGCCGCCATTTTGTTTGAAGCAAATGCAAGTGATATGAGTGGTGGAATCGACACGACCCATCATAGCCACTTGTGGTGCTACGATCGAACCCAGAAATTCCGACCTAGTTCGGCAAGGGTGGAAACTGGACTTATACAGTCAGCTAACTCCCTTGCCTCGGGAAGATGATAGATACAAAGATGATATATTGATCAAAAGAATACCATTCCTTGTGAAGTGTCTTGTGTATGTATACATACTTAGACTATTCCGGAAAGCGGGGTTTTCGTACTAAGGGGTTTTCAACATAATACCTGTCCAGTGCTAATAATTGTGTCGGCTCAGTGCGTACTAGGTCCAGGACGTACATACATGTATAACCGGTTGGATGACCACCATGCTATTTCGTCATCATGTTTAACTATTTTAGATTTGTTTACGGTCTCGAAATATGCCAAATACAAGTATAAAGCTAAATGCAAACACTCTCTTATAGTCACCTATCTTAATGTCCCAGTTAGTTATACAAAATTTGCTTATCAATGTATTTCGTTCACTTAAGAGCATGTAACGAATATTGGATTTGCAGTCAAAATGACTGATTGTTGACAGGCCTACGCTGATTCACGATATGAGAAACATCTTCTGGGGATCTATTCTCATTTTTTGAAGTAGGCCAATTGCCCTGTTGGGATTAAATAATGTTTAGCATGGTAAAAGAAACCTTTGGGATTTGTTTTCAGAAATGAACAGAACTATTTCTGATATATAAGGCACTTCAGTAAATGATGGACACATACTTTTTCAAACTTGCCGACGAATCTGTTCTTGACGTTTTGACCGAAGCCGAAGCTGTCCGAGTCCCTCTGTTGGTAGGAGAGGAAGAAGATGACGAGGACGAAGAAGGTGTAGATGATGATCTCCTTCAGGACGGCTTCCATCTTGATCTCCTTCAGTCTCAGATCTCTGACCTCATCGAGATCCTTGGTGTCGGGTGGGGCATATTCGCTGTTGGCCATTTTCCGTTGAAGGAGGATGGCTGTAGAAAAGGTTTCAACTTTAGAAATACAGTGATGCATTGTTAAGCCGAAGTTCCTGGGACCATTCATTCCATGTTGCGTTCCTGCAGTTCGAGATAACCACAGTGCCGATATTCTGCCAAGAAGTTACACCGACCCCAATGATAGTTTGTGAGTGAATTTTTTGGCTTCTCGCTGCTTTGGATGGTACTTTAGTACTGTCAGCGTGATGTTGGAGGAAATATCCGAAGTGATGCAAGAACGTTTACCACCTTGGTGAAACCCATTAGGTGTGGTGCTACCACATCTAGAAACACAATCACTTCGATTCTGGGATTCGAACCCGCAATCACAGGTTTCAGGTACTACTGAGGGACGTTTCTTTGCGCAGCGAACTGATGGGCCTTATGAAGTGGCCATAGATTGTTATAAACACCTAACAATATTTTAGCCTATTTGATGGAGTAACGGGCTTTTTAGGCCTGATGAGATCTGATTATGTCATGCTACGATCTACAGCGGGTTTGATTTAGATTGTTTTGAAAACAAACATCCACTCTATGAATAAGTAAACAAAGAAACAATCAATGAAAGTTAAATCACATGTCATAGAATATTACATGAAACACAAACCAGACACTGTGGCAGGGTCCTGCTTCTTGGACAAGAGCTCCTCGTCTGGGGCCAGCACGTTGTCGATGTTCTCGTTGAGGTCCTCCTCGTCTAGCTCCGGCTTCTTGAGTATACAGGCGATGAAGGCCACGATGAGCAGCACCTGGTGGAACACACACGGTCATCAAGATCTGGCAATCGATGATCTGGGAACATTATTGGTCGTATAGTTTTAGTCCAATGAGAAGTTTCATGGCCCACATGGATACAATGTGTGAAGCCCATTTCTGGATTCCTGCGCCTTGATATTGCTGGAATTGCTAAACGTGGCGGAAAAGCATACTCACTCACATTCTTGAACTGTATATCAATTGCTGAAATGATGTTAGACTCTGAGAGAGACATAGACAAATCATTTCCACACTTTGATAGCGCTTGAAGACATGCAACGACTCACTCCACCCCCTCTTCTCGGAATAGCAAATGTTCTGCGTGAATGTCAGATATCCGGAGTGCAAGGTGTGATCAAAGACTACCATTGTCAACCACAGCACCATTAACAGAAGGGACTACGGATCTCACTACTGTCTGATCTTACCTTCACTGGCTGCACGATAATGACTGACTGGAAGAAGGAGAGGACGAAGGCGATGAGCCACTCGTTGGATTTCTCCTTGCCCCACTCCATACTGTACAAGATGGTGAAGAATGCCGACCCTACGACGCTCAGGAAACAAACTGGAAAAAAGAAATTACTGTATTTGAACAAACAAACTTAGAATGTCATCAACCTGGGAACGGTATATGTAACCAAATCTTGGAAATACATTTTAAACCAAAAACACACACATGGATAGACATATTTATTTGAATTGTTTTTTGAGTTAGTAAGGGAGTTGGGTTTTCAAGCCGCTTTTAATAATATTCTAGTAATGTCAGCTTAATTAGGGAGGAAAGCAGTGTATGTCTCAGACGTTTACCACTTTGGTGAAACCCACGAGCACGGGTATGGTGCGACAAACCTAGAAACATAACAGGGGCGAACCGGGATTCGATCATAGGGTTCTGACCTCAGCACAGCAAATTGTGGGGCTTTAGACGACTGGGCCACCCGTGCACCCGAAATGTTTTATGTCAATGTTCAGGGAAGAAGCACATTGTTTGGAAAACTTCTACGAACTGCATCACTTTAGGCTTTCCTACATCAAACTGACACGCTGTGAAATATTGAAAAACTTTCAAAGTGGCGGTAAACTCACTCACTGGGGACTTGGACACAGAAACATGTCTACTCACCAACCCATGCGATATAAGTACACCAGTGAGGGAGACTCCACGGCTTCTTCTTCCTCTTCGTCTTCTTCTCCAACCTGATTTCTTCGTGCCCAACTCCATCCTCATCCATATCATACTTGTTCTTTTGATGGAAACTCAGGATGCCGGCCATGCTTTCTTTGAACTTCTGCATCTTGGTTTTCTGAGTCTTGGATCCAAACATTCCAGCTGAATTGTGAATGTTCTTCCAGCGATACTTCTGGCCTCGTTTTGGTTCTTGTTGGTTCTTCTGCATGATGGCGTTCTTCTTGGGCCTGCATCTTCTGAAGAATGTCACCATGATGAAACTGGCTGGGAACACGATGAAGGTGCTGATGATGCTGACAAAAATGGATTGTAACGTTATTGAGATGGGTCCAATCTGGATAGCGGTGACGTTTTCTTGCTTCCCTTCGGTCTTGAAGAACATGCAGTTTGATATCATGGTGAGGAAGAGCAGTGACACGCAGCACGAGATTCTCTGGACGCGGGTAAAGTTACTTCTCGTTGGGCGGGAGAACACCGACACCCACAGGTGTTCATTGGTCAGTTTCTTCCGAGCGGATGACGAGAAGAGGTGCTTGAAGGCCACCAGATCGTTGAGTCCAGCCACAGGAAGGATTCTGTCAACCATCCCGTCGTCTTCTTCCACAGCCAGCCATCGATCACACAGGAAAAACGATCTATAAAGATATAAAATTTAACATTTACTACTTGAATTGAGTGAGTGAGTTGGGTTTAACGGCGCTTTTAACAGTATTAAAGTTATATCACGGCGGGTCAGCGTGAAAGCCCGAGGTGATGCAGGTCACAGACGTTTACCACTTCGGTGAAACCCATGTGCACGGGTATGGTACTGACAAACCTAGAAACATAATCGGGGCGAAACGGGATTCGAACCCACAATCATGGATTTCTGGAGTGCCCAAGGGACGCAACTCTGCACAGCGAATCGCGGCGCCTTAGACGACTGGGCCAACCGTGTCCCCTAACTACTTGAATACATTAACCGTTAAACTAATGTTAATGTGATTTTGTCTTTTGTGTTTAATATTGCCTATTTGAACATTCCGGTAAATGCAGACAATTTTTTTTTTTAGTTGAGTTATATTTCCATATTTTAGATAGCTACGCGATAAATCGCAAAGAACAATGAAAAATGAAGTGTGATTTATTTCAGGATAAAACTTTGTTCTATGATGACGTCATTCGTGAATATTCGAACATGCACGCGCAACTTGATGATGTCGTAAATTGGACGACGTTATTGTTTAGAGCGAAGTGTCTGGTGAGTTGTTCCCCCATAGATATAGCTGGGCAACGTGGATAAACGCAAAGGCCGAATGACCGCATCCAAAAGTTGGAGAGATAATCGGTATTGGGAGAAAGGGTAGAGATAATCGACGTGCAAATTGTGAGAATATGTGGGAAATACCAAATTTAACCCCCTTTTTCTAAAATTGACTTCTATAATATTTAAATACGTGTCAATATTGTGAAAGCTTGTACATTATATTAACACCCTTAAAGAGAGTGTACATAATAATGATAGGCCCCTCATGGTTTATTCTCTCTGCAGTGTTTTATTGTACGACAAACAACTCCCATCCGTCGTTTATTTCTTAAATAACTAGTTTATTTCCATATCACTCCAACATTTATGTTGGGATAATCACAGTATGGAATTAGCATTAGAATGTTCTTAAGTAACTCGACGTCAGGCAGCAACCTTGTTAGAAGTTTCAAAACCAATTTCAATTTGAGAGAAATAACATACCAAATAAGGAACAATATTTGTGTATGAAGTACTGACTTTTCACCAGTCTGCAGGTCCGTGATTTGCACCTGGTCCAGGTACCAGCTCTGCTGCTTGCCCTTCCCGCTGTTGTCATGCCAGATCCTCATGAAGGCCAAGGACCCCAGGGAGCTCTCCACACTCATCACATAGTTCATGATGGATCCGCGGCCCATGTGCTGAAGATGCAGCAAATCAACGTCATCTTCGCATTTCGGGGTCATATCTTCAGAATCGTATTTGATCGTATGTGTGTATTGACGCATGGTATAATGTTCGCACTTGCTGTGTGTATATGGTTTTGCATATGCGTCTGAGGCCTTCATGCAAATCATCTTCTAACTTCTAACTTCCTAAGACAAAAGTATGTTCGATATCAGCAAGAAGATACCAGCTATTTTTCTTGATAATATTTTTATCACGCAGTAACAATTCGTGTCGTTGTATGTAAGGGCGTGGCTAAGGTTTTGTCAGGGACAGAATATCAGTGTGGTCAGTGCTTCAAGACATATTTTCTATGGGAGGAGGTGCTGAACATTTTTCATTTTCACAACAAAACTTTTTATTGTTTTGAAACGTGAATCAATTTCTTTTCCAGTATGGTCGGTCATAAAACAGGATATAGTCCACCACCTTCACAAGTACAGAGAAATAGCATCAAATATCAAATTTATTAGTGTATGAATGAATCCCCACCTTCCGCTTGCCGTCGTCCAGTCGTCTTACGCCGGTGTCACTGTCGTCGCCCGAGAGGATGATGCTGATCTTGGAGTCGGTGCCGGCGTTCTTCCTCATGCCGGTCTGTATCGACACTTGGTAGTGATAGTTGTCGGTTGGGAGGTTGTCAACCAATGGCGTCGCCCCCCACTAAAAGCAACCATTGTTATGGTGTTATTCGAGGGTGTTTTGCTCTTGGCGTTGTTGGTGTGAATGAGTGAGTTGGGTTTAACGCCATTTTGAACAGAATTTCAGTTCGCGGCATGTCAGCTATGTTTCGTAAAAAGTGACAAAGGTCCTACAAGAACTGCCAGAATGAAGATGTGGAAAGAACATGGATCCTAATCAGCGCGAATCTGGAATTCGAAGCAACGACCCTGGCACTAAGGGAGGCAACACTTCACTGCGAATTGCGCCGCCTTAGACCCCTGCGCTCCCATTGCCCTTCGTCGAATTGGAAGACCAGAGGGAGTGACAGAAGTCAAACCTTAGTTTATATTATACATTTATGATATGATAACGCGTGTCATATTTTGGAAGCCATTACGTTAATACCAACCACCGTATCAGAAGATAACTCTACAGAGCCGTTGGTAACTCCATTTAATTTTAAGAGAGATTTGACATTCTTCAGAGCCAAACAACGGACAATTGAACATCATCTGCCGGTCTGAGGTGTAAATAGAAAATAAAAAGAAACATTGGTGTTTTATGGTATCATGTTGGATGAAGTGAATGAGTGAATTGAGTTTAACGCCGCATTGAATAGTATTTCATTTATATGAGGGTGTGTTAGCTTGATGTGGCAGGAATTCTCTGTGCAGATATGCGTCATCATGGCATACAAGAAGCCTATTACCGTGGGATCGAAACCCTGATTGGTCCTGATTATAGGTTTGTCAGCACCAAACCCTTGTTACTGGTTTCACAAAGGATGTGAACGTCATACATCACTTCGGGCTTTCCATACACATCAAGATGGCATTGCTGTGCATTACTGTTCAAAGCGGCATTAGTCGAAACTCACTCACTTTAACTCATCTTGGTTACCTTCATGATGTCTTTCTTGTCCATGTACCGGGCCCAGATGAGGCCGATGACGTAAATGCCAAGGATGGAGATGACGGTGGAGAAGACGGCGGCGTTCTCGTTGAGGTTGGCAAACTTGGCCCACACATTGGTGAAGTCGATTGTGTTCGGGGCGACAACGAAGTCGGAGCCGAAAGACGTCAAATGTGTACAGAGGCATTGAGTACGGTACTTGGTCGTGAGTGGGCCAACCTGGATTAACATCAACAAGAAACAACGAGTTAAATGTACATTGTAATAAACGTAAATCGAACTTATATATATTGAAACATCGTTAAAATATGCTACATATATACATGTGTAAAATGACTGAAATTTTCAGTTTGGCAATTTACAAAACGCCAAAATAATTCAGTCATTTTACAATTATTTTTTCTGTCAGATGGCTAAAAGTTATTAAGAAATTCAAAAGTGCTTAAAAACATCACAATAACTAATTATGATACGATTAAAAGCCCAAAATTAATAGATAGATAGATAGAGTTTCGGAAAGCGACTGTTTGACATAGAGAGTATGAGGTAAGTACCGTGCAACCTTCTGAAGACCATGCTTCTTCTTCAGTGTCCCAGAAGCGACACCCGGACACCAGGTTCATCATCTTGTACGTGTTATTGGTGGTGTCCTCCGAGATAGACACCGTCCCACCTGGGGAAAAGCAAGTGCGGAACGAAATATTTAAATATTGTATTGTGAGTGAGTTGGGTCATAGTAATCAGAAACGTATTTCAGCATTACGTCTGTTTTAAGAATATTTCAGTCATATTACTGATGTGAAAGGAAACCCCCAAATGATGCAGATTATAGACATTTTGCCACGGTATGGTGCTTACAGACTGAGGACCATAATCACGTCGAACCCACGACCATCGGATCCTGGTACGGCTATGGGACGCAACTCTTCTAATCTAATAATGGTGTTTTAGACCACATGGCAATCATAGTTCATTTGTCCACTTACGATGCACGTAATATATGTAATAAATATTCAAAATGATAACATTATTACGTTTCAGTTTAACGCCGATCCAGTAAGACCCGTTCATTGACGTCAACGTCGTGGGCACAGTGACGGTGTACTTCAACTCGTCGAGTTCTTTCTCTGTGACGTTATCGAACTTTGACAAGTCGTCCTTGGGAACATAGTCTTTGAAGTCGTAGTGTGTCTCGTTGGGGTGGCTGTCGTACATGACAAAGACGTCGTAAGCTTCATTGGCGTTTCCAGGACGTAGGACAACCTGGATAGAACTGTTCTTGTCGGTGAGGTTGAGGGGGTGGTAGTTGATTGATGGAGTGTCGCTGTTCCATTTAGTGATCAAGACGAACAAACTCGAGGAATAGGCGTTAGGGTCACCTATTTGGTTTTAGAGAAGAAGATATTACCAGAAGTCTGGTGATTTAAATTGTGGTTAAATTATACTCTTGTTGGGTCATTGCACACAGCATCTGGATCTCTGAACACAACATATACATGGCATCGATGGTTAAATGCTTAAAGGGTTGGGTTTTGATAGTACAGAAAATATTCTACTCCAAAAAAGTTAAAGAACACCGATTCGCTCATATCATGTCGTGGCATTACAGATTTTCTTTTTAATCTGAGGCCAAGTTATTTATGTTTTCGAGCATTTGCTGGAACAATTTTTTTTTAAAAAAGTCCCAGGCGCCCGACAGAATACTGAAAGATTGACATGGCTGCACTGGTTACTCACGGCTCATCCACATCTCGATGGGCTCAGCAGTGTTCTTGACCGCCAGCTTGCTACCCCCACATGAGTAGCCCAGGCTCAGCACGCCCTTACCCACGCTGGACTTCTCCTTGGAGAAACTGAACGGGTTGTCATTGTCTCCCAGGAACTGGAACAGTTTACTCACGTATATACAGTAAACTACGTTTATAACGAACACGCTTATAACGAACTGAGCTATATAACGAACTTATTTTTTAGTCCAGGCCTCCGAAGGTCAGAGTGTGTCACACGGCTACCACGAATCGATTGTGTTTTCAATTTAGAGGTTTCATATGTAGATTTGATACCTGTAAACAAATTTCGCTACCAAATGAGTTAGCAATAAAATGAAGGTCAAAGTGTTTCACAAGGCTACCACGGATATAGTGGAGGGCACGTACTTGTGAAGACTTTTAATTTTTACCTACTTGGCCTATGAATTTACCATTTGTAAATTTAAGATCGAGAAAGATGGTAAAACATTTTAAAATCTTAAGATCACATAACAAGCAACTCTGCGCCTATCACATGTTACATAAATGCCATATTCACGTACCATAGTGTTGACCCCGGGGCAGTCGGACGCGCTGGGCAGGGCGTCCAGGGGCATGTTGAACGACCCCACAGGCATCGACATGGTCTGGGTCTTCGGTTTGGAGTCTTCAGATCAAACAGTTAACGTGATACAGACATCGAAGAAATATTACATGCTCACGATTTCATTATTATAGTGTGTGTCTACAATCAGTTCAAAAATATCATATTTAGCATGTAATAATAACTCAAAAAAAAATGTGTGTGAGGACTTATGCTGCTTTTAACAATACTAAAAGCACTATGGCGCCCGAGGACGTTATGAACCGGTCCCAATCATCCATTATGGGAACCGAACGAGAGAACGCTTAAGTAACTGAAAGCTGCACAGCCTGAACAAAAAGACAAGGAAAATAAGTACTAACGGTACCCATTCTGATATGGCACTTTTTAAAGGAAATGAAAGTTTATGATTTTGAACTATTTCCGCATTATTTTATCTTGTACATGACTTTATATAAATTAGTAACAGGTTTTCTTAAGTTTAGTGTCCTCTTGGTGCATATTACTGATGCTCTATTTCTATTTACTCTTTTCAGCTTTACTTTCTGTTTCTGTCATGACATTACGTTTTGTTTGTTTGTTGTTTAACGCCGCACTCAGCAATGTTCCAGCTGTATGGACCCGTGAAGATCCGGGGTAGAATAGGTCTTCAGCAACCCATGCTTTCCGTAAAAGGCGACTATGCTTGTCGTAAGGGCGACTAACGGGATCGGGTGGTCAGGCTCGCTGACTTGATTGATGCATGTCATCGTATCCCAATTGCGTGGATCGATGCTCATGATGTCAGTGACTGGATTGTCTGGTCCAGACTCGATTATTTACAGACCGCCGTCATATAGCTGGAAAATTGCTGAGTGCGGCGTTAAGCAACACACATCATCATCATCATCCAGCTGTATGACGGCGGTCTGTCAATAATCGAGTTTGGACCAGACAAACCAGTGATTGATATCATGAACATCGATCCATGATATATGATTCAGAGAGCAATGCCTGAGGCTGGACTGAGTTCCATCAATGGTTATATTATCAGAGGCATACTTTCCATGATAATTAATTTCTACTGTTGATTTCAAATGTGGTTTGACATTAATGAATAAAGCAAGTAACATAGGCAAACAGTGGTATTTCCCAGGGCATGTTCTGCGCCTTGTTTGTGTTGGTATATGATTCATATTTAAATCTGATTAAAACAGTAAGCGTTAATAGACGAGCGGAGGCCTTCCAGCGACCTGGATAAGCTAGCCTAGCCTTACAATTGTTGTAAGTCTATGTTGAAGTGTATGGGAGTTGGTTTGTTGGTTTGTTGTTTACGCCGCACTCAGCAATATTCCAGCTATATGACGGCGGTCTGTAAATAATCGAGTCTGGACCAAACAATCCAGTTATTGATATCATGAGCATCGATCCACACAATTGGAATACGATGCCATACATCAACCAAGTCAGCGAGCCTGACCACCGGATACCGTAAGTCGCCTCTTACGACAAGCATATTCGCCTCTAACGACAAACAGTGCCGCCTCTAACGACAAGCATGGGTTGGTGAAGACCTATTCTAACCCAGACTGTCACGGGTAGACATGATGATGCGTTGAAACAAGTATGTATAATGAAGACGACCGTGGAAATTTCACATCTTGCTCTTGAACCATTTGTCTTCTGACAATATATATGTTAAAACACATCTTAATGGAATCAATCTGTGTGCTTCACCTGTGGAGTTCTTTGTCCCGTTGTTCTTGTTGACGCTGAGTTTCTGCACCTTAAGTCCGAGTCTGTTGGAGTTGAAGGTCCGCTCCTTGTCGTCGTCCTCTGGAGCCTTGTTGTTCACAGTGTCGGCCACTGTTGATAGAGCGTTGGAGCCGGACTTGGCCACCACGGCGTCCTTAACAACGGACATCACCATCAAACAGCATCACAATATTTGTCAAGAAAAGACATGATCACCTGTATTATATTGATGACATTTGTCAACATTAAGCAACAGTTGCAGCCAACTGAAGGTATTACCATGTCTTCACTGTCGTCATAACTGTGTATGTGTTTGTTGTTTAACGCCACACATCAATATTCCAGCTATATGGCGGCTGTCTGTACATAATCGAGTCTGGACCAGACAGATCAGTGATTATGAGCAACGATCAGCCGAGGACGGACCATCCTCCCGAGGCAAGGGAGTTAACTGACTGTAAGATTCCAGTTTCAATCTTTGCCGAACTAGTTTGGAATTCCGGAGTTACATTTGGCTGGACTAACGAGTCTGTGCATATCCTGTCCGTAAACAACAAGGATTCCAACGTGCAGATTTCGATCGACTGCAGTATTTGCAACCAGGAAACTGGACTTTTGTATTCAGTTAACACCCTTGCCTCGGGAAGATGATCCGTCTGATCCATACAGTCGCCTCTTACGACCAGCATAAGTCACCGGGGACCTATTGTCACCCGGAATCTCCACAAAAAACATAATACCTGAAATTAAGACCTATATCATGGTACAAGTTCGTGGCCATTTCTATAATCCGCATATGGCTCGGTATACTAATATTTTGTGGAACTTATATATTCTTTATATATATTTAAAGCAATTAATATAAAAAACACATAGACGTGTTATAGTTTGAATTATGGTTCTATAAAGTATTTTAATATTTAGGTAAGTTTTTACGTATTTCAAAGACATTCTCAATAACGCGTTCTGGTAACAGCACTCATTTTACGATTAAACGTACTTTGAACGTTTTCCGATGCGAATAATATGTGTGTTATGAATAAAGTTTTCATCAGCTGTATTTGTATAATAGCCCCAACCACCTACCACCACCAGGAACGTAAACTGTTAAAACGATTGGTCCTTGAAAGAATAATAGAACTAAAATGGCAGAAATTACCGTAAGTCTCTTCTTCTCGTCGCGTATGGCCTTGGCGTCGTCGAGGGGGATGAGGTAGTAGTCGTAGATGTCGCCAGGGTGTTCCAGGTACGTCATCGTGGCGAATATCTTCTCTTGATTTGTCCACGTCCCGGTGCACATCATCTCATCGATGTGTTTGGGGCTGACGCAAGGACAGGTGTACTGAACCCTCGCTGTCTTCATCACCTTCCTGAACAGGTAGCAATCGTCGAAGATGTAGTAAAATAACTCATCATACGTCAGCTTCTCTGGGAGCTTGTTGAGCAGGTTCTCAGCGACGTCGATGCTGCTGTCTCCCTCCGCGACGTAGTTGATGACGAGGCCGCTAGCAGATGTTGTACTGGCTATGGTGGTTGTTGTTGTAGCCATCGTTGTCGTTGTTGGTGGCAGCGTCGTTGTCTCTTCCGTCGTTGAGGACACTGTGGACATTGGGGTCGTCATCTCGCCGGTGTATGGTAGTACGGTTGAGACGTCGTTGGTGTTGGCGTCAGACGTGTCCTTCCGTCGGCCTCTTTTGGGTTTGGTGGCGTCCTCATTTGAAGGGAATATGTTGTCAAACCCGCCTAGACACTCTAGCAAACAAATCCAAATGTTTAAAGGAAATGCACAAAGTTGTTTTCAACATAATTGCATATCCTTCATAAACGATTTCTACAAACGCGTACACGGACGTTTTAGCAAATCTTGTTTTTCTAGTGGTAATAGGTTATTTCGAACAGGAATATACTTTCAAAGCGATAATTGATTAAAACCAAAAATGTGATACACAGCATGCGTCCGCAGTAGCGTTGCCATGGTATTGCATGTTAAAACGAATCCATGTGTACTGGTCTCTTGAATAACGAGGGACAAACACCTTTTAAAGCTATATGTAGTGAGTCATTTGGGTGGTACACAGCATTAAACATTATCCAAGTTTTAAATATCCGCTTTTGTGGAAAACACAGGTACCTCGCAAGTCTCTATTTAAGTTACAATGTGAACTCTACAACACCAGGGGCGGCTGGGTAGCCTAGTGGTTAAAGCGTTCGCACGTCACGCTGAAGACCCGGGTTCGATTCCCGACGTGGGTATCTGGTGTACCCCGCCGTGATATTGCCGGAATATTGCTAAAAGCGGCGTAAAACCATACTCCCTCATTCACTCACTCTACAACAACAAACACTACTGACTACTTGCACACAACGACTCTTCTTCATAGACATGCAGCATGTGCGCGTTGCGACAAAAGCATTTCCAGCTAAAGCAGAACCTATTGGCAGCTGTATTCAAACCGAATATTCATGAGATGGATGCAAGAGTTGTCTCTCATAGTCATATTGTTAGCGAGTATTTGTCTGTCTCACAGTCCCTGAACCATATTATTTTTCCTTAATCCCATCCCTTTCTGTAAATCGATCAAGTCTAGATTTTCCACAGGTTCCGACATCTCACTGGGGCTCTTTTTCCATTTAAATTGAATTGTTTGTTTCCATCAAAATTAGGTATTTTCAGAGACTAAGGGTTAGTATGTGTGTTTATGTGTGGTGGTGTGAACACCAGGGCCCACTTGCACGAAGCGATCTTAGCGCTACAACTATTGTAAGCCTATGTTAAAGTATGGGAGTTACGATCATCTTAGCGCTGAGATCGCTTTGTGCAAGTGGGCCAGGTTTTATTGCATAGGTTTTCTATTGCTTTCGTTGTTCAATGCAATAACTCTTTTGCTCTTCACGGCCTTTAGGGGCTATTTTTCAATAGCAATCATCAATTATCAGCACGAAATGTTTATACAGAAACGAATTTCGATTTTCTATTTTAAAGCGTTCAGGTGGGGTATCTATTCCTTCTTTACCTTTGTTTGTTTTTGTTTCTTGTTGTTTTAGTTAATCTGTGTTCTTTAGTTAATCCACGGCGTGTCAGTTTAATGTGGCGATGCATGTCGCTAAACAGTAACTTCTTGGTGAAATCAACGAGTGGGTATGGTGCTGACAGACCATGGATGATATATTATGAGCGAATCTGAGGTTGACCAGCAGATCTTGCCACTACTAAGGGAGACAACTAGACACGATGATGTCACTGGCTGTAGCGGTAAGCGTTGCTACGAAGAGTACTCATTATGCCGCTATTACTCCATCACATATGCGTATTCACCAACACTCCGTTAATAGGTTCATTTGCAAAGATAACTGAAAATCCGATGGTTTTACTGAGTAGGAAACATGTATTAGCGGCATGCGGCAGTGTGCATGTTCAAACACACACGTGTAGCTTCACTGTGCATCGTCGCTCAAAACCCAACACAGGAGAAGGAATAACAATTTCATCTGCTGAGGTGAAAATCTTATTCCCGAGATCTCATTTTCTTGACAATTACTTTGGAAACACCATTAAGAACATATCTACAAAGGGGCATCCCATAAATATAAATATGGATTACTTTCTTCGACAAACGGTATCATTCAGACTTACGGGATTTCATTGTATTTAACCTGACATGCATATTCCTCCTCCAACCCCAGACCCCACCCCACCCCTCCCACCACCACCACCACCAATATTCTGTAATCGTCTCACTGTTACTTGTCCGGGAGTTTCAGTTGAACGAAATATAATTTACCTTTGAAGCCAAACTGTTGTCCAAACCTGATCATATTTTCCAATGAGAAAACCACCCCGTCTCACATCAATATCTCCCCACAAATCCCACCCTGTCCCTCCAACTCAGGTCTACCGGTGTCGAGTGAGCGGCGTTACACAGAAAAACCGGTGAGTCTGAAAATAGTTACCTCCAGCAAAGTTCTCTGCATCATCTACTGTCGCATCTTCCATGTTAGAGGTACCATTTGCCAGATTCACGAACGCGTCAGCGGCGGACGACTAATAGAACAGCATCAGTATCAATAGCTTGTTTCTTTTATCAACACAGAACAATTTCGTACTTACAATTTTGTGTTATCAGTTGACAAATATCAGTCGTTCTTGTCATACAATGAAAAACAATGCATTGTGAATTTCAAGTATCACATTCTAATACAAACTATATGAATAATTTAAAAATATATAGCATGTACGCACACAAAAATCATGTAATCAAGGCCACTCGCCTACCATAAACATCGGTACATATTAATGTATGAAATACTTGGTATAGCAATACAAACAGTGATGGCAACAGTGTTTACTTAGAAACAACGTGTTTTCATGTATGTATACAAATCATAGATGATATGTACGAAAGCCCGCAGAAATATTACATCGGGATCATACGGCAACCTTTGATCTCTTACCCTTGACCCTTCTGATACGATGTCTTTGTTACTGGTCATGACCTTTATTGCGCCTGCGCACTTGGACGCCTGGTTGGCATTGTCCACTCTCTTGGCAACTGACCCCAGAGTATCCACCACCGCCTCTGTTGACTGAAACAGGACGTTTACTCCCGATATCTCGAATAAGCTTGACTAGTAGTTGACGCATGAATTTGCCCATTTAATAATATCAAATTTCATAGAGTGTACAAGAATGGACCTAACATATACACGCCATTCCAATAACCTCATTGTTTCACATGAAGCCACATGAACAGAAATGTTCGGTAGAGTCGATCCATTTTTTCATGTTTATTTCAAGACGTAGCATTTTATAATAAAATCAAAATGAAAATTTATAGTAAAATCCACAAAGGCATCATTATTCTTTTACAAAGGTGTGAGGTGGGACATCTCTGTCATTGGGATGAAGATAAGATATAACACAGCATCATGCAGGTGGTGGTCCAGAAACAAACAGTCTTACCTCTGCCAGTTTCTCCTGTTCTTCCACTGACGATGCCTGCAAGCAAATGACAATACCAATCGGTTACAAAAACGTAAAAAACTCTCATATTTTTTTAATGATAGAATTGCGAGTTTGTAGAGTGACCGTTATGTTTTCTACAATGTTTGGTGTTTGGTATGTTTATATTGGTTTACCCATGTTACTTTATATTTTTTTAATATATTTGGCTGTTATGACTTTTCAGTGCAAAAATGCTTTATCTCTGCTGACGGTGTAGCGTGACAGAAGCAATGACGTAATTGAATGGCGCCGTGAAAACAAAACGTTGATACCTGAACACAAACGTTTTCAGTAGAAAATTAAAGACACAGTAAGGGTATATCGTATGTTCGACAACTGTTCTGACATAAAGTGATAAATGGGTAAATCTGTTGGTTATGGTGATGACAATCTATACTACTCAAAAGAAGTTAAGGACCTCCCAATTATTTCATAGCAGATTATCTATCTTAACTTCTTTTGAGTAGTATAAATGCCAGCATTGGGAAGAGATGCCAGACAACCTAATAGTCAAACGTCAACTTACTAAAAACATCACTTACAGGGTTGATCCCATGATGAAAATACAATGATAAATATCATTACTTGCATAACAAACAATTATACGCAAGTGCTACCAACTATTAACATCCGCGTATCTTCCTGCATTTCAGATTTAATCAGTGATTGAATTCGTTTAAGGATACAATGCAGTGAAATCTCGAAGTCTTGGGGGCCATTGAAAGATCAGTGAATTGTTCGTAATTCGAGACAAGCGGAGTGACAGTGCCAGATCAAAATGCCGATAAGGATAATGCTTGGAATATGTATTTAGCGATGTATCGAGTTAAACGAGTTCTATAACAGATTGGTTCACTGACCTCTTGGTTGAGAATGGCTGCAGCTGCACCATCGCAGAGTCTGATGGCGGTGTCGGGGTCGGCGTTTCGAGCCATGTCGAGGAGGGAGGAGAGGTCGTCGAGACTCTGGTTGGTCTTCCTGATGTCAATGATCTGAGAAGTCACTGACATCAAGTTGCTTCGGGTTATGTATAAGATGATCCCGAACGAGAAATAGTCCGTGACAAAGTAACTTGCAGGGAAGGAAATTTTGGCGTTGTATCTGGTGAGTGCATCGGGGAGGCTCGCACTGTCATTGAAAACACGTCCTTTTTCGTATATACCTAAAGGATTTTTGGTTTGTCCTTTATATAAAGTATCTGTGTGGCGTAAGGTTGATTGAGATTTCAATTGCGCCAGTGACAAAACTTTAGCAGCGTCTAGGTCAGTACTTGGGAGAAAGAACATGTCGTAGATTAGACCATTTCTAACGTTACTCGTCAAATCCGGATCGCGAGACGCCGAAACGTCCAAGATGGCGTTTGCGTAGATGAGGAAGGTTTGGACGTCCCCGCCGAGGATTTTTGCAACTGGCTCAGACATGATGATACGGAGGTACAGATCATGTGATGCACTGATCAGATCATGCCCAACAGGAGCCACAGTTACTGTGATTTTGTACAGCCCGTACGAGAGCCCTAGAGGGGGGATAGTCAGGGTGTTGTTGGTCTCCTGAAACTTGCAAATCTCATGGACTTGGGTCTCTGTCTGCGTGCCCTGGTCAATGGTGACCTTCATTGCCTTCCAGGAAAAATTGGCCGTTGAGTTCTGTCTGCAGTTGAGGTCAGTATCTACTGTAACCACCATCTCCTCTGACCGTTTGTGCTCGGCTGGACTGGTCTGGCTTGTAGGATCAATGTTCCTGAAGGATACAGTTGGGATAGAACAGATTGGAGGTCCGGTTGTTGTAATCTCATCTACAATAACAGTAGGACACAAAGGCGCCGTTGCCTTACTGAAATCGTTGGTGGCTGACACACTAATATTGAAGTAGCCCGTGTCCATATACGTGTGGGTGATGTTGACAACACTCTCAGATATAACCGTCCCGATGGTCTGTGCATCAGACTTCATTCCGCCTGTAATGAGCTCTGGTAAAGAAAAGTTGGTTTCATCACCGAAATCAATGTCATACGTGACGTCAGATCCGGTGGGGCATGTGACAGTAAAGGTGACTTGATCGTTGATGGGGATTCTATCAATGTTCGACACAATGTCAATCGTTGTGATGTTCTGTCCAACCTGAACCAATACCTCTTCAGTCATAGAGCTAATATTGTTGGAAGCTGTAACCATGATTCGGTAGATGCCCCAGTCGCTGTAGATGTAGTCGGTGCTGAAGGGGAGAAAACCGACGGGGTCGGTGTTGTCATATTCATGCATCTTTGGCCCCGTTCCATCTCGGTAGTCAATGGTGAAGACCACTTTGGGGGGACCCTTGTTTCCCATGTTAATATCAACTGTAAGTCCGACGGGAGTTGACAACGACGTCACATTGGCTGACGCAACACTGATGTCGAACACGGGAACTTCCACAGACATTTCTTCCCCAACCATTTCAGAAGTGATGTCATTAGCAACCCTCGCAAAGAGCCCATACCCACCCAGGCTAGTGTATTCCGCCTCTCCTGGAATGAACAGAGTCTCTGTGGCATCGTGGACGTAGTACACTTCACTCGGTTGACCGTTGCCGTAGTTGAAGGTCACCGCTAGGAAGTCTCCCGGTGGGATTTCTATAGTAAAGTTCACGGTCATATTCCATGGTCCAGCCAGCTTACTAGAAACGATTTTGGGTTTCGGGGTTCTCCTTTCAGCCCGGATATACTTTCTCTGTAAAAGCTGCTCGTTCCATTTGAGGTCTACTTTATGGTCCGACCCCGTCGTAAAGGCGCTGCCTTGAACCTGTACTTCTGTAGCCGCCGTCTTTACATGAGTTACCACGGTGCCGTTAACCTCCGTTACAAGATCGTCAAGAAAAGCTGCCGAACCCACAACATCAAACCTTACCGTCAAACCGATTTGAATATATTGAAAATATTCATAAAATTGTTTGGATAGAAAATCGAAATTGTCAACCGTGGACCCATATTGGTTGGAACAGACGGCTGTGGTATTATACTGACCAATACCACTGTAATCATGAGTGCTGTCTTGTGATGACATAAAGTCCGTATACATCAGGAAGGAAGAAGCACCGTCGCCATACGTCAGAGTACAGTTGGTGTTGGCAGGATCGTTCACAGTCAGCTGCATCTCAGATCTTTGAGACGTATCCCTCGAGTGGATGCCAGAGAGTTCAACAAGATGGGGACTTTGGCCTTCATCAACATCTTCTATCTTGATCAAGATTTTCTTCGTCAGGTGGATCAACCCGATCGTTGTCGACACAGTCACGTTGTAATCGCCTTCAGTCGTCCACGAATGACTAACCGGCGGGGACCCACTAGAAACACTGCTCCCATCCATGAAATTAAAGCTGAAACTGACTTCAACATTGACGTTAATGGACGCCGAGATGAGGACATCTTCACCTGGCTTGGTGTAGCCCCTGGGGCTGATTTGTTGGCTCGACAGGGTCAGGACGATGTCTGTGTGTTTGGTCTTGACGTGGGACACCACGTACACCTTCCAGTCCCCCGCAACACACCCTGAGGGAGTGGTGACCTGGGGTTCAGCGTTGAAGCATTTGCACTGCGCGTTGTCCAGGAGGAAAGCATAGGACATGTTGTTGTCCTTGCAGTACTGACGACACTCGTGGATGGGGTGGTCAAGGGTGGACACATTCGTGGTCAGATTCAGTGGAACGTCTGGTGACTGATTACAACCTAGGAACAGGGAATCGTTTTCACCTGGAAATAGAAAGAATGATTTCATTTGTCTTCGATTCAGTTTTAATATTTTCAGTTGTATTCTATCTGTATTGGTGTTTATTTGAAGCCCAAACTGTTTTGTTCGAAATGTGTATGGTATAATATGTCACAGACTGACGGATTCGGTATTATTGAATAAAACGAGCATTACACAGAAAATAATGTCAGCTAACTTGTTATCAGAAAATATACAGACAACTTCTAATGAGTTATATCAAAATATGTTATAACATCATGTTCTTTCTTAATTCTTATAATTGTAATTCAATGTAACAATCGGTTAGAAACAATGCAGAACATTTGACGTAGAATATTACCATATTGCATATATACCACAACTTCTAAAATGTGTTACACTTGCTGAGTTAGTTACACTAACCCGTTCACATGCACAACATTTACTAACGGAAGTAAATTTACACATGTGTAACTATACATACGTGCGTATATGTAAATTTACTTTGCGTTCACATGAGAAGCATCTTTAGGTGTGTAAATAAAGTATGTAAATTGTGTAAGGCACACATATTCGTCAGTCTGTTCACGACTTTCAACACAAAACAGGCTGTTTTCCAATCAAAGTTGAGAAGGGAGTTACTGTACCGAACATTTTCGCATGAAGCGAAATGTGTTTGATTTAATTTGTACATAAAGTTTTGACTCCTTGAAACCAAAATAAAACACCGTCCGCTCAACTCTGTATAAACGCATAAAAGTTGGCAACCGTTGACAATTTGTTTCGTGTTGGCAAAAGAACAGATATTAATTAGATCATCCTCTTACGTTGACATAAATGTTCACAATGCAAACATATACACACAGTGCAAATTTACATTTACATTTGCCCCTGCTCCATACATGATGCAAATTTGCTCCTGGTGTAAATATACACACATGAGTGAACGCGTTCACATGACAAGTATATTCACGTATGTATTTCTACACACGTATGCACATATACACACATATGTATAGAGGCGCATGTATAGAGGCGCATGTGATCGGGGTATAAGTGCATGGTATGCCATAAACTAGATATATAATCCTGGCGGCCGTTGTACAAAACAACCATAGCGCTACGACTGCCGTAAGTCAATATTAAGGTATGTGAATTACGATCACCTTAGCGCTAAGCTTGCTTTGTACAACGGCAACCAGAACGCCACGCTGACATCATGGTATTTCTCTCAGATCAAAATCAAAGCACATTATATTTTTCCCTAACTAAAAATATGAATAATGTTTACGGTGAACGACAATTTTGTGGTTTTGCATTTTACGATACGCAGGGTTCGATATAGCTGTATAAAAAATGCACCAGTGCAACCTATAATTAAAATATGCAACTTAATATTTATGTCTACATGAATCAGGTGCATGTATAAGAATTCAAATTTGTGTCTGAGTAACCAATACTTGTCCACACAACAACGATGTTTGAACCCACTCAATTCCTCTAAGTTTTATTCTTTGTAGAATAGTTTATGCATCACTGTTTCAACTTTGATAAATTTATGGGACCAAGGTGCAACCTGGTTTTGTCTGGTGCAACTAGATTTTCATGTCAACATGCACCTGTTGCAAATTAAGTCAAGTTCCTTAAATCGAGCCCTGGATATGTGTTGTTGGAAAATAGTTCTACAGTTATTCAATTATTATTAGGATGCCACTTGCTCACGTTTTCTTGTTTTGCAGACAGCTCAATGTAGATGAGTGCTTGGTAATAGAAGATGATGTGTGAGTGAGTGGGTTTAACGCCACTTTTAGTTATATTCCAATTATATAACGGTGAGTCATCTTAATATTGGCGGAAAGCCAAACGTAGTGCAGGTCTTAGATGTAACCACTTTGACGAGAACCCACGAGCCCGGGTGTGGCGCTGACAAACCTAGAGACATAGGGTGATTCGGGAATTCGAACCCACGATCATATGGTTCTGGCACGCCTAAGGGACGCCACTCTGCAGAGCCAATTGCTGCGCCTAAGGCGACTGGGCCACTCGCGCGCCCTGCCCCTTCTTTATATGAGACACTGGACTAACGCGCGTGTTGAATGATTGAAAAGTGTGCATGTTCTCTGTCACAACAAATACTCCCCCTGGACGCGATGAACGACACCGAAATAAATACCATTACACAATAGGCTATAATATAGTGTACCTCTTTCGATCAAACAGGCTCATGAAGAACTCTCTTGGGTAATGGACAAAGGAATTTTATCCCCGAGCAGAAACTATAAGTACTTTCTTCAAAAGTAACAATTCATTTAAGTACAAAAAAACAATTACATTTAACGGTCTACACATAAACAATACATCAAGTGCGTAACTGGACTTTAATTGGCGAATGGTGTGCCGCCCGTGCAGTCCCCCCACACATGCATCGCCTACGTCGCCAATGAACACAGCCAATCCCGGAGCGGCCAAATTTCCTTGCGATAAGAATTAATTAATCTCCGTCGTTAACGTCGTCTTGTCACGCGAGGGGTAAACAACGTTGACGTCATGCACGACATCTACACCGGAACAGGATTGAGGGTGCGTCCATTATTGATTCGAGAGATCGATACCCATTTAATCGATAAAGATCTAGTGGGTTTCGGGCACTTGGCGGCTTTTGCACGCAAGATTGCAATAGAAGATTTTTAATTTCCGATGCTAGTTTCGTCTTTTATACTGAAGTTGATGGCCACCATTTAAGATTAGACTCAGCATGTATTTACAGTTTCTAAGCGACGCGGCTTAGGTGAGAGTTTTATTACTTAGCAAAAGCTTGAAATGTTCTCTGCCCCACGTGTGACTTTGTCCACCGTTTAGGCGAGAATTTCATACAGTTATGCAATATATTCTAAACCCGTTTATACTGCGTAAATCTATCCACAATATGTAGTGTAGAGACATGTATCACATACTAGTTTCAATAAATCCTTAATTATCCAATATGTCCTTCATACAAAATTAAAAAGAGTTATATAAATAAAAATCTTTCTATCGGATGTTGTTCTGAAAATTGATGCTCCATTTTGGGTATTATTTTCGGGCTATTCGGTGGTCCCGGCAAGTTTCATTCCTATCATTTAAACTCCATTATTTTTGTTTTCTTATTGTATGACTTATATTACCTTATTTAAGGTGGGGGAGGTGAGGCCTATATAAAGTTACTCGTCTAAGGGACGCAACTCTGCACATGTAGCCTGGGCACCTGACTGTTGCGGATGGCCCGGGCCCCCTTTTAATCCAAGTAGTAAACTTGTTACCCAGGGATTTAGATCAATGCTTCATCCATCATCTACGATGAGTTCATCCGACTTCGTGAATGATTCAGAGCGCAATGCCTGAGGCTGGACTGAGTTCCATCAATGGTTATATTATCAGAGGCATACTGTCCATGATAATTAATTTCTACTGTTGATTTCAAATGTGTGTTGACATTAATGAATTAAGCATCTAACATAGGCAAACAGTGGTATTTCCCAGGGCATGTTCTGCGCCTCGTTTGTGTTGGTATATGATACATATTTAAATCTGATTAAAACAGTAAGCGTTAATAGACGAGCGGAGGGATTCCAGCGACCTGGATAAGCTAGCCTAGCCTTACAGCTGTTGTAAGTCTATATTGAAGTATATGGGAGTTAGTTTGTTGGTTTGTTGTTTAACGCCGCACTCAGCAATATTCCAGCTATATGACGGAGGTCTGTAAATAATCGAGTCTGGACCAGACAATCCAGTGATTGATATCATGAGCATCGATCCACACAATTGGAATACGATGACACGTATCGACCAAGTCAGCGAGCCTGACCACCCGATCCCGTTAGTCGCCTCTTACGACAAGCATAGTCGCCTTTTACGGCAAGCATGGGTTGCTGAAGACGTATATGGGAGTCACGATCGCCTAAGTGTTGAGGTCGCTTTACGGAACGGTACCAGTCGATAGATACTAGTATGTAACGAGCCAAAATTATAAATATTTTTTATGTATCGCGTATAATGTCCTTCACATATATAAAACGGTAGCTATAGCAAGTAAAGATAATATATCTTTTCTTTATAAATTATGTTTTGATGAGTATTTTGTTGACTAAACCACAGGGTCACAACGTGAATTAATGGTTCGATCGGGTTACCGAAAACAGACATGTATATTTAGGGTCTGTATGCGCCCATTAAAATCAATGTGTCGAACTACAGGTGTGTCACCCACCTTCAGTGTCCATAGATGCTTATTTTAAATACGTTATCCTTTTAGTCATGTTTGCTTTTCTATATTTTCTTGAAATTTCTAGATACTAAGTTTCAATTTCAAGATACATAAGTTAAAATTCCAAGAAAATAAGCTGACATTTTGTCACCATTTCTACATGTTCACAACTTGCCATCACCAGTGTAGTATGAGTTAACAGAACATGCACACTATGTATTCGTATCATCTTGAAATTTCAAGTAAGTATCACGAACTTTCAAGATAATAAGTTTAAATTTCAAGTTAATATCTAGAAATTTCAAGATCCTTCTCTTGAAATTACAATTTATGTATCTTGAAATTTAAAAGAAAATAGGCTTCCGTACTTCAATAAAGGATCCGCTGGTCATGTGTTCGACGTCCAGACTTTACTCGGATTATGATTGTTGGACTGTCAGCTTATGAGTTTCCCCAATGTGTTTAACGTTGACGACTTGCATTGTTTTTGACATTCCCCACCACGCTGACACGCTGCGTTATCAAGGAAATAGCTCGGCGACTCGGTGCTATTTAGTTCAGAATATGATCCCGGTTCGAACAAACACGAAGGGGGGTTCTTGGCACCGTGATGACATTACCACTGATTCCACGAGCAATTGCTAATTTTTCAATACCAAGTCTAAGATTTATTTCACCAACACACCAATCGCATACTGCATATTCAACACAACCATTCGTTTTCGTCATACATCTCATATTTCTGACATGTTGAAATAATTGTACAGTGTTTGAGGGCGATGACATATTTTTTCTATGGTTGCACAGATTCACCAAATCACCGCCATGCATTTTACTCGGATACACAAACTGACGCTATGTGCCATACGTTTTCCTCGGATACTCGTACTTTTATGTATACGTTATGTATAGAAACAAAACTATAGCTGTACGTAACGGAACGGCGGGGTAGCCCAGTGGTTCAAGCGTTCGCTCGCAACGCCAAAGGACCGTGTTCGATTCCTCACATGGGTACAATGTGAGCATTTCTGGGGTTCCCCGTCGTGATATTGCTGGAATACGAGTATTGCTAAATCCGGCGTAGAATCCAAATCACTCACTCACCGACTCACGCTGTGTTTCAGGGACGTGAATAAACACATCAGATCGTAAAACATGAGTTCTAAAACCAAGTACAGATGTATGTGCGTGCGTCTGCGTCTGCGCGTGTTAGTCATGTACCATCATTTCATTATAACCTACCTCCTTACGTCGCGCAGATTGTATCTTTACAAATCTCGTCAATGTATTTAACATGCAGCGCTTTGGATCGCCAATTGCATTTTTTCCAGGGCCACTGAATCTAATTACGATCATTGCTGAACAAACTGATCCAAGGCATTTATCTTTTCCCCATATAGTCTGAGATCATCATCATCATCATCATCATCATCATCATCATAGTTTGTTATAGTTAGTGGATACAATATTTGACATAAACTCTTAATCAGCATCGGGATAATTGAATAACCTACAACTTCATGATCAAGGCGATCAAAATATGGTAAAATTAAATATTATCACTATGGTGGAACTGCACGTTTGTACATATGTGCTTTGTGTACGTTCCTGTCGCTAAAGCTGACCAGGCCAACACTGTTAAATATTGAGAATCGTATAAGAAGAGAATATCAGATGGTATTATATTTAACCAAAATATAAATTGTTTAAGTGTTTTTATATGTATATGTAAGTATATATGTATACATGGATTTCTTACCAATGTAGTGGCATGCAGCTATCTTTGTGAGGTTAAGTCTAGAATTAGCCAGTTATAGCTTGGCCTGCGCTGTTTCTTAACATGATTATAGGCTAAGCAAAGCTGAGATTTTAACACCGTTCGGGAAACAGGTTCCCTTGTAAAAAGATCCGTTGTTGATGTGTAACTCACCCACAAGCTTGACGAGGTTACTTGCCACGTTGATGTTGTTGTAGACGTCGACGCTTGACATGAGAAACCTCGACACTGACGTCAACGGAAGTCCGTACTCATCCAGTCCCACAACAATGCCATATTCTCCCACATAGTCGGACGTTGCAACATCGCGTACGTCAATGCTTGTCTCTGTATTCTCCACCAAGCCGTCCACGTATACCGTGAAGCCAAGGCTAGACGACCAGCTCAAAGCAAGATGGACCCACTCATCGGACGTCAAACTGAACTTGACCTTCCACACATTGCCGCCATATTTGAAACCAGCCTCGTATTGGTTCCCATACACCTGTGTGACGTAATATCCGTCTCCGTCTGCTGCATTGCCGCCGTTTGATATTATGACCATTTTTTTGGCCTCTGCATTTGCGGCGAATGGTTTAACCCAGACTGCCAGAGTGAAGCCATCGTTGCAAACACTGATGTTGCCAGCACACCAGTGAGGGAAGGCCCCGAGGTCAGCGAATGACCCGAGGAGGCTCTTGTTAACGGTGAAAAGAGTTGTTTCATTTTCGTAATACTTCAGCGTTGGGTCATTCTGACCATCGACGTTTCCTGTTAGAAACAATAATAGGATATATTAGGCAAGAAAAACAATGGTATGATGAACTTCTTGATTTTATTTGTGTGGTGGGAGGCGTGATGGTTTTTGCAGTTTTCAACATTCACGTATCAGTTTGTGACCGGTTACGACCGAATGAATCTTTACATTTGAACAACTACATTTGTTTATGGCCGACTGTACAACGCTATGACCGACTGTACTTGGTTTCGACCGACTGTACTAGGTTACGACCGACTGTACAAGGGAACGACCGACTGTACTTGGTTACGACCGACTGTACTTGGTTACGACCGACTGTACATGGTTACGACCGACTGTACAAGGCTATGACCGACTGTATGTGGTTACGACCGACTGTACAAGGGTACGACCGACTGTATGTGGTTACGACCGACTGTACGTGGCTATGACCGATTGTTTATGGTTACGACCGACTGTACAAGGGTACGACCGACTGTACAAGGGTACGACCGACTGTATGTGGTTACGACCGACTGTACGTGGTTACGACCGACTGTATAAGGCTATGACCGACTGTACAAGGTTAGGACCGACTGTATAAAGTTATGACCGACTGTACGTGGTTATGACCGACTGTTCTTGGTTACGACCGACTGTACGTGGTTATGACCGACTGTACAAGGTTACGACCGACTGTACATGGTTACGACCGACTGTACTTGGTTATGACCGACTGTACAAGGTTACGACCGACTGTACATGGTTACGACCGACTGTACAAGGGTACGACCGACTGTACAAGGTTATGACCGACTGTACATGGTTACGACCGACTGTACAAGGTTACGACCGACTGTACAAGGTTACGACCGACTGTACAAGGGTACGACCGACTGTATGTGGTTACGACCGACTGTACAAGGGTACGACCGACTGTATGTGGTTACGACCGACTGTACGTGGCTATGACCGACTGTATGTGGTTACGACCGACTCTACGTGGCTATGACCGATTGTTTATGGTTACGACCGACTGTACAAGGGTACGACCGACTGTATGTGGTTACGACCGACTGTACAAGGCTATGACCGACTGTATGTGGTTACGACCGACTGTACGTGGCTATGACCGATTGTTTATGGTTACGACCGACTGTACAAGGGTACGACCGACTGTACAAGGGTACGACCGACTGTGCGTGGTTATGACCGACTGTACGTGGTTACGACCGACTGTACAAGGGTACGACTGACTGTGCGTGGTTACGACCGACTGTATAAGGCTATGACCGACTGTACAAGGTTAGGACCGACTGTACTTGGTTATGACCGACTGTACAAGGTTACGACCGACTGTACATGGTTACGACCGACTGTACTTGGTTATGACCGACTGTACAAGGTTACGACCGACTGTACATGGTTACGACCGACTGTACAAGGGTTCGACCGACTGTTCAAGGTTATGACCGACTGTACATGGTTACGACCGACTGTACAAGGTTACGACCGACTGTACAAGGTTACGACCGACTGTACAAGGGTACGACCGACTGTATGTGGTTACGACCGACTGTATGTGGTTACGACCGACTGTACGTGGCTATGACCGATTGTTTATGGTTACGACCGACTGTACAAGGGTACGACCGACTGTTCAAGGTTACGACCGACTGTGCATGGTTACGACCGACTGTACAAGGTTATGACCGACTGTACAAGGTTACGACCGACTGTACATGGTTACGACCGACTGTACAAGGGTACGACCGACTGTACAAGGTTATGACCGACTGTACAAGGTAACGACCGACCGTTCATGGTTACGACCGACTGTACATGGTTATGACCGACTGTACAAGGTTATGACCGACTGTACAAGGTTACGACCGACTGTACAAGGTTACGACCGACTGTACAAGGTTATGACCGACTGTACAAGGGTTCGACCGACCGTACATGGTTACGACCGACTGTACAAGGTTACGACCGACTGTACAAGGTTACGACCGACTGTACAAGTTTTACGACCAACTGTACATGGTTACGACCGACTGTACAAGGTTACGACCGACTGTACAAGGTAATGACCGACTGAACAAGGTTACGACCGACTATACAAGGTAATGACAATGACGCATTAGGATGCTTGTTGTATAATCATATAAATAGATACATCACGTTTTAATACATGATGCAGTAACAACACCAAAAAACTTATTTATAAACTTGAAACTCTACATTCCTGGCACACATTTACAACAAGACAACGATTTGTGCTGGACAGTTAAAGTTGTTGCACTACCCGCTTGTCTATATGCCTCTAATTTCTAATTGTTTGTTGCTTTAGACCAGTCAGCAGTTTCCAACTCTATCACGGCGGCCATTCAAGAGCTGACTGAGACCCAGACAATATGGGCATTGATGTTTTGACCCAACGGTGACCACACCCACATCATCGCGTGTGACATCCGATCCACTTAGTCTCCTCTTACGACAAGCATAGGATCCTGGGACCTATTCTAACCCAGGATCCCCAGGGAGATACAAATACACCTGCACAGCGGCACTATGGCTAATTACACCTGGCTATGTCGGACGTACACAAAAGTCATCTAAAAAAACGGAACCTCTTTTTTCTTGAATATACACAATATATTAACCGTTACAGTATCTTGATCGATTGTAGGAACACTATTGAGATAATAGTTTTGTTTTCTGAAACATAAAAGGTGACATGATTTCGCTGTATATTTCACAAGTTTTCTGAACATGTCTGATACCTTTTTAATAGTTTAAACATGTCTTTACAATCTGCCGTTTCGATTTGGCCAAAAAGAGGCCCAATCATACCTTGTCCTTTCATTCTAAAAGCATATCAATATTGTTATTTCAATAAGATTTCTGAAATATATAACAATTGTTTTTGCAGCCTCAAAAGTGTTATTTTCTCAACACCAGTGTAATGGTTCTTTAGCATTGATGCGATGAGATTTGGTTTAAAGAAACTATTCAAGGGTTTACTATGACGCGTCCGCTGTACTTCGCTTCGCTATCAATTCCCTTTAGATGATATTGTTAGACTTTGAATATTGAATTGACATCACGGTCAATTTAAACAGTTAAGGCATTTTCACAAATCAACTAAACATAACGAGGGGTATGTTTTTTACACAAGTCTGCACAGTTTAAGAATTGGGCAAAACCTTTAGAAACCGTTTTGAAAGTTTACAGGAGTGTTCATTTGGGTGAAAAATGAACATTGTTCTCTTCAACACTTGTATATTTTAGACTTAATAAACATCCAATATCGAGACGAGACTAAAGGTGCCAAGGTCAGATTAGGGAGCGTTTCCCCTCCAAATATTTGAACATAAGCATTTCTTAGACCCAAGCTGACTTTCTCATGAGATGATGTTTAAGTGAGAGAGTGGGAGGAAAGCCCTAAGTGATGCTGGTCTCAGACGTTAACCACTTCGGTGAAACCCACGAGCACGGGTATGATGATGGTTAAGACAATTCAAGCATATAGTGAAACATTCCCCGTTGGGCATAGTTAGAATTTATGTCACGCTAGCCATACTTGTATACCTGATCAAATGTCAAGTTGTCAGTTATTTGAAGAAGTATAATAACTTTCAAAACAGAATTTTCAATAATTCCCGTAACGTTAACATTTGCTATTTCGATTGTGCCATTCGTTGCCCTTTCATTTTTAAATAATCGGGGAAAAACACCTGTAAACATTTGATGTTTTCAATGCAAATATACCTACCTATACAAACTGCCAAAACTGCTAGTACCAGTGCTAGTAAGCGGTAACCAGCCATATGCATGGCCAGAACTGGGGGCACCGAACACCTCTCCAATAGTTTTGTCCGTAGCGTCCCAACTGCACAAGGGGAAGGAAATTTCGGCAACTAAAGAAACTTTAGCGACCAGCCTTCCCATATCCCTCACAGATACAGTAATGAGACTTCTATCAAAGATTAATTCAAGCACAATCAAGGCAGAATATTTAAGCTTAATTAAGTTATTTGGGACCCGTGTTCGCGTCCCTTGGGATTTGGCGCTCTGGAGAACTGCTGTGTGATTGTTGACTCTCAAGAAAGGACTCGATTAATTATTAAATTCCAATCACGCGGTTTCCGTGCATCCACCTGCATCACGCCAGGAAGGAGTCTTCCAGTTATTGGCACTTCTTGATCTGAAGAAGGAGACCCCCCATGAAGTCATCCAGTGGTTAACGCGGCATGGGGTTGCTTCACGCTGCGCAACGTGTGAAATCTGTCAGGCTGCCATTCCATGGCGTTAAGTAGGTTATTGTGGTCAATTAAATTAGCCAGATTATCCAGGTGTTGTTGAGTTACAAATGCATTGCTGAAAGAAAACTGCGCAATATGGGAGGGATGTGATATAATATAATGCCCACATAAACTGACTGGAAAAAGACGTATACACTTGAAAATTGGATTTGACCACAAAAAAATACAAACGTTATCGAAAACATTACTGCGCTGAAAATAGTCGCTGCAACTCTCCAAACTTAAGGTCCAAAACCCAGCTGTGATACCCTTTCTTCCAAATGCACTGGGTCTGCAGTGACTTGCCTGATTGCATATCAACATATCCCAAGTGCGTGATCTATAAGCATGTCAACCACTGGATTGTCTGGTTCAGATCCGATTATTATTAACAGATCGATTCATCTAACTGGTGTATAGCGTTAAATTTCAAACAACAACTGACCTAAACGTGATAAAATATAAATCTGATTTGATAATTCATTAATATTTCATCCATTTCCTTGACATCATCTCATCATGACGGACCATGGGTAAAAGTTTCTCCCCCTTTAATGTTTAAATATACCGATTACATATAATGAACTTAAAAGGTGCCACGTCAAGAACCAAAAAGGAATCTCATCTGGAGTAGAAGGCCTCTGTCAGGATATTGTTCAAGATGTTTTTTTACCTAATCTTTTGGCCAGCAGAGGCCCATTCAGACAAGTTCCGTACTTCTAAAAATATTCCTGAGCCTTATGTACACCATTGTCTGGGTTGCTGATAGACTAAAGACTGCACTATACCGTTCCAGTCTATATTAAAGTAGGGAAAGTCAGAAATATTTTGAAATATCATGCAGCGGGAGAAATAATAATACAGTGAACAGTCTGATACCAAAACTTTAACATCAGTATGATTGCTGTCGAAGGCCAAATGAGAAGTTGAATCTGTTGAATATCTGATCGAGTGGGTTTAGTCAGTGCGGGGTATTGGAAACATATCATTACCATTATATGTAAGCATAACTACATTAATTGTTTGCTGCAAGTGACATCATATAACGCCACATATAAGGCCAGTTCTCATGTGTACTGGATTCCACACTTAACTAAAAATCCGTATAAAGTTTATTTGTTTGTTGTTTAACGCCGCACTCAGCAATATTCCAGCTACATGACGGAAGTCTGTAAATAATCGAGTCTGGACCAGACAATCCAGTGATTGATGTCATGAGCACCGATCCACGCAATTGGGATACGATGACATGCATCAGCGAGCCTGACCACCCGATCCCGTTTGTCGCCTTTTACGACAAGCAAAGTCGCCTGTTACGGCAAGCATGGGTTGCTGAAGACCTATTCTACCCCGAATCTTCACGGGTCCGTATAAAGAAAGATATATTGTTGGGTCCAGCAAATGTGCCACCTTAGCGGAATTTTTCACTAGTCATCTGTAACTTTACGTAGAGTAGTATTCCAGCAGCTCCAGCCTTTGGTGTCTACATTTCACAACTTTTGAGGCCTGTTTGATCAAGCTTACAACTTTCAAGGACCCAGTAAAGATTTCAAATCGTTTGATGGTAGACATTTCCAAATTTGTCGTGTCAGTGAAAAAAATTATGTCTGATGCAATTACCTGTAATTGTTACACGTACGGTGTGATTCCGTGTTGTTTTTTCAGGTGAACAATTGATTGTCTTTGCCTGTGTTTGTGAGGAATGCCACCGGTTGGGCAGGATATGTTCACCTTTTCGCGAACACCTGGTATCATCACTATTTGAGGCGGGCCGGAGTGGGCAAGCGCCAAGCTAGCAAGCGCCAGGTGCTGAGATCGTATCCCGCTCGTGACCGGGTTGTAATTCAGCCTTGGGGCCGACAATGTTTACAGGTCTTTACAGTGTTGTCACTACCCCTAGTGTACAGTACATACACCCTGTACACTCAAAAGAACCCACTGGTCCGATGGTTGATGACAAGACGGTGGAAACACGAATACCTACATACACCCGAAACACAAGTGTAAACTCGTGTGGTGTCACCCTGGGCAAGTGACTTAGTTCAAATGTGCCTCTGTTCACCCAGCAGGGAATGGGTACCCGATATGTGAGGTGGATGTAAAAACCTTCAAGCGCCTCTGGGCAGCTTGGGTTGTATACTCCCCAGGGAGTTGAGAATGATAACTGGAATGCAAACGGAGTCACTGGTCGAGGAATAAATAATACCGCATTTGAGCAGATAGTAGTACCTGGATACCTGCGGTATATAAATGTGTAGTTTCATTCATTCATTTGATAGTGATGCATAATCCTATGCTTGTGGTATAGTCGGAGTCGTACGGTGGACACTGCTAGCAGAGATTTCTTATGATTATGACTAGTGTAGACAAAATGTGACGCGAAAAAAAACCCGTTGTGGGATAAACAGCGTTTGGAACCAGCGTTCAATGATAATCAAGCATTGGTTTTACAAGTGTATATATTTAAAAAAGCGACAAAACCCTTTCCATATTTATAAGAAATCTCTGCTAAAAGCAGAGCCAACTGTACGATTCCGACTATATCATGACTACTGTTGGAAATCCCGCATATTTCATAGATATGTTTAAGCAACGTGCAATAGATATTTTGTATCAAAACTTTAGATCGACACTTGGAGGGAGTTCGGGGTATAGCTTATATATGGAGTTTAAAACCTTTCTTGAACCCGAGAAATACTTTAATGCTATTGTTGACTTCAAGCTTCGAAAACTTATATTATGAATTCAGAGCAGAGCTACTACGTCTCAAAATAAACGAAGGCATGTGGCAAAAAATGATATTTCACTGAGAATATGCCCATTATTAAAAATCGGTAGAGAAGATGAATTTCATTTTATGTTTATTTGTCCAGCTAATGATGAAATTAGAATGAAGTATCTACCGCAGAATTTACATGTTAATATCCTTATTTTAAGAATCTTCTTACAAGTAATACCTATAATTTGAAAATGTTGTGCTTATATATTTACCATGCCTACGAAAAGAGATGTGAATCTCTGAGTAAAATATAGTCATACATCTATTATTTATGACTGTAGTACTATTTACAGACTGTGAATGTTACCTACCTTTGACCGTGTTCTATATGTATGTATATGAGGTTTCAAATGTTACATTTTGCGCGGTTAAATCTACAGGTAACCTATCTCTACACATCTTCACGAGGCATGGGAGTCAACTGACTTAAAAAGTCCAGTTTCCAAGTGGAAACTGGACTTTTACAGTCAGTTAACTCTCTTGCCTCGTGAAGATGATCTATACATTGAAAACACATTATGTTTATCACCATTCTACCATGACTAAATAAAACACGAACTCTTTGGTGTTTGCAAATATACTGAGTGAAGCGGCAGGGGTCCTGTGTTTTGGGTGGGTTGTCGATCTCAATTACTGAATCACCGACAACAGCCTGTAAACAAAGTATGTATATGCTTAAGCAGTTTGTTTACACAGTTATACTCCCCTCGAACATATAACAGGCATTTGACAACAAAAACAGGAATGATTGTTCAGTTGCGTAGTAGTTGGATCCTCTCGCTGTTATCATTCTAGTTTAATGAGAAATCTTTAAGTTACCAGTTATTTTACTGTCACGCACGCGCTCGCTCACTCACTTACTCACCCACCCACCAACTCACTCACTCTTATAAAACAACACGTTCATATTGCATATAAGGCGACCAATCAATGCTAACCATAAAAACACTACACTGATAAATTGGAATGAATATTTTTGCAAATAACCGAGAACAATGTATCAGCAATCGAACTAACAGGAAAACACTGTCATTTGGGCCCAGGGGCCTTCCTACAGAACTAAACATTTTGATTTGTTACAACACAAACCAAGAATACCCTTCCAGCTATGATCTTAAGATTGATAAGGCGAGATTGTTCTACATTAAATTATCGAAGATGTACCATGGTCGTTTCAACACTGTGCGTGTGAAACACCGTTGTTGTTTCGTCGTGGCTCCAATGACCGAATAGGCACCACGTGTGTATGGACATACATTATTTAGAGAGTACCTACACACTACGAAGAATTTCCGGCTATCTGGCACGAGTGAATTAATTTTGCAAGACCCAAGTATTGGCAAGTATTAAACAGGAGGGACAATTCCATAGTTCCGAGTTGCGAATAGGTTAATATATATTACACATAATCTTGAATGATTGTAGAACATTTGGACATTTCAAGTTGAGACATCAACTTATGCAACAAAAAGGAGGATGAACATTTGAAACTTCACGCTGCGTGTTCGGTTCCAATTTCAGTTTAGCGTGGTTAAATCTACAGGTAGCCTAGCTTTACATTGAACACACAGTATGTTTATCTGCTGAGTAAATATTACTGTAAATAATGTCAGTTATAAACGGTACCCGTGAAGATTCGGGGTAGAATAGGTCTTCAGCAACCCATGCTTGCCGTAACAGGCGACTATGCTTGTCGTAAGAGGCGATTAACGGGATCGGGTGGTCAGGCTCGCTGACTTGGTTGATGCATGTCATCGATCCCAATTGCGTGGATTAATGCTCATGATATCAATCACTGGATTGTCTGGTACAGACTCGATTATTTACAGACCGCCTTCATATAGCTGGAATATTGCTGAGTGCG